TTTCAGTGTGTCCTAGGTTTGTTCTCAGTGGGCTGGAGGACTGAGACTACTTCTTGCTCTTTTATTTTGTCATTTTCCTCTGGGACGTGTGGAGCTGGCCAGGCACCCTCCTGATGGATGGCACTGGAATGCTGTGCTGGGTAGAGTTTTGATCTTCCAATATCCCCATGGCTAGCCAGGGTGTACCTCTGAACTATGATGCCAGAGCCTTGCACTCTGTGACCTGTGAGGCTGGCTGGATATTCCCCCGATGGACTGTGCTGGATGTTGGGCTGGGAAAAGCTCGGATCCTCCGTGCAGCTGGTAGAGGCACACCCCTGGAATATGTCACTGGGACCTGGCATCTGCTGGGTGGAGTTAAGAACCTCCAGGACCCAGGAAGCTAGCAGGGACATACCCCTGGAGTGTGTTGCCAGGGACTTGCACCTGGCTGGGTGGAGTTCATAGCCTCTGGACTACACAGTTAGCCAGGATGCACCTCTAGCGTATGGCACCTAGGCCTTGCTCGTTAATAGAAAATTTTAATATTGCCATTTTCAATAATTGATAGAATAACCAAATAGAATATAATCATAAATAAAACAAATAATATTAAAAACCAACTACACCTAGCAGAACATTTTACCCAACAATACCAGGATACACGTCCTTCAGGAGTGAATATTGAATATTCTCCACTATAGATTGTATATTAATCTATGCATTATAGATTGTAAAATCTATAATGTATATTAAAATCTATAATGTATTGTAAAATCTATAATGTATATTAATCTATGCATTATAGATTGTATATTAATCTAATGCATTATAGATTGTAAAATAAGTCTCAATAAATTTTACAGGATGGATGTCACACAAAATTCACAAATATATGGAAATAAATTCATTTTTAAATAACAGTAATAAAAGGTGAAACAACAAAGAATATTATAAAATACCCTGAAATGAATGAATATGAAAAAATATACCAAAATTTATAGTGTGCAAATGAATCTGTGATTAGAGAAAAATTTATAGCTCAAAGTGCCTATTTTTAACAAAAAACCTCTCAGAATAATAACTTTAGTTAAGAAGCTAGAAAGGAGAATATGTTCTACTCAAACAAGCAAAAAGAAATTAGAAGACTAAAACAGAGATAAAGGAAGTAAAGGACAGAGGAAATCAAATCAACTAAAAGTGCTTTGAGAAGATTAACAAAATTGTCAAACTTAGATTTAACCAAAAATGGGGGTGTGGTTTAATTTATCAACCACTTTATATAAGGAAAAGGGTAACTTATAAGAGAATAATATAGACATTTTAAGGCCAGAAACTTAAAAAACCTAGATGAAATAAAACATTCCTAGAAATGTACAAATTGCCAAAACTGACTAAAGAAATTGAAAATATGAGTAGAGTGGTAATAGGTAGGTCAGTAATCAAAAACTTTCTACAAAGTAAGGCCCAGAATGAGATCACTGATGAATTATATCAAACATTTAAAGAAGGATCAATTCAATGTTTATAAACTCATTCACAAAACAGTACAGCAGGGGCCACTTTTCAGTTCATTCTTTAAAACCAGTACTAACCTGGCAATGAAATAAATGCCAAAGAAAGAAAGAAACCTATGTGATAATTTCCCCTATAAATATAGAGACAAACATCTCTCTTTTTTTGCAGTACTGGGGATTGAATTTAGCACCTCATGCTTGCCAGGCAGGCACTTATTCTGCTGAGCTAAATCCCCAGCCTGAGACAAACATCTTCAATGAAATATCAGCAAACTGACTCCAGTAACAAATGAGAAGATAACAAGTTTTAATAAAGTAAGATTTATTCCAGAACAGAATAAAAGACAAAACTACACAGCCACTTCAGGAAATGTAGGAAATCATTTTATACAACCCAATATCATCTTATGATAAAAAGAGACCAAATTAGAAATAAAATGAAAAATCCTCAGTATGATAAAAAGAAACTATAAAACTCCACAATAAACTTAATATTTAACAGTGAAAGACTAACTGCTTTTCTTAGACAAACATGCCAGGATATTTGCTCTCCATGCTTCTACTTATAAAGAAAGCACTTATGGAAAAAAGGAACAAAATTATTTAGGTTATCAAAGGAATAAATACAGCTACCTATATTAGCAAATGACATTTTGTATATCTTGCACACACAACATCCTAAGGAACTCACAAAAATACTGAAATTAATATTTTCAACAAAAATAAAGGATATAAGATCAACTTACAAAAATCAGTTGTATTTCTGTACACTAACACTGAGCTATGATGAAATTTTTTTCTTTTCTTTTTCTTTTTTTGTCTTTTTCATTTTTATTGGTACCAGGGGTCAAACTCACGACTGCCTGCTTGCAAGACAGGTGCTTATGCCGCCGAGCTAAATCCCCAGCCCTGAGCTATGATGAAATTAAAAGTTTCACCTATAATAGCACTGAAAGGAACAAAATACTTAAACAATAAAATAAGGTAAGGAATTTTATACCACATATTAAAAATTATTATTTAAATTAAAGAAAACCTAAGTAAACAGAAAGCGTTCATGTATTAGGAAGACTTAATACTATTTAAATGATTGTGTTCTCAAATTGGGCTACAGATTCACTAAAATCAAAATCAAAATCCCAGATTGCTTTTTGCAGAAATTGGCAAACTAATTGTAAAATTCATATGAAAATACAAGGTATCCAGAATAGCCAAAATAATTTGAAAAAGAATAAAACTGAATGAATCATGATTTATGATTATAAGAGATACTCTAAATTAGGAGATAAATACTGAATATTTGAACATATGGTTACTATAATTTTAGCTAGTATACAATGCAATTTGCTTTAGATTTCATCACAAATTTTTTTCAAGTCAAACTCTATAACATCTATATAGATCTTTTTCTTCAATACTTATACCACAGGAAATTCTCTATACATGTCATTCTTATTAGGTGAAAAACCTAATGATATGAGCAAAAACATTAAGAATTCATTTTCCCTCCAATTTCTAGGTTAACTTTTTGCTAGTAAATATCTCTTAGCATTTAAGAGATTCTAAATAATGACTGAGAAATTGAATATAAATATACTTCACTTGTGATACTTACACACCTAAGCTAAGGGTGAAACATGAATCTATGGTCAATTACATAAAAATCCTTCACTTTTCCCACTCACTTGGCATATATGAGAATTATTGGCTCTGGAACCAGTGCAACAGCTCGAGTTCTGGCTCTGCCATCACACATGGCATATGAATTTGGGCCTATGCTCCAATTTCTGTGGCTAATAGAGGCACCAACTTCATAGAGTTGCCTGGGAGCTAAAATAATTTAATACATTTAAAATGTTTACAATAATAGCTGTCACAAAATAGGAAAATATTAGTATTATTTAGATTTCATTCACTTTTGGATTATAAAAGGAATAGGATAAAGCTGATTTTCAACACTGTTTCCTTGCTGGATTCTAAAAATAATAAAAAACAGTGTGAATTTTGTTCTGAACTGTTTAGCTATGGTGTAACCAGAGTCTAGCTACTTTATTAGGAACAGTTTTCTTTCTTTTGCCCAGATTTCTTATATATCCTTTTCATCCAATTGAGATTCTATCGTATCACCTCTGACTTAGTTTAAATGTGAATGAAAATTCTAAGATATTATTACTGACATTGCTGTATTTCTTACAAGAATTAATACAAATAGAATAAAAATAAATTAAATTGAACACTACTTATCATACATTTTCATTGCTTAGGATTCTGTATTCCATTTCAGAATAGCTGAAAGTATCTGATAATTATCTGCTTGTGTGGGTAAAAACACAAATTGTTTCATTGGCTTAACTTGTTTATTTGGCTTATAGTTATTGAATGAGTAATATAAACAATGCTTTTAAAAACAATATTAATAGTTTTCTACTAACATAATCTGATATTAGTGTTTCTTTAGAAAGAACTAATTTAACATAAATTATAAATTATAATTAATTAGGTAATTAAATAAAATAAGATATTTAAGTGGAGGAAATAGTATAGTGTGGTAAGACAAGTGGTACTCCATTCAACGCATCAGTTTTAACAAATGAACTGGTTAACTGCGTCTGTGGTTTCACTGCCTTCTTACTGCATTAGAGTAATAGCTGTACACTGTGCTGGGATTCATTTTATTCACGAGTTTTTCTCCTTCACCTTACACAAATAAACAAGCTTTTATGGACCATTTGCTTTCCTCTGAGTAGATGATGCAAAGGGAAAATGGAATTGTTTGAATTTCAGTTGCTAAATATGTCTCTTGGTTTGCACTCACAATATCTTAAATCAGTGTTTGTCCCCCTCCAAATCAGCTGCTCAAACACTGTGATAGCTGCAGTATAAACAGTGACTGTGGCAACAGCCAAATTCATGGCCAAATATACTTTACAATTAAATAAATAAGTGCAGCTTAAAGTCTTTATCTTAACAAAATTCTGACTTTTACTTACTTGATTTAGTCTTGATAGCATCATGATAATAATCAAGTAGAATAATCTTGTCATCCTTGAATTTAATTTTCCTGATCTGTAAAACTCTTTATTTCTCTCCAGTTCTACAGGTCTGTTCTTCGAATATTATTTGCCTTATCTCTAATGTGTTTTACACTATGATTACTCAATACAAACCAAGATAACTCTGTATTCAACTGTTACTTGAACCAGTGTAGAAAAATAGAATGTATCCTTTGAAAAATAATCCTTCTTTAGAATCATGTGATACAGATCTTAAACTTTTGCATCACCACAAATTGGTCAAGTTCTTGGAAATAAACAGATATAACTATTACGGCTTAAATTAAGAATTTATATGTACTTATCTACCGTGGTTTATTAAAAGAAGAAATGGAGTTCTTTGTAGTTACATTGACGTGTGTAGAACACCAAGATATCCTTTGACTTTGTAATCGCAGCTATTTTAGTTAATGCTCCTTAATGGAATAAACTGTGATTTAAAGGAACGGGAAAATTTTTAACACATCTATACATTTTTCAAAATGACTGAAAACTAAGGGGTTTTGATTGGAAAATATTGCTTTCTCGATCAAGACACAGGGTGGCGCTGCAGGCTAAGATTGTGAACACACACACAAAAGAGCCACAGGAAGTTTACGTATTCTTTTGTGTTGGGAGACATAATGAAAACCGCACAAGAAGCATTGCCAGCAATTGGGGATTATCAAAGGGTGAAGGAAGCGATATATCAAAGTAAAATTAAGGTGAAAGCGATTTTGTGGTGATTCCTACAAGCAAGGAATTAGAATTTCATGTTTCAACTTTTTTTTTCTTTCTTTGCCCGCGAGGGCAATCCCTGAAATAATTGGATACAAAGACTCGGATTTGAGTATGGGGAAACTAAACGGAATTCATATAAACAGGCAAGTGGTATCTTTTATTTTCATGACGTTTTTATCTCGGGTTTCACTTGAGCCTATTCATTATTCTGTGCCAGAGGAAACTGAGGGCGGCGCCTTTGTAGCCCATCTGATCAAGGATCTGGGGCTGGGAACTGGGGAACTGTCTTCCCGGTTAGCCCAGGTAGTGTTTGATGATGATAAGCAGCATTTGTTGCTGGATCCTCAGACTGGAGATTTGTTTCTGAGGGAAACACTAGACCGAGAGGAGCTATGTGGCCGCGCTGAACCGTGTGTGCTGCATTTCCAAGTGTTTCTTGAAATGCCAGTGCAGTTTTTTCAAGGAGAATTGTGGATTCAGGATATTAACGACCATTCTCCAACGTTTCCTGATAGGGAAGTGCTCTTGAAAATACCCGAAAACAGCCAGCCAGGGACAGTATTTCCGCTACAATTAGCTGAAGATTTGGATGTGGGCAGCAATGGGCTTCAAAAATATACACTCAGCTCTAATTCTCATTTTCACGTTCTCACTCGAAATCATAGTGAGGGCAAGAAATTCCCAGACATGGTACAGGACAAGCCACTGGATCGGGAGGAGCAGGCTGAGTACAGGTTAACCCTCACGGCTCTGGACGGTGGGTCTCCACCGAGGTCAGGCAGTGTCATGGTTCGAATCCTGATCATGGACGTCAATGACAATGCTCCTGAGTTTGTGCACACCCCCTATGAGGTGCAGGTCCTGGAGAACTGCCCTTTAAATTCCCCAATCCTCAGTGTCTTAGCTAGAGATATGGATGCTGGAAACTTTGGGAGTGTTTCCTATGGCTTGTTCCAGCCATCAGATGAAATTAAGCAAACTTTCTCAATCAATAAAGCCACGGGAGAAATCCGACTGCAGAAGAAACTGGATTTTGAGAAAATTAAGTCTTATGATGTGGAAATTGAGGCCACAGATGGAGGAGGCCTTTCTGGGAAAGGCACAGTAGTGATAGAGGTGGTGGACGTGAATGACAATGCCCCTGAACTTAGTATAACTTCGCTGACCAGCTCCATTCCAGAAAATGCTCCAGAAACTGTTGTCTCTATCTTCAAAATTCGGGATAGAGATTCTGGAGACAATGGAAAGATGACATGCTCTATTCCAGACAATCTTCCATTCGTTCTAAAACAGACTTTTAAGAACTTTTACACCCTAGAAACGGAGAGCCCGCTGGACAGAGAGACCACAGCCCAGTACAACATCACCATCACCGTCACCGACCTGGGGACGCCCAGGCTGAAAACCCAGCACACCATCACCGTGCTGGTCTCCGACGTCAACGACAACGCCCCCACCTTCACCCAAAGCTCCTACACCCTCTCGGTGCCCGAGAACAACAGCCCCGCCCTGCACATCGGCAGCGTCAGCGCCACAGACTCAGACTCGGGCACCAACGCCCAGCTCACCTACTCGCTGCTGCCGCCGCCCCACGACCCGCTCCCGGGCCTCGCCTCGCTCGTGTCCATCAACGCCGACACCGGCCAGCTGTTCGCGCTGCGGGCGCTGGACTACGAGGCCCTGCGCGCCTTCGAGTTCCGCGTGCGCGCCACCGACCGCGGCGCGCCCCCGCTCAGCGGCCAGGCGCGCGTGCGCGTGCGCGTGCTGGACGCCAACGACAACGCGCCCTTCGTGCTGCACCCGCTGCAGAACGCGTCCGCGCCCTGCACCGAGCTGCTGCCCCGCGCCGCCCAGCCCGGATACCTGCTCACCAAGGTGGTGGCGGTGGACGCCGACGCGGGCCAGAACGCCTGGCTGTCCTTCCAGCTGCTGCAGGCCAGCGAGCCCGGGCTGTTCAGCGTGTGGGCGCACAGCGGCGAGGTGCGCACCGCCAGGCCGCCGGGCGAGCGCGACGCGCCCAGGCAGCGGCTGCTCGTGCTGGTCAGGGACAACGGCCAGCCGCCGCTGTCGGCCAGCGTCACGCTGCACGTGCTGCTGGTGGACGGCTTCTCGCAGCCGCACCTGCCTGGGCCCGAGGCGGCGGCCGAGCGCGCGCAGGCCGACCCGCTCACCGGCCCCCTGGTGGTGGCGCTGGCCTCGGTGTCGTCGCTCTTCCTGTGCTGGCTGCTGCTCTTCGTGGCGCTGAGGCTGTGCGGGAGGAGCGGGCGGGCCGCGCTGCCTGGCTGTCCTGCGCCCGAGGGCCCCTTTCCGGGCCAGCTGCTGGACGTCAGCGGGGCGGGCACGCTGGCCCACAGCTACCAGTATGAGGTGTGTCCCACTGGAGACTCTGGGACTGGTGAGTTCAAATTCCTGAAGCCTCTATTTCCCAACCTCGGGGATCTGGATACTGTGGGAGAACCTAGGGACAACCCCACCTGCAGGAACAGCTCTGTATTCAGTTAATTACAGTATTTGTTATGTAATTTCATTAATTATGGCAAAGTTCCCATTATAATTTGTTCTCTTAAGAAATGGTGCTGTAATGTAAATATTGAATCTACTCTTTCAAATTTATTCATGTTCCTAGTGGATGTGGACACTGGGAAAGAAGTTAGAGAGAACCCCAACTGTAGGAACAGCTTAGTGTTCAGCTAAGTATTGTATCTGGCTCAGTGAATTTCCTGTTTAATTTTCGTCCAGGGAAGTGCCATACCTTCCTTTTAAGAGATAAGATTGTTCTTTAGATATCTTCTAAGATATTCTTTGTACCGTTGAATACTGTATGTATTTCTGATGGCACTAAATTTGTTTCTGTTTTACTCATATCCAGTGGCACCTATCATTTGTAGTTATACTGATATCTGTTTTCTCTATATTTGATCTTTTGGTGATTATCTTTCCATAACTGTAACTTAAGGAGTATAAAATTTTTCACTGTAAGTGTCTTGCTGAGACACTAAATTTCCCAGGCTGGGCTCCAACTTGTAATCTTTTTGTCTCAGCTTCCCAGAGTGCGCTGTGACTTTTACAGTTTTATCAGGGACATAGTGTTTTAAACTTTTCTTATTACTTTGACCTTTTTTAGTTTACTGTGCTATCAGTTTAAGGCCCCTGAGTAGCTAAGAACATAAAAATTTAGAATACTTATTTCTCCAAGTTATATGTAAACATGCACTTCAATAAAATATTAATCCCTTTATGACCTTTTTCCTTTTCTGAATTCTATTTATGTTAGGGATTAGTTTTTAATTGCTATCTACTTAGCACATTGTTAAGTGTTCCATAAGTGGTAAAATTGAATTTTAATAATAATTCTCATTAAATTGAATTTAAAGAGAAAATATATTGCCTTTTCTTTTACTAAATAAATCTGTTAAATTACTGCTTGATATAATCTTTTTTTTTTTTTTTGGTACTGGGGATAAAACTTAGTATTGCATGCTTGCAAGGCTGGTGCTTATGCCGCTGAGCTAAATCCCCAACCCCTAATATAATCCCGTTCAACCAAAATTTCAGAACTTATTCTTTCTTGACATTATTGTATATTGAATTATGTTTTCTTGTTCTGCCTTCTTTCTTACAAATAGAAGTTAAATTGTAGTTTACTGTGTGAATTTCCTTTTGTTTTCCAGCAGCTTCTCCCCATCTTTCTATAAAGAGTCACAACTTTAACAAATTTAACCATCCTGTTGAATTGATTATTAGTTGATCTCAGAGTTTTTACCTTTTTCTGGATGTAGACAGTCTATCACCAAAATGATTTCTTTGTGATATTTAATTAGCTTCTATTTTGTTCTTTACTGTAACCTTCAGTTATGGTTAATTTAATTTTTCATTCCAGTTGATATTATATCTGCATGAAATAAGCATTATTTTTTTCTGAGATAGGAACAGTAATGAATATCTGAATTGTCATTGTTTTGAGTTTTATATTCAATAAGCTTAGTGAACTGACTGTATGATTTCTAAATAAAATTCATATGTATGTAATTATAAGACAGGTTCATTGACCATCTGGCAGAATTGAGAAATTTAAAAAGTTACTTTGTAATTTAGTTAGGCATGGTGGCACACAACACCCAGCACTTGGAAGGGTGAGGCAGGAAGATTCCCTGAGTTTGAGGTCATCCTGGGCTACAAAGTGAGTTCAAGGCCAGTCTGAACTGCACAGTGAAACTCAAAAACCAAAGTATAAAACAAGCTTACTTTGTAACTTACTATTTGTTTGTAAATTTCAAGTCTCATTCTTCTGCAGTTAAGTGCTTGTGCTTTTCCCTGGATTACTGATTTTACTAAGAATATAACAAAATAGAAAAGGCTTTGACAACTTTAAATTATTCTTGAAACATAGTTTTTAGCCTTTATTCTTTAAAATTGAAGCGAGGAAGAGATGAAAGGGAGAATAGAATTAAACACAAATATGCAAGATATAAATATGGTGATGTATTCCTTATTTATTATCAACCATTTAAGTGAAAAAGTTTCATATGTGATGATAGGTAGTAAATCTGGTGAAAATTTTCACCAGTACATCATGAAAATGCAAATTTATTTAATTTTTTGTCTGTGCCAGTGAAGTCCCATTTGTCTAATCATTCAAATAATTCTAGCCAAATAAACACCTGGAACCCACCTCATCCCTTTGTGTATTTATGTGGTATGAGTGATTCTTTACTAGCTAGGGGCCACCACCAGATCATAGAATTGTTCAACATTTTGAAGTTTAACATGTTGTTGCAGCTTGAACTACTAGTATTACAAGCATGACTGTTCCCGTGGGCAGCTTGTACCACCAGTGGTACAAGTGGCACTAATCATTTTTATCAGTCTTTTTACTAATAAATTAATAAATCCACTAAATAGGACAGCTATGCATGTATCCTCTCTCATTCAATCCACCCAGCAGCGAGTCATATGGATTACATTATGAAAATGTTAATTCATCAAATTTAGTAGTAATGAGGATCCAGGCATATCCACATACCTTTTGAAAATACCCAAATTCTATAGTTACAAAATAAAATTAGAAAATATACATTAAACATCTTGACAATGGCCCTGATTTCAGTGTTCTCAAATTTCTTTATTATAAATGAATGTTTTATAATTTCTTTGCTGTTTTTAAGCACAGCATGTAGTAAGTTTAACACAGTTTATGCTTTCTGTAGAAATTCTACTAAAGACAAAGTAGCCCATACCACTGTCAAATCTCTTTTTCTAGGATGGAGGTGTACCTTAGTATTATAGTACTTACCTAGAATGCACAAGCCCTGGGTGCCATGCCCAGCATCACACCACAACACACACACACACGTACACGCATGCACACACACAATTTTTAAACTGTGGGGTTAAAATTTATCCATGTGTTCGGTAGAATTTGCTTCCAGATTAAATAGATTATCTGGTAGCAGAAAGGAATTATAAAAATTGGCTAAGATGTATAAAGTATCTCTTTAAAGCAGTGACAAGCAGATGGTCTTAAAACTCAATAGAACAAGATTCCTGAGATGGAATATCCATGGGTTAAAAACTGAATCCTGTTGTCAGTTTTACCCCAAGAAATTTGCCAAATGTAAAAGTAAGCAATGAGTTCTTAGAGAAAGTTCAGTAGCCTTTGGCAGACTGGAGTGTTGAAGCTCAGAACCAACTGTCAAACTCAAGGCACTTCATCAAGTAAAAGTCTCATCCACTTAAAAATTCTTGAAAAGCAGAGTAAAGTTTTTATTGTTTTACAAAGATTAGAGTTGTGGAACATGCCAGAGGACTGTGGCAAACAGCCCCTGTTGTTAACTGAAAATTCCTTAGGACTAGGTGCATGTCAGGATGGCAAAGAACAGTAAGCATACTGCCTGTTTCATCTAAGGTGACCTGATTTTATATGGCTGTGTTAAGCTAACAGAGTAAAATGTGAATTCCTTCTGAATGAAGATCATATTATTTTGATTCTGGACAGTGTTTTACATAAATATCTGCCATTTGTAAAAGCATTACCAGTCACATAAGAAAAATTTGAGTGACAGAATAAAATTGTGGAGAAAAAACAATATAAATGGCCTACATGATGATATAGATGTTAGAATTAACTTACAAAGATGTTAAAGTATGATGAACACATCAAAAATAAAGTACAGTACAAACAGATAAAAAGAGAATTTCACTACAGAATTGAAATTTTGAAATTAATTCTATAACTGACAAGTATAACATTGGATACAAAACTGTTTAAATGTATTAACACAATAGACATAAATGAGTACAAGATTCGCAAAAGCAAAACAGGCTAATATAAATGTCCAAAGAGAAACAAGAAAAAAATGTACAAAAGTAGTTATATGAGCAACTCTAAGATACATATGATTCTAATCCTACCAAGCTAAGAGAGTAAGAATTTCTAATAACCAATATTTGAAAATTTAATGACCACAGTTTTTTTTTTTCAAAAATGAACAAAAGAGACCAGATGTGGTGATACATGCCTATAATGCCAGCAGTTGGGAGGCTGAGGCAGGGGGATTGATGGAAGTTCGAGGCCAGTCTGGGCAACAAAGTGAGTTCAAGGCCAGTCTCAACTAAAAAGTGAAACTCGTGTCAAAAAGACAAAAAATAAAAAAGAAAGAAAAGAAAAAGAAAAAAGAAAGCTAAAGATTAAAAGTCTTCTTTAGGATATTCCATTAAGTATAAACAGTAAACATATAGCATACCTGGATAGAACATAGACAAGTGATTCAACACCAAACTCTAAGAGTAAAATTCTTAAAAGCAAGCACACAATAATAGAAAATTGCTGTTAGTACATATGCAGCCAAAGTGAGCACATCATTGTATTACTTTAAAATAAGCATCAGTAAAGTGGGGAGCTGGCTCTTAAATATAAATAATAACACAAAAGAGGAAGGAATGGTATTTTCAAAGTCATAAAATAAAACTATAATCAGCCAAGAAATCTGTTCCACAAACATACCTTCAAAAATGAAGTCTTCAGACAAACAAAAGCGTAAGAGACTCTCAGTCACATCTACACTAAAAAAAAATACAATTTGTTCAGCAGGAAAATAGAACCAAGGTGGTCATACAACTGGAAAAAGAAATAAAAAGCAATTGAAGAATAAATATAAATAAATATTGATGAAATATTGATTATATTTGGCAAAGATGGTAGTTCCATAAAGGATTTAAAATATATTTGAAATTTAAATTCATAATAGCAATAAGATAAAAGGCAAAGATATTGTTAAAGAGATCCAAATTTTTAAGCATAATGTCATGGAAGTACAAAAAATAATTTTATTAGATTTTTGTAGATCAAAGATGCATGCTGTAACTTCTTGTATAACAGGATTAACAGTTAATTGAAGGAAACACTCTTTTAAAAATCAAAAGTATTTTAATAATCCAAAAGAAGATCAAAACTGTAGGGAAAAATGGAAAAACGATTACAGGGTAAGAATAGATGGAATATACCAGAAATTACATTGGTTATAAATGAGTTAGGGAATCTAGTGAAAGAGCCAGAATTGTTAGATCACACTTTTAAAAAATTTAAGTATATATTTGACTAAATATGTGCATGGGATATATCTATGAAAGACTAAACCTTTAAGAATCGGATAAGTAGAGATGCACCCAGCCTCAAAAAAACCTACTCATTCTGCTTCTTGGTGGGAGCAGGGTCCTTTGTCAGGAAGGGAGGGATATGATTCTAGGATTAGAGTAATTCCTGGAAGCAGTGAAGAAGAGCCCAGCCAGGGAAAGGTGATTCCTAAAAGATCAAGGCTGAAGCTAATCAAGAAATGAAGTCAACAGGTACAGACTCAAGGATCCTATCTCTAGCTGCTGAAGCTGCCAAAATTCCTGAGCAGAATGGTCTTGTTATTTGTTGAAGTTAAAAGACATAATAAACAACCACCACTAGGAAGCTCAGAGTTGAAGAAAATCAAACAAGATATATATTGTTATGACCTCATTCAGTATTGCCTCTTGGACCTCAGGCTAGATTTTTCTAGGGTGGTTGGACTACCATTTCTCAGTTTACACAGACAGCCATTGCTGTGTGGGCTAAGAGCCAGGAGAAGATGCAGAGGAATTTTACAAGGACATATTTCCATCAGCTACAGAAGTTTCTTTAGTTTTGGGAAAAAGATTGCAAGCATGCTTTATCAATACACCTAAGGGTGAAGAAAAATGAATTACTACATTTTTTCCAAATTGTGACTTATTCTCTCTTGTGACTATTGAGAGTCCATGTTCAACTCATACAGAATGTACTACAAAGTGATCATTTCTTACATTTACTACAAACTTACAGGGTTCAAGTAGGATCTACAGTCATGACTCTGCTACAGAATGTATTATAAATCAACAGTGATGATCTACTCAGAATAGAAGGGAATGTCCTATATTCGATTTTAGATGAAGTTATTTCCAAGTTTTTATTAAACCCTAGTCCATTCATAAGAAATACGCTGTGAAGCTTCTACGTTGATAGCTCAATCTCATCAGGAAATTTTAATTTCACTGAGACTAAGTACCTGCTACAAAGGATTCAGAAATCTACTAAATAAGGAATTGGGGCATGATTTTTTAGTCAAGAATTTGGGAACTCATTGGCCTTTTAAGCTCTAAGATCTATCAGAAAGTAGGAGAGCAGAAAGTATATATCAAGAAACTTGCTTGATTCAAGCTTATTGGAAGGCTTCCAGACTATATACTCAAGAAGCTTCTATCTGCTGTGATTGCTTTGCTGAGGAGTTTTAGATCCAAATGAACAAAGACATTGCTAAAGCTAAATAGGCAGAAGGAAGAAAAGGAGCTCAGATTGCAGTTGCAACTTGAAAGATTGCCATGAGACTTTCCCAAGAATTACAGTTAAGTATGCTTGAAATAGTTCATCCAGGGCAAGTGGAGAAATGCACTCAGGAGTTGGAAGAGAAATCAACACTGATCAGAAGCATTGAAAAAGGTAAAGAGAAAGGAAAAAGCTCCATCAACAAAGGTCATCTCTCACAGGATATAAAGCAGCTGTCATATTTCAAACAGCAGTTCTTAAATTCCAAGCAAAGTGTCTTAAGAAAAAGAAACAATTTGCCCCTTAGCAAGGATGCCACAAACTCGCTGATGCACACAGAGTTCAACTGAAGCAACAAGTGGATGATGACTATGTCAGAAGACATCCAGGCTTTCAGATGTCAAATGTGGCCAGCGGGAGCTCTATGCCCAAGCTTAATAACAGCTACAACACTACTTTATGAGCAGAGCCCCAGAAGAGAGATCCCAGCAGCACAGAGTGGTTCTGGTGGCTCAGATCAGCACAAGTATTGCACAGCTATTGAAGGCACCAAGTCTGAAGTAAGCAGAAGGGAAAGAACCTGAGCTCTTCCTAAGTAGATCCATGCCTGTGGCAGCCAAGGCCAAACAGGCAGATCTCATCGCCCTGAAGCACTCACAACCACCTCGATGGAAGAACCTTGGGGAAGAACCAGGTGATCAGACTGGTGTTCCAAAGGATGAGCTTAGAATTACAAACCTTATTTATTGGTGGAATCAAATCCCCATAGGGAGTTATGACACTAATCTTATATTTCAGGAAGCTGTGTGGATTCTGCTGTGGTATACTGGTAGCCTAAGACTTTCCTAACTTGTGACTTTCCAGAGATTTCTCTCCAAAAAAAAACCAAAGATTTCTAGGAATTAAGCAAAAAGTTATCATCTGTCTCTGAATTCTCTTTTCCTTTTCTCCACATCTCTGTCTCTGGACATACACACAGATTTCTGTTGCTTTTGTTGTGGAACTAAACTGATTATGGCATTGAGTTGTTAAAAAATATTAAATTTATTTCATTTTTGCTATCTTTCAGTGAAAGGATTTTAAAATAAACATTTTAACAATTGTTCTGAAAAACTTGGGATTATTTTCACTTTTCATATTTGTTATTTAAAATTCCCATGTTGTTGTTAATATTATTATTATTATTATTATTGATGTGTTTTGGTAATTATTAAGGTGAGGAAAAAAGATCAGTGTAAGGACTTACTGTTTTGTGTAAAAATGACTAAATTTAATTTCTATTCTGTTATTTCTAAAAGGAACTACACACACAAGTCTAACTAAGACTCAATGTAAGAAAAATTTCTCCAGCTAAAATTCCATTTTTAAAATTAAAGTATGAGAACTACATAACTTATTGCTTCCCTTTTTATCTAAAATAAACAGCCTGTCTGAGAAAAAACAAAGAATGGAATAAGTTTGTAACAAAAACACTGGCCAAGATAAATCTAGTATAAGTATATCCAGAGAAGATGAAGGAACTTTATTAACTCCTGGTGTAAGGGAAAACGATACTGCCACTTTGGAAGGCAGTTTGGCATTTTATGATAAACCAAGAGCACTCTTACTATGTGATTGAACAATCATACTCCTTAGTATTTTTCCAAAGAAGTTAAAACTTACTTCCACCCAAAACCTTGCATAGGGAAGTTTATAGTAGATTTATTAATAATTTTTAAAGCTTGGAAGCAACCAAGATGAACTTCAGTACGTGAATGGAAAAATTGTGATTTAGTGGACAACAAAATATTTTTATTCAATACCAAAAACAAATGAAGTATCAATTCATGAAATTCATTTTTAAAACTTCAGTGCATATTGCTATGTGACAGAAGCCAATCTGAAAGATTCCCCACTGAATGATTTTGACTATGTGATATTTTGAAGAGGTAAAATTCTAAAAACACTAGTAATGATTTCCATGTATTTTGGGCAAGGCCAATAAATTTATAGAGCATAGGATACTTTAGACCATTAAATTACTTGGTTTGCTACTTAAAATGTGAATTTTAATGTGCTTTTTTCAATTTGGACAAACCTATAGAATATTCACTGCCAAAAGTGAACACTAGCATAAACTATGCATTTGAGGATAAAGCTGTGCTAATGTATGTTCATGAATTGTAAGAAATATGTCATTCTGGTAGAAGATGTTGACAATATGGAGAGATGTATATATAGGGGACAGAAACATATAGGAAACCTATGTACCTTTTCTTGGGTGAATCAAAAGCTGCTCTTTAAAAGGGACCTATTTTTGGGTCAGGGACATAACACAGTGGCACAGTGTCTGCCTGGTAAGCAGAAGGTCCAGAGTTTGATTCCCAGTGACAAAAATAAATAAGTAAACAAAATAACCTATTTTTAATTGAAATGGAAGACTTACATCTCAGATAATATAACATGATAAAGGTGCATTAGTTTTGACAATATGATATTGCAGGCTAAACAGATAAAAATGTAATACTTGAGAAAACCTGTGACTACCTAATTTTTGATAATAATGACACTTTGGAAATAATAAGAATAGCTCATTTTTCAATACAGAGCACACAGACATTTGAGGAGAATTTGAAAATATTAACAATGTTAATTTGAATTTTTAGTTGCGTATACCTTTAAATATGAAAAATACTATTCAAAATTATTAATCTTTCACATTTCATATAAAAATGTTTTCATGACTTTAGGGAGTGCAGGAACTTGAATAGAGTATAAAAGTGCTACCCAAAAGAGAAAATACTGACAAATCACAAGAAACTGAAGAGCTATTATTGATCAAAGGAAATAGTATAGAGTAAAAATACAATAGTATAGAGTGGGGAAAGGTATTTATAATTCATGCATCTGAAAAGTCTTATACTCAGAATACTGAAGAAACATTTACATATTAACAAGCAGATGGGTAAATGCCACAAAGAAAAGTGTACAAAACATTTGAAAAGCACATCACAAACTTGGACAAGTTAAGTGTGCAATTTAATAGTTTCATTAATTACCAGGGAAATGCTAATTAAAATTACAATACATCAACACACAGTAGAGTAGTTAAAATTGAAAAGACAGCACCAAATGTTGTCAAGCATATGGAGTAACTGGAACTCTCATACTTTGCTAGTGTTGGTACAGTACATTGGAAAACTCTTTCACAATATTTGCTGGTGCCAAAAGCCTATATACGACTTACTACACATCAGTTGAACTCCTATGAATATATTCAACATAAATACCTACATGTAGTCATCAAAAGAAGAGAGTAAGACCTCAGAGCAGTGCTACAAAACAAAAAAGTTCAAAACTGGGAAAAACCCCAATATTCAACAACTAAAAACCTATACCAAAAAGTCATGTTATGTGGACAAAATACACTCATACAAAGAGGTAATAATAAAACAAATTATGCCAACATACCTCAGATCCTTTTCCTAACATACTACTGAGTAAAAGAAGACAAACACAGTAGAGTGATATGTAACTCTATTTTAAAATGTTTTTAAAAATATAAAGAAAACACTAAATATAAAATTCAGGGAACTAGTTAGCTTTTGAGGGAACAGTAGTAAGCAGACAATAGCAGGAGAGGGCTTATTGCAGATCTATTTATCTATGTTACCTTAATAGTATTGTTAATTTTGTGAAAATCCATTGATTTGTAGAATTATTTGTATCCTTTTCAATATAAATGGTATGTTTCAACATAAAAGTAACTTTTATGAAGCCTGAACTTTTAAATACCATGCTGGTAATACAATGAAATTATAAAAAACAAAAAAGTTTTTAATGTCCTCAAAAGTAGTAATTATGGAGATTAACAACATTTGGATGGTCTCAAAAGTACTCCTTCACTGAAAAATTTCTACAGACATGTGTTTTAGATACCACAAACATTAAGAACTGGAGTTGCTATATAGGGTGTCACTGTGAATTAGAGGATGTTAATGCAGTACTGCATTCAAAGTAGAATGAAACACCAAATACTATACAATACTAAATGAGGACGCCTGGTGGCGCTGCAGGATAACAGAGCGAAGAATTGCTAGGCGAATACCCAGTTCGCCATTATGCAGGCAATCAGAACTCTGAATGCTTCCTGAAAGCATTTTAGATGGCATCTAGAGAAGGGATCATCAGAGAAGGAACCGTTCTAAATGCAAGTCAGTCGTCCAGATTTAATTCACTGTCGTTTACCAAATCATCTGGGTGGATTGTACAGTGAGGTGGAGAAACTGCATCTTCTGGACCGGGGCTGAACAATGGAGACTGCCCCAGCAAAAACGCTGCACAAAAGGCAAGTTGCTTTTCTTGTTATGCTGTTGTTTGTGTGGGAGGCTGGCTCTGAGGCGATTAGGTATTCGATGCCAGAAGAGACAGAAAGTGGCTACCTGGTGGCCAACCTGGCAGAAGATGTGGGGCTCAGGGTGGGGGAGCTGGCCACTCGAGGCGCGCGAATCCATTACAGAGGAACCAGGCAGCTCTTGCAGCTTGATGTACAGACTGGCAATTTGCTTCTGTGTGAAAAGCTAGACCGGGAGGGGCTGTGCGGGGCGACAGAACCCTGTGTGGTGCATTTCCAACTGTTACTGGAAAACCCCGTGCAGTTTTTTCAAGTCGAACTGCAACTCACAGACATAAACGACCATTCTCCAGAGTTCTTAGAGAGAGAAACCCTCCTTAAAATCCCAGAGAGTGCCCAGCCAGGGACCGTGTTTCCTCTGAAAATAGCCCAGGACTTTGACATAGGGAGCAACACTGTTCAGAACTACACGGTCAGCCCCAACTCCCATTTTCATGTGGTGACTCACAACCGCGGGGATGGCAGGAGATATCCAGAGCTGGTGCTGGATAAAGCTCTGGACAGGGAGGATCAGCCCGAGCTTAGTTTAATCCTCACAGCTGTGGATGGTGGGGACCCGCCCAGGTCGGGGACCACGACAGTACGCATTGAAGTCGTGGACATCAATGATAACGCCCCTGAATTTTCACAGTCGCTCTATGAGGCACAGGTTCCTGAGAACAGTGCGCTCAGTTCTGTTGTTGTCACTGTGTCTGCCCGAGATTTAGATGCAGGAATACACGGGAGTGTAGTCTATACTTTACTTCATGGCGACGAAGTTACCCAGCCCTTTGTAATAGATGAAATGACAGGAGAAATTCGTCTGAAACGCACATTGGATTTTGAGGAAAATCAGTACTATAGCCTGGAAATTGTAGCCACGGACAGTGGAGGCTTCTCGGGGAAATGCTCTGTCTCTATAGAGGTGTTGGATGTGAATGACAACGCCCCTGAACTGACCATGTCCACGCTCAGCACATCTGTTCCAGAAAACGCCCCAGAAACTGTGGTTGCCATTTTCAGTGTGTCTGATCCAGATTCTGGAGACAATGGTAGGATGGTTTGCTCCATCCAAAACGATGTACCCTTCTTTTTGAAGCCTTCTTTCAAGAACTTTTACACCCTGGTGACAGAAGGACCACTGGACAGAGAAAGTCGAGCCGAGTACAACATCACCATCACCGTCACCGACCTGGGGACGCCCAGGCTGAAAACCCAGCACACCATCACCGTGCTGGTCTCCGACGTCAACGACAACGCCCCCACCTTCACCCAAAGCTCCTACACCCTCTCGGTGCCCGAGAACAACAGCCCCGCCCTGCACATCGGCAGCGTCAGCGCCACAGACTCAGACTCGGGCACCAACGCCCAGCTCACCTACTCGCTGCTGCCGCCGCCCCACGACCCGCTCCCGGGCCTCGCCTCGCTCGTGTCCATCAACGCCGACACCGGCCAGCTGTTCGCGCTGCGGGCGCTGGACTACGAGGCCCTGCGCGCCTTCGAGTTCCGCGTGCGCGCCACCGACCGCGGCGCGCCCCCGCTCAGCGGCCAGGCGCGCGTGCGCGTGCGCGTGCTGGACGCCAACGACAACGCGCCCTTCGTGCTGCACCCGCTGCAGAACGCGTCCGCGCCCTGCACCGAGCTGCTGCCCCGCGCCGCCCAGCCCGGTTACCTGCTCACCAAGGTGGTGGCGGTGGACGCCGACGCGGGCCAGAACGCCTGGCTGTCCTTCCAGCTGCTGCAGGCCAGCGAGCCCGGGCTGTTCAGCGTGTGGGCGCACAGCGGCGAGGTGCGCACCGCCAGGCCGCCGGGCGAGCGCGACGCGCCCAGGCAGCGGCTGCTCGTGCTGGTCAGGGACAACGGCCAGCCGCCGCTGTCGGCCAGCGTCACGCTGCACGTGCTGCTGGTGGACGGCTTCTCGCAGCCGCACCTGCCTGGGCCCGAGGCGGCGGCCGAGCGCGCGCAGGCCGACCCGCTCACCGGCCCCCTGGTGGTGGCGCTGGCCTCGGTGTCGTCGCTCTTCCTGTGCTGGCTGCTGCTCTTCGTGGCGCTGAGGCTGTGCGGGAGGAGCGGGCGGGCCGCGCTGCCTGGCTGCCCTGCGCCCGAGGGCCCCTTTCCGGGCCAGCTGCTGGACGTCAGCGGGGCGGGCACGCTGGCCCACAGCTACCAGTATGAGGTGTGTCTCACTGGAGACTCTGGGACTGGTGAGTTCAAATTCCTGAAGCCTCTATTCCCCAACCTCGCGGATCTGGAGACTGGGGGAGAACTTAGGGACAACCCCACCTGCAGGAACAGCTCTGTATTCAGTTAATTACAGTATTTGTTAAGTAAATTTCATTAATTATGGCAAAGTTCCCATTATAATTTTTTCTCTTAAGAAATTGTGTTGTAATGTAAACATTGAAACTACTCTTTCAAATTTATTCATGTTCTTCAGAGCACTGGACTTGTTCCCTGCATTTTAGTATTTAGAATTTTTATTAGTGCTGGATATTAAGGTTTCTCTAGGTAGTTTACATTCTTTTGGTGAATAATCTTTCCACAACTATGAATTATTCAAGTAATATAAAATTTACAGCTCAGTATTTGAAAATTAGGCATCTTTTTCCTGCCTATGCTACATAATGAATCCCACACCAATGAATACTACATAGTAAGACTGTCACAAATTTTATTTTACTCCAGTTAATGTCTTCTGAAATTTTTAAAATTGTTTTTATACTATTTGTTTACCATATAACTTCATCTTTTCAAGGCTGTTGGAAATTCTCTATTTTATTTTATTAATTTTGAGGTTTGAACTCAGGACTTCTTGAATGTTAACCATACATTCGACTCTTGATCTATACTGCACCTGAAATATTTTATGGTTACAGGACATTACTGGTTGACTGTACTATCAAGTGAAACCCCCTGAAGAAACAAAAGCATAAAGCTGAGTATATTCCTCTTACACTGTAAGAAGCATGCACCTCATTAAAATATTAGTACACTAAAATTGTGATCTATTTCTATTGTGTGCACCACACATATGCTAAAGATTATTTGTTATTTGCATTCTACATATCTGGCATATTGTATATCATAAAACTATTAAATTTTAAAAATAATTCTTTTATAAATGATAACATGATAAGCTTGTATAGTTTGTCATCCCTTTTACTAAAACTGGTAGGGGTCTAAACTTATAGCTCAATGGCTAATCATTTATGCATGTAGGCCCTGAGTTCAGTTAGGCACACAAGTAAACCAAAACAAAACCCTGTTATATCCCTGCTTTCTTTACCCCATTAGGGAAAATACTGATAATATGAAATAAATCTTGAATTCCACTAAAGAACAGAGAAATGTTAGGACATTGTGTATTTTTTTTCTGGTCCTTACTTTTGCCCTATAATAGAAGGCTAACTGTAGTGTCTTCAGTTTTAGAGTTGGGTTGGGTTGGGTTGGGTTTTGTGGTGCTAGGATATGGACAGAATTCCAGGGCCTCATGCATGCTATATTATTGTGCTACATCCTCAACCCCAAGTTTAGTTTATTGTGTGAATTTCCTTTGGTCTTCCTGAAGTTTTTCCCTGCCTTTCAAACAAGTTCAAAATTTCTTCCAAATATTGACTGTCCTTTCTCATCATGATCATAAGTTAATGTTGGATTTCTTTTACCTTGTATGTCTTTGTGTGACCAGAGTTTATCCACAAAATAATGTTTGTTTGATATTTATTCTTTTATTTTGCTCTTTAGTATAAACTTCAGTATTTTGAGTTAATTTTTCAATCATGCCAAAGTTGCATTTATATGAAATATGTATTGTTTTGTACTTTAATAGTTTGGAACAGAAACAAACTTAACTGAATTATAATTGTTCTGTGTTGTGTTCAGCAAAACACATATGATGACCATGTGATTTCTAACTAGAAAATACATATGGATATATTACAGGACAACTTTATTGAGCTTTCCACAGAAAAGGAGCAGTTGAAGAGCTTGCTTTCTAATCTAATATGGTTACTTTTAAATCTGAAGTATTGTTCTACTTCAGTTTAAGTACTTGAATTTTCCCCTGAGTTATTTTTTCCTAACTATATAATGAAATAAAAGGGAAATTATTAGCCAGCTGTTGTTCTCAAGATCTAATTTTGGCTTTTCCGCAGTTTAAACATTAAAGCAAGGAAAAGATAAAAGTGAAAACAAATACAAACAAATATGTGAAATTTGTGGAAAAAAAGAGTAAAGTTTGTGTATGTAAATATTATTGTTTGGGACCTGCCATTGGGAAAGCTATAGATAATATACTAAGTTCTCATTTGAAAATTCTGCAGGGCTGGGTGCTTATCAGAACTTCAAAGCACAAAGTGTGACTAAGCCCAGTACCTATTTGGAAAAAGGTGATTTCATTAGATAGGGCCCCTTAAAGCTAAGAGAGTAAAAGGTGAACTCTCCTTTGAAGAATATAATATCTTAATTCTGGGTAGCTTTTTACGTAAATATCTCTAGCATTCAGAAAAATAAAAGTAATAGGTTCACAAGGTGTGGTGATGCATGCCTATAGTCCCAGCACTAAGGAGGCTGAGGCAGGAAGATTGTTGCAAATTCAAAGCCAGTCAACAAAATGAGTTCAAGGACAGCTCAGACTGAATGGTAAGACCCTGTCTTAGAAGGACAAAAAGAAAGAAAGAAAAGAAAGAATAATAGGTTCATATACACAAACTGAATGATATGAGTAAAACTGAAAAATCATAATACCAATGACTTATAGATTACTCAGATACCACAATTAACTAACATACATGTTAAAATAAATATGACAATGATTTAAAAATAAGGACCAGTAGATAAGATCATGGCACCTGGGAACTGAAATTTTAAAATGGAAAATAATTCTACATATAGAAAATATAATATCTGACACAAAATGAAATAAATGATTAATGTCATAAATGTAACGAAATATAAGACTAGCGAATAGAAGATAGGTCAATCTAATAATCCAAGAGAAACACAACATACAATAATACAAAATACAAGAAGAACATTAGTATCACAAAGAATACAACCCAAAACTCTAGCACACATGTGCTTGTAATCTTAGAAGGATAAAAGAGAATAAAAGTGGGTATAAGCATATATGAAGTTATAATGACCAATAATTTTCTAACATAGACAATGTCTTTAATCCTTCAATAATCATCAGGAAGCCTAATCAGGGTAAATATTAAATAAAGCCTACTATATCATAGAAAAATCTTCAAGACCAAAGCCAAAGAGAAACAATCTTAAAAACAGCACCGTAAAAATGATACTACTTTTCAAGAGCCTCTATATAAGAAAGAGCTGACCTAACAAAAACCATGAAATCCAAATACAAAGAGGTAATGTCTTTTAATTACTGAAAGAAAATTATTGCCAGACTAGAATTCTATTCAACAAACATACCCTTCAAAATGAATTTATCAGAAAAACAAAAACTAAGAGAATTAATCACTGTCATACCTTCACTAAAAGAAATATTCTTAATGGAATTAATTAGACAGGAAAACAACCCTAATAGAATCACAGAACTGCCAGAAGAAACAAAAAGTAACTGAAAGGTAAATGAAAATTAATGGTGACAGAATATTGATTATACTAGGCAATAACAGCAGTTTGTTAATTTAAAATATATGTATGAAATTTAAATCAATAATAGCTATAGCTTAAAAGAAAGAGTTATAATGTTCAAAAGTTCCAAAATTCTAAGCTTTATGTCCTAAGACTAGAAAAATAAATTTTCATTGAATTATTTTACATTGAACATGCATGCTACAACATACATTGTGGTCCATGCCTGTAATCCCAGCACTCAGGAGGCTTAAGCAGGAGTATTACTACGATTTTGAGGCTAGCCTGGGCTACATAATGAGATCAAGGCAAATTTGCACTACATGGTGAGACTCTATGTCAAAAAAAGTGCACGCTGTAATTTCTTGGGTGGCCACTAACAGAATAACTACAAAAATAACTGAAGAGAACTTTTAAAATAACAAGTATTTTAATAATGCCAAAGAAAAAACTTTAAGGACATATGGAAAAATAATTAGATGGTAGGTATAGATGAAAAGTATCAGCTATTACATTCATGACAGGTAGATTAAGTAATCCAATTAAACAATCAAAATTGTAAGATTAGATTTAAGGAAAAGCAAAATACATGCTATCAAATTAGTATGTGCATGTAAGAGAGAGAGACAGACAGACAGATAGACAGATGGAGAGAAAGAGATAACAGAAAGATTGAAAGTTTAAAATAGAGTGAGTAGTATAATACAAACACTAGCCAAAACAATTTTAGGGTGGTTATATTTACATAAGATAAAGGATACATTAAGAAAAGATACATTGCTAATGAAAACAGAGATGTTTCATAATAATAAAAAGTAGTATACCTGAAATCTTTGAGTTATTAATTCAATACTTTGCCATAAGAGAACTACTAAGCATAAAAAATTGAGTTGGCAGAGAACAAATGCAAGATAGACAAATGGCATTCATATTGTAAAGCTTAATACCCCTGTCCAGATTCCTGACAGAATAAAATAGAACACACACACATGCACAGACATACTGAAGAATATTAAAGACCTGAAAAACGTGAACCTCTTGTTCAATTATGTTGACAGGCATAGTATTCCAAAACCCTCACATTCTTTTACATACATGTGGGTTGTTATCAAGATTGTCCAAAACCTGGCTCATAAAGCATACTTTAAATGTAAAAGAATGAATTGAAATGCCTTAGGATATTCTTTGACCACAGCAGAATTAATGCAATATTAATATCTAATAGGACATTCCCTAATATTTCAAAGGTAAACAATCAAACCCGTAAGTCAAAGAAATAACAGAAATTTCCAAATATTTCCAAACTGGGTAAAAGTCAAGAACTAACAGATCACATCAGAACAAATGGAATTTTAGTGCATCCTAAATGTTCATATTAGAACCTTAAATTCACATAGAAGAGATTCAAAATCAGTAAAGGAATTTTAAGAGAATACACAAAGTAAAGCAAATCAAGTACAAAAGATGCACATAGAAAATATAAGTAGAAATAAATTTCAGGCCAAATGCATATTTTGTATTATAGGGAAAACCAGTAAACCAAAAGTTATTTCTGTGTAATAATTAATACAGTTAGAAACTCTTACATAAGAAAAAGGACAAAACACCAGTTGCCAATATTAGGAGTACAAAAGGAGCATAACCACCAATCCTGCCAGCATTGAAATATAAACTTTTGTAAATATGAACGATTTTATGTTAGAAATTTAACAAATTATATAAAATATCCTCATTTTACAAAACCAAAGCAAGAAAAATATAAAATCTGATTAGGCCTATCTATTAAAAACTTTTTAAATGTTTTTAAAAAATCTTGCCTCTTTACAGTAGTAAATTCCAAATATTTGTATAAGTATTAACATTGATATATACAAACTCAGAACAGAAAAATATAATTATTTGCTAAATCATTTGGGTGCCAGAATAATCTGATCAGGACATCCAGATCTGAGTTAGATCTGATAAGAAAGAAAAATAAAAGTCAAACTGATTTATAAACATATATAACGTTTTTCTTTTCTTTTTTTGTGTGTATTTTTAAAAATTTTATTTAATAACATTTTTCTTTTTAAAAATATGCAAATACTTGGATATATATATAAGAAAAATTATTGAAGATGGAGTTTAATTTAGCAGTACATGGCAGTATAATTGAAATTTGATCAGTGTAATTCACTATATTAACAGATATAGGAAAAATAACATGATTACCTCAACAGGGACAGAAAAAGTCATTTAATTTAATTCAGCACACATTAATGGTAAAATTATATACAAATGAAAATGTAAAAAACTTTTAGGTGTCTTTAAAAACTGACAGTAAGCGTTAACAATGCCAAACTGTTGAAAACTCACTTTTGGAGATCAAGTATGAGATTTCTAACTATTCACGATTTTACTATTGAGCCTAACCAGTGGGGAGAGCAGCAAAAGAAAAGGCACAGTGTTTGGAAGGAAAGGAATAAACACTTGTTTAAAAAGATAAAGTCACGAATAACTACATATCTCACAATTTCTTTGTGAAAATTAATCACCTGAATATAAAGTTTAATAGAAATACAAAGGGACAATAATAGTCCGACATTGTTGAAGAAAAAAGAATAAATCTGGATATATCACGCCAAGACCATGATCTGCGAGAGAAAGAACTCATAAAAAGAATTTCACGAAGCTTCTGCTCTATAAAAGTTTCAACCAAGAGAATAAAAAGACAAGCCACAGCCTAGAAGAATATTTGCAAAAGATGTATTTGATAAAGAAAAACTCTTATCCAGTATACAAAATAGAAAGAATAAAAATAGCTCAAAGATCTTAACAAGCACCTTCTAAAGAAGAAGCGACTGAAAACAAACATATCAAAAGCTGTTCCACATCATATGTAATGAGGGAAAGCCAAATTAAATAAAAATGTCACTACACAACTACTAGAACAGCCAACCTGCAGCACCAAACGCTGTGGGGAATATGGAGCAACAGGAACTCTCTCAGACTGCTGGTGGAACAGAAAAATGGCACTGCCACTCTGAAAGAAAGTTTGACATTTCATATAAAGTTAAACACACTTCTATAGGATTGAGAATCAGGCTGCTCAGTACTTAGAAAAAGGAGTTGAAAACTGATTTCTATACAAAAAAATTTCACAGAGAAGTAATAGCTTTATTCATAACCATTAAAACTTGGAAATAACCATAATGACCCTCAGTGGGTGAATGAATAAACAAATTTTTATACAGACACATAGCAAGATATTCTTACTCATGCCAAGATGAAAAGACTATCAATGCATGAAAAGTCATTGAGAAAACATAAATACATGTTATTCTCAGAAAAAGGTCAAAATAGGATAAGACTTCATATTATATGATTCTTCATACAACATACTGTGTGATTTCAGAATAAGGTAGAGGTTTGTACAGATTTTGGAATGGGGGAGGAGATATAAATAGAGCATAGAAAATTTTTGGTGCAGTGAACACATTCTGATAATACTTTAAAGGTAGCTATGTCATAAATTTATTCAAACTGATAGAATGTACAGCACCAAGAGTGAACCCTAATTTAAACTATTAACTTAGTAATAAAAGTGTGTTAATATGTGTTCAACAATCATAAGAAATGGTGTGGGATATTGGTAATAAGTTTCGTACATGTGTGTACATGGGAAATTTCTGTACATTGTGATCATTTTTTGTGAACCTAAAACTATTCTCTAAAATCATTATATTTTTAATGGACATATCTCTCAGAAAATAAAATTCATGATATAGTAAACCCATCACAACCATAGTAATTAAGAAATTGTTGTATTACAGATAAACAAAGGTAAAAGTATAATACTTGAGCAGGCCTATCACAATGAAGACACTTCAAAAATAATGTGTCATCTTTTCAACAGATGGTACACAGGCATTTGGGGAAAAATTTGACTAACCATATTAATTTGGAAAAAATTGATTTTAAGTTGAAAATGACTTTACATATGAAAACCAAAGTATTTCATACAATGTTTTTGACATTGATGCATGCAAAAATTTAAATTGAATACAAAAAGTGCTAATCAAAATGGGAAAATTTTGATGAATCAGAAGAAAAACTTAAGTATCATTGATCAAAAACACTATATTAGGATAAAAATACAATGCATAGAGTGGAAAAAGGATATATATGGGGAGAAGATAGACTTGAACAGTACTTAACAAAATATCCATAAGTCAACAAGTATGTTAAAATGTGAATGATTCTATTAATTCCCAGGGGAATATTATTAAAATTACAATATGATACCATCACATACTCAGTTGAGTGGTTAAAATTGAAATGACAACATCAAGTGCTGACAAGTATATGGAGCAACTAGAACTCTTGTACTTTATTAGTACAACAACTTTTGAAAAATTTTTCACAGTATCTGCTAAAGATAAAAATATGTGCACACCTTAATTTACAGCAACCCAAATTCTATTCAAAAATAAATTCATCAAAAGATATATACAAAGTCTGATGCAGTACTACTAATAAAAAAAGCTCAAAAGTAGAAAAGAATTAATGCTTATCAACTGAAGAGTGTATAAATGAATTGTACTATACTCATATATCTAATACAAAAGCATTGATATTAAAACAAATTAGAACAACATTCACAGATTAATTTTACAAACATAACACTGAATGAAAGAATCTGTCTACATAGGGTAGACAAGACTACTCCATATAATCCCATTTATATAAAGGTTCAAGCCACAGCAAATGAGGGAAAAAGTATGACAACGGAATTCAGGGTTGCCCTTATCTTTTGAGGGGTGGATATTAATCAAGTAATGATAGATGATCTTCTTGAGTTTTGGTGCCATTTTATTTTTAATTTAGATGCTGTGTCTGGGATTATACCAGCTTTGTGAAAATTCAAATATGTATACAACTATTATGTGTACCTTTTTCTAGATGACTGCTATACTTTTAAATAAAAGTAGTTGTCTACATATTTTAAAATATTTATATATTCATTATCAGATATTGCTTGAACAGACAGACAATACACAAAGTATATATGGACTTCAAACTAACATATTAGTTTATTTTCCTAATTTTTAATTTTAGAGAGATTAAAAGAAAACAAAACAGTAAAAACAAAACAGCAATAAAAGATGTCAAAATAATGTGAAAGAATTAAGAATAGCCACTAGATTGCATATTGTTATGTTCAAAATAGTTGCTCAGATTTTTAGCTTATATTCAAAGTATTATTTAACAAAACTAACTCGGGAAACATTTATTTAGACTTACAATCACTAGGAATTGAAGAAAAATTGACAGTGCTTCTATAAACTAATAGATTGATATAACGGTAAGAATTCAGAATAAAATATGATAAATGCTGTGCGATAGTTCATGTGGACACGGGGTGGCGGTGCAGGATAAGAGAGTGAAGAACTGCAGACCAAATACCCAGCTCGCCATTATGCTGGCAATCAGAACTCTGAATGTTTCCTGACAGAAGGAAGCATTTTGGATGGCATCTAGGGAAGGGATCTTTAGGGAAGGCACAGTTTTAAGTGCAAGTCAGTCGGCCAGACTTATTACACAGTCAACTACCAAATCATCTGGGTGGATTATACAGTGAGGTGGAGAAACTGCATCTTCTGGACTAGGTCTGAACAATGGAGACTGCCCCAGCAAGAAAGCTGCACAAAAGGCAAGTTGCTTTTCTTGTTATGCTGTTGTTTGTGTGGGAGGCTGGCTCTGAGGCGATTAGGTATTCGATGCCAGAAGAGACAGAAAGTGGCTACCTGGTGGCCATCCTGGCAGAAGATGTGGGGCTCAGGGTGGGGGAGCTGGCCACTCGAGGCGCGCGAATCCATTACAGAGGAACCAGGCAGCTCTTGCAGCTTGATGTACAGACTGGCAATTTGCTTCTGTGTGAAAAGCTAGACCGGGAGGGGCTGTGCGGGGCGACAGAACCCTGTGTGGTGCATTTCCAACTGTTACTGGAAAACCCCGTGCAGTTTTTTCAAGTCGAACTGCAACTCACAGACATAAACGACCATTCTCCAGAGTTCTTAGAGAGAGAAACCCTCCTTAAAATCCCAGAGAGTGCCCAGCCAGGGACCGTGTTTCCTCTGAAAATAGCCCAGGACTTTGACATAGGGAGCAACACTGTTCAGAACTACACGGTCAGCCCCAACTCCCATTTTCATGTGGTGACTCACAACCGCGGGGATGGCAGGAGATATCCAGAGCTGGTGCTGGATAAAGCTCTGGACAGGGAGGATCAGCCCGAGCTTAGTTTAATCCTCACAGCTGTGGATGGTGGGGACCCGCCCAGGTCGGGGACCACGACAGTACGCATTGAAGTCGTGGACATCAATGATAACGCCCCTGAATTTTCACAGTCGCTCTATGAGGCACAGGTTCCTGAGAACAGTGCGCTCAGTTCTGTTGTTGTCACTGTGTCTGCCCGAGATTTAGATGCAGGAACATATGGGAGTATAGTCTATACTTTACTTCATGGCGACGAAGTTACCCAGCCCTTTGTAATAGATGAAATGACAGGAGAAATTCGTCTGAAACGCACATTGGATTTTGAGGAAAATCAGTACTATAGCCTGGAAATTGTAGCCACGGACAGTGGAGGCTTCTCGGGGAAATGCTCCGTCTCTATAGAGGTGTTGGATGTGAATGACAACGCCCCTGAACTGACCATGTCCACGCTCAGCACATCTGTTCCAGAAAACGCCCCAGAAACTGTGGTTGCCATTTTCAGTGTGTCTGATCCAGATTCTGGAGACAATGGTAGGATGGTTTGCTCCATCCAAAACGATGTACCCTTCTTTTTGAAGCCTTCTTTCAAGAACTTTTACACCCTGGTGACAGAAGGACCACTGGACAGAGAAAGTCGAGCCGAGTACAACATCACCATCACCGTCACCGACCTGGGGACGCCCAGGCTGAAAACCCAGCACACCATCACCGTGCTGGTCTCCGACGTCAACGACAACGCCCCCACCTTCACCCAAAGCTCCTACACCCTCTCGGTGCCCGAGAACAACAGCCCCGCCCTGCACATCGGCAGCGTCAGCGCCACAGACTCAGACTCGGGCACCAACGCCCAGCTCACCTACTCGCTGCTGCCGCCGCCCCACGACCCGCTCCCGGGCCTCGCCTCGCTCGTGTCCATCAACGCCGACACCGGCCAGCTGTTCGCGCTGCGGGCGCTGGACTACGAGGCCCTGCGCGCCTTCGAGTTCCGCGTGCGCGCCACCGACCGCGGCGCGCCCCCGCTCAGCGGCCAGGCGCGCGTGCGCGTGCGCGTGCTGGACGCCAACGACAACGCGCCCTTCGTGCTGCACCCGCTGCAGAACGCGTCCGCGCCCTGCACCGAGCTGCTGCCCCGCGCCGCCCAGCCCGGTTACCTGCTCACCAAGGTGGTGGCGGTGGACGCCGACGCGGGCCAGAACGCCTGGCTGTCCTTCCAGCTGCTGCAGGCCAGCGAGCCCGGGCTGTTCAGCGTGTGGGCGCACAGCGGCGAGGTGCGCACCGCCAGGCCGCCGGGCGAGCGCGACGCGCCCAGGCAGCGGCTGCTCGTGCTGGTCAGGGACAACGGCCAGCCGCCGCTGTCGGCCAGCGTCACGCTGCACGTGCTGCTGGTGGACGGCTTCTCGCAGCCCCACCTGCCCGGGCCCGAGGCGGCGGCCGAGCGCGCGCAGGCCGACCCGCTCACCGGCCCCCTGGTGGTGGCGCTGGCCTCGGTGTCGTCGCTCTTCCTGTGCTGGCTGCTGCTCTTCGTGGCGCTGAGGCTGTGCGGGAGGAGCGGGCGGGCCGCGCTGCCTGGCTGCCCTGCGCCCGAGGGCCCCTTTCCGGGCCAGCTGCTGGACGTCAGCGGGGCGGGCACGCTGGCCCACAGCTACCAGTATGAGGTGTGTCTCACGGGAGACTCTGGCACAGATGAGTTCAAATTCTTGAGACCATTTTTCCCCAGCCTCCCACCCCAGAGTGCTGGGGAAGAAACAGAAGGAAACATTGGTGTCCGCAACAGTTTTGGGTTCCAGTAGTGGACTGATTATGATGCTATGTTTTCTGCCGTTTATTCCTGAATGGCTCAGGTATAGAAGTGTTAGGGAGAAACATTTCGCCTTTAGATATAGGTTTGATTTTTCTCTTGTAAGGGATTTATGAATTGAATTTTATTTTTCAGTTTGTAAAATTGAGTTCTAATTATTTAGTGTAATAGCAAAGGATAGAGCCTATGACCTAGTATATTTGTGCTTTATAATTGAACTGTCCCTGACTCAATTCTACCTTATTGCACTTATTTACATATTATCGTCCCAAATCAGCTTCAGGGAAACCCTCTCCCATAGCAACCATTATGAGGTGTGTCTGAGGGATGGCTCAGACCCCAGAGATTTCAGTTTTCTGAAACTGATTGTCCCCAGTAGTATCATTCAAGACACTTAACGGGACCATTGAAAATTCTCACTTAGGATAAGTGATTGCCAATCAAAGAAATGTGTTTTCTGTTTTATTTAGTAATTTTCAGTTCACATATTTTTTATGGATTTACCACTTATGTAGTTTTATGTTATTTTTTACTTGCTTCCTATTGTATGCATAATAGTTCTTTTTCTTTTCCTCGTAGGACAGCAAATATGAGTTATGATTTCATATTGGTGTATTTAGCAACTCATTTCCAATTTCATATTTCCAGACTACAGTACTGTAGTCTGAGTTTTACAGTACCCATATATAATTTACCCCATTAAACATATTTTAGTTCACCTTATAATATTCGGTAAGTAACTTTGTCTTTGTCTTACTAAATTTGAGGAATGCGATGATGTATTTTCTGTATAGTATAGAAATCTATCATCTTTGTAGGAGTAGCGTACTGAAATGACAGTAACGTTTAATTCATTTTCTGTATTCACATTTTGCAATTACATTTAAGTATTATGTAATTATGAAAATGGATAAAATTATAGCATAATGAAACAATTTTCTTTTATATAATCTCTCTAGGGTTGCTCATAATGACAGCTGAGGAAAAGATTAAATCTAAGTCATTTTCAACAACTGATTGAGCTTTCCATTTTCATGAAGCTTTGGTTAGTGATGCATCTAGTGGAACTACTATTTGTTTTGTAGGTTATGAGATGTGAATGTAAAGACCAAAAGGGCTTTTGTTTAATTTCAAGAAGTACACAGATGTATGTTCTCTAAATTCGTATTACTAAAGTGTGTGCTCTACATAGAGCCCTGATTTGTTATTGATGCCTACTTAATATTTAGATGAAAACTTTTCCTGTCTTGGATACCTTCTTCTGAATACAGTCAAGAATGATTGGGTTATTTACAGGTTTGCTGGAATAGGAACTTCCCTCAACATCAGCACAGTACTTCCTATGTCATAATTAAAGAACATACATAAAATGAGGCAGTTATACAGGGAAAAGAACAATATTGTAAAAATGTAATTATCTAAAACTAAGAATAAAATCTGGAAACAATCAAAACATGAAGTCATATGGCTGTTTGGAGTGATAATAAAATTTTTTTCAGGTAAGAAAAATATTTTGTCTTAAATTAGATAAATTTATTAGGAAAAAATTATAAGTATTTTTTCTTCCAGAGATTCAGAACTTCCAGCAATTCAATAATCATAACTAGAAGAGAATCAAAATTCTAAAATATTTTAAAATTACCAAAAATAAAAATAATTTGTATTGTTATACCTTTATCATATATATTAAGTACAAGTTATAATCACATGTAAATGGTGCCATCCTGGGTGTAGAGATCAATGAAAGAGAACATGCTTAGTGCTCAGCATGTGGAAGGCCCAGGATTCAATCCTGTGCACCAAAAAAATATCCCAATCAAACAAACTAAAAACCAGAAAAGCGAAAAAAAATGTATTGTGTAATGAAATAAACATCCAATGCATGCTTGAATCCTTTATACTCAGAGAAAAACAATTTGTTTTACTTTAAGTACCTCATAGACATGTCTGAATATGGCTTTTGATATTTTTCCTTGTCTTGTGTTTAACTGAGTTTCCATAAAGATAAAAAAGAGAGAAAATCAGATTAAGACCTTATTTGACTGCCTTAGTTTCTAATAGTATCTAATCTGGGGAAGCATTCAGATGTGAGACAAATAGAGGGCAGTTTTCTCAGCGGGCCATTATGGTACAGACTAAAGTTGGTTGGAGGGTTATGTGAAAAGGAGCCATTTAGACTTCCAAAACAGAATACTCCTAAAAACTTAATTCACTGATGGACTGATTTTTACATTGCCAACAAAAGGGATAGAACTTAATAAAACCAGAACAACTAAGCGGGACTAAATTTCAAGGAATTTAGGAACAAGGAAACAATCACATCTTACCTTTGGTTGAACATGATTTTTATTTCTAGGTACTCTGAAGCCATTTATCCATTTAATTAAAGATAAACTCCAAAATTCCCTTTATCTAGATATTTCATTAAATGTAACGCAGAGAGTGACTACCACATATATAAAATAGGATCTGTTGTTGCCACTCTTGGAACTCCCCAAACTGAAGGTCTGGCACAAGATAAAAGAGGTGACTTTGTATTTTAATACTTTAGTGATTTTTCTTCTAGGAGAATTGATAAATCAATTACTGCAACTATATAGAAATTAATCTCATATTGTAATATTCATGAAGAGAAATTTTTAAAAATTTGAACTCCCTTAGCCCACAATACATAATATGGCTTTGCTTGACTTTAAACAAATTGTAAATAGTCTGTATCTGTTTTCTTCATAGTTAAATTTATAACATATAGCATAATATTTCATACATACTTGATCCTCAGTTTACACTTATTAAGTATTTACTTAATACTTTTAATATATTTAAATTTAAATATCTGGATGAATTTTTGAAGAATTTAAAATCTTTATTTGAAGTTTATCTACACATTGAATTTCAAAAACTATTTGTATTCAAAAAGGAATAAATAATTCCCTGAATTATAATTTTTATGGAGTTCATAGCCTCTCTTTGCTTGTTAAAACTTCTGAAAACTCTGAAAACTCAGAAGTTGTAAAATAATATCACTAATTTGACTCCAAACTGAGCTTGCTCGTGTCTTTGTTTCTAGATATAAGAACACTAATTATAAGCCCTTTGTTCATCACAGTGACTTCCTTTAAACTGCACTTAAGTCCCTAGCCTTCCTCCATGCTTCTATTGAATTTCAATTAGTCTTTATACTATCAAAACTGAAAGGAAATCTGTAAGACTCCAAGGCTTCAAAACACTTTGAATAACCAATCATTTATTTTCAAAACATCATTCTAGATACTACATACTTTTTTTCAAAAAACATAGAACGTCAGAAATAATTTAAATATTTTCTTGATGTTCATAGTATTTACATCTAAAGAACAAAGACATGAAATGAGTTTTAAATACTTATCTGGAGTTGTTATAAGACTAAGCTATAGTCAAACATGAATCATCTATCAATATATTTAAGTACTAATTAAATCTAGGGATGTAACTTACTGTAATTTTTAAAAGGCTTTTTCATTAAATGGTACTTCTTTGCAAGTGAAAACTTCAAAAGGTGACTTTTCTGTATTTCCTCCATTTTATTCTGGAACTATTTTTGTATCTTAGTAGATTGATTTTTAAAGTCAAAAATCTATAAGATGTAATTTAGAGTTATTTTATGCAAAGTGCACATATAGTTAACCAGTAGTTTAATTGATCATAGGTTTTAAAAATTAAACTCATTTTCCTTTGGTCCTTTTGCATTCAACTCTGTTGACAAAAAGCATGATGTCAGTATGCTTCTCAGCCTCCTCGCCTTTGAACTACGCTTTGAAGATTTTTCCTTGTATTATAGATATTCTTATATTTGTTATTCCTCAATTCTATAGTCACTTAATATACTGTGTTTTCTTTGTTTCAGTAATTTATTTTTTCCAAATTTCCATTTGCGGACTTTCATACAACCTGTACTTATCTCACGACTGTTATTTCCTTCTTTTCTCGAATAAATTCTTTACTTTTAACTTCTTTTCATGTTTTTTACTGTAGTACTATGGACTGAACCCAGGGCCTGGGCACTGAACTATATCCTCAGTCTTTTCTCCCCTCCTCCTCTTTTTCCTTCTTTTTTTCTCCTCTTCCTTCTTCTATTCCTCCTCCTGTTGCTGCATTCTCTCCTCCTCTTCCTCCTCTTTCTTGTTCCTTCTTCCCCCTCCTTCTTTTTCTCCTTCTCCCCACTCTCTTTTCTTTTTCTGTCTCTGTTTGCCTCTCAAAAGCACCGACTTCCTGAAGTCACTACATAGCCTTGGGTGGGCTCTTGATGCCTTAAGCTTCCTAGAGTGCCAGAGTCTCAGACATGAGCCACCATGCCTTGATCCAGGCAGTTCTGAATTTGTATTTCTTATAGTAAAATATATTCTTTTATTTGTCAAGCCTCTTTCTCATGATGTTAATCTTTCTCATATGCTTGGTGGTGTTTTATTGAGAACTTGTTTACTATTGAACGTCAAAAATTCTGTAACTTAAAACTCATACGATGTAAGTACCCAATGAAAGCATTCCTACCCTGCCATGTTGAGAATGCCAAAAACAGAGACCTCTTAGGGACTAAAACTTCAGCCATTTTCCCATTGCTGTCCCAGGACATATGCATCAATATGGACAATGGATCCTATACACTTTAAAGCCTCTGTTTATTTGAACCTCAAAGTGTTTGAGTTCTAAAAATGTTTTGTGCTCCATGAAGTTGGTCAGCAACCTCCAAGGGATGTGATGGTCCTATCAGACTCAACCACCTAGCAGATGACAAAATTTACAGCAATTTTATGTTGTGCACTGAGCTAGACAGGTGGATCAAGTTGGTAAACCTGGATGGCAACTTGGGCTAGGGTTTATGATTACTTTACCACTGATTTACGACCTCAGTTTCTTGAATAAGGGACTACAACTGATAGTATGAGACAAGTAAACTACAGATTCCTAAGCGAAAAGCATAGTAAGGCACAAATTCAGATGTTTTAAGGATTACTGGAAACCACTTCTATCTCCCATGAGCATCTTACAAGTAGTATAGAACTCCCAGCCTCTCCTTTTATTCTTTGAACTACCCAAATAGAGATACTTAAATCAATAGAAACTTCATCCTCTGAATTATTAGTTGGCTGATATTTCTTCCCATTTCAGTTTTCTGCTCTGTCCAGTACTGTTTCGATGTGGAAGGTGAACAAGGATACTTCAGCACACTGTTGCTCATAATACTTTTTCCTGAACATCTTGAGAATATCAGTATCTTTAGGATTTAACTTCAAATTGTTACTGTGAGAGGGTTGCTGAGTGGAATAGTAGGAACAGATGTGTTCAAATTTCTGAAGTCAGTTGTTATCTCTAATATGGATTATCCTTGAGAGAAGGATTTGAGGAAAAATAACTTCTTGAGTAACTTTTGGTTATTGAAACTGAAATTATATTTCCTAAATATGATCATTTTAAGGATTTTAAACTTAAACTTTGTTATTATGAGAAATATTTATACATTTGAGCATCTCATTTTTTCCAATATAAATGTATAAAAATATAGAATATAGATAGATAGAATACTATTCATTCCTAAAAAGTAAGTTAATCTTACGATTTGCAATAACATGAATCAAACTGGAGACATTATGTTGCGTGAAACAAGCCAGGCCCATGAAGACAAATACTTACTTATATGTGGAATGAAAAATAATCAAACCAATATAATCACAGTAGAATGTGGTTACAAGAAGCTGGAGAGCACAGGAAACAGAATATGGTGGTGAGAGTATAAAGTTTCCCCTGGATGGGTAGTTTAAAAGGTAAGTGTGTGAAGTGATGAATATCTTAATTAGGTTGATTCACTTATCTTGTATACTTATATAATAGACGTCTCTGAGGACATATAGACATTAGTTTTTCTAGATGATGACACTTTTTATATGTCCTAGAAACATAAAGAATGGAAAGTATGCCAGGTGTGGTGGTACATGTCTATAATCCCATCAGCCCAGGAGACAGGCAGGACTACCACTGTGAGGCTGATGCTAGCCTGGGCCAGAAAGTGAGTTCAAAGCCAGCATGAACTGCATAATGAAACCCTGACTCAAAAAGACAAAAAAAGGCAAAGTAAAAGAATTTAGAATATAAATAGATAAAATTATTAAAATAGAACCAAATAAAATTCTAGAGTTAAAAATATAATGACTAAAACAAAAAATTTACTAGAGAAGCAAGAGTATATTTCAGTGACAGAGTACATACTTGGTCTATGTACAGCCATCAGTTCAGTCCTCCATATATGAGGCCACATGTGCACACACACACATGCACATACACATTCTTTAAAAAGAATTCAACAAAATATATGATTAGGAAGATGAAGACATCAAAATTTAAAGACAGATAAATTGAGATTATCCAATGTAAGGGACTGAAAAGAGGAAAATGAAGAAAGTAAAAATCTCAGTGACCTATGAGGCATGCTAAAGCATACTAATATACACATATTTGGAGTCCCAGAAGGACAGTAAGGAGAGAAAAGAGCAGAAAAATAAAAAAATAATGGCTGAATACATCCTGAATTTGAATAAAATTATTTATCTGCATAACCAATGAACCCAGTAAAGTAAAACTAAGATAAAATCAAAGATTTCTTTTCCTTGACACATCATGATCAGCCTGAAAAGGACAAAGACAGAAAAGGGAATTTCAAAAACATGGAGAAGTGAGTCATCACATACAATGAACACCACATATAATGAATCCTCAATAAGATCAACAACTGGTTTCATACAGAAATCAGTGGCATGACACACTCAAAACACCCAAAGAGATTATTAAACAAATTCCATATTCACTAAAATGAAAGAAACTAAGACAGCATCAAATAAATAAAAACAGATTGAAAGTTGAGTGTATAATATATATCAAACATACCTTACAAAAATACTGAACAAGTCATTGGGATTAAAATAAAATGACTTTAAAGAATAACCCTAATCCACACAAATAAAGGTATGAAAAAGGTAACTATAGATGTGTATAAAAATATGTAAGTGTATTTTTGTTTATAACTATTTAATAAAGGAAACTTCATAAAGCACTAATTATGAATCTATGATCATGGATATTCAACTTGTAGGAATGTAATCTATGTGATAACACATCATAAAGGATGAGGAAAGAATTAAACTACATAGGAAAGAGCTTCTATATACTACTGAAAATATGTTGGTGTTAATCTAAATTTATAAAAGCCAAGATGTTGATTTACTAGCAACTAAGAATATAATAACTCCATCCTCAAAAAGTTAAATAAATCACAAAGCCACTAAATGATACTAAGAAAACATTTGTTTAATACCATAAACAACAGTAGAAAAATAGAGAAACAAAACACTAGACATTTAGTCATAAATCTACAATATAATTAATTATATCAAATGTGAATTAATTATACATCCTGATAAAAGTAGTAATGAGAAGAATAAATTTTAAAAAATAGTCTAATTCTATTCTGTATATTGAGACGCAATTTATATTCATAGACACAAATAGATTAAAAGTTAATGAGGAAGAAAATATATCACATGGACACTAATCAAAACAGAATTGGTCAGTGGCAACATAAACATCAGTCAAAATAGATCATAACATTTAAAGATTGCTAAAAATAGTTCAAGAGTGGGCATTTTAACTGTTAAGACAATCCATTTGGAAGGTGATATAATTACAAATAAGTGTTCATTTTACAATAGGGCCCCAGAATGAATATACAAATAACTGATAAATATAAATAAATAATTCAACAAAAATAGCTGAAAAGTTTCCTATCACCCATTTTGGTAATAACTTAATAATTCATCACTTTGATATGGTTAATAGAATATCACCATAGAAAAAGAAAACAAAATTACAAACCAACTATACCTAAGAAAACACCCTACACAACAAAGGATGATGTATATTCTTCTCAAATGCATATAGAACATTCTTAATGGTAGCTCAACTGATAGGTCACAAAATGAGTCTGTGATTTTACAGGACTGAAATCATACAATCTATGTTTTCTAGCTAGAAAGGAATGGAATTATATTGCAGAAGCAAGAAAACACTTGGGAAATTCTCAAATACATAAAAATAAATCAACACATAAGTAGAAAATTAGTCTTTTGACAACACACAAGGAGCATTATTAAGTACTCAAACTAATAAAAATTAAAACAGCATACCAAAATTTGTGGCATGCAATAAAAAGGTATTCTTCAAGGAAAAAGTATAGTTGACAATACCTGTATTATCAAAAAACATTCTGGTGAGCATGGTGCTATCTATCTATCTATCTATCTATCTATGCAGGCTATATATAGCAATTTGAGATGCCAACACACAAATACCTCATTAATGTCCACAAAGTGGGGAGGAGGAGGAAGGAAATAAGCAGAAAAGAAAGGAAGGGAAGGCAGAAAGAAAAGGAAAAAGAAAGAAAAACAGGTGGACAGAAAGAAAAGAAAATTAAAGGGAGAAAAAACAAAGAGAAGAGAAACATCTCAAATCAACTCCAGCTCCCACATTAAGAAATTAGAAAAAGCAGAGTCTACTAAGTTCAAACAAGCAAAAGGAAATTGGAAGATCAGAGAAGAAATGGATGAAATAGAGAATTAAATGTAATAGCAGAGAAAATCAATGGAACCAAAAGTTGTTATTTTGAAAAATAACAAAATGGGCATAGCAATCATGCAATCTCGGCCACAGCATCAGTGGAAATAAAGAAATATTTCATGACATCATAGATGAACTTAAAACTGAAATTCTAATTCAAGGGAGGCAAGATATAAAAAGATTAATAAAAGAAATGCTAAGCACCTCTCAAGAAGAGGTTCCTCTCATGGAAGAATGGAGGAACCCAGAAAGAGGACAGAAACCTTTGATGAAGAATATAAACAAAATCTAGAATACATGAAACAGATCCAAAGAGATTACCAGGAAATTAAAACTCCCTGGAAAGCTGGCAAAATGCCTTGACAGAAACTAAAGTTAGACTTTCAAAACTTGAAGATAGATTTGCAATGTGTGATCATGAAAGAAAAGATCTCTTTAAAATAACAAGGAACCAGGAAGTAACAATACAAAGGCTAGAAAATGACCAAAGGATCTATAATTTAGAATAAAGAAAGTGAGGGAAGAAGCAGGAGTAAACACAAATGAATCACAAAGGTGAGACACAGAAATAATTAAGGAAAACTTTCCAAGCATAGGAAAAGGAAATGATATCCAGATAAATGAAGCATACAGAACTCCAACCAGCTACAACCAAAACAGATCTACACCCAGATATATAATAATCAAGATCCCAAATATTCATCACAAGAACAGAATATTAAAAGCAGTCAGAGAAAAGAAACAGGTCAACTATAAAGGAAAACCCATCAAAAACACGACAGACTTCTTGACACAAAGTATCAAATCATGAAGAGCTTGGAGTGAAGTATTCTAAGCACTGAAAGAAAAGAACCTCCAACCCAGATTGATGTACCCTGAAAAACTGTCTCTCAAAATTAATAGAGAAAAAAGATGTTTCCTAGACAAAGAGGAAGTGGGGGAGTTTGTGACCACCAGTCCAACTCTACAAAAAATACTGAAAGACATTATATGTAGAGAGAAAAAATACCAGGATTCCAGCAACAGTGGCAGAGAGGCCTCAATGAATGGGGCAGACAGTGGAATGAAGGAGAAAAGTAAATAGCATAGCAGAGATGAGGCAGAGAAGGTTGGCTATAATCGCTAACACAGATGGCTTTGATACACTAACAAAAAGAAACACAGGCAGAATAGATCAGGAGATAGGGTCCATCCAGATGCTCTGAATAGGAAATATCAACCCGAAAGAGGGCTAATGAACCACAAGTCAAACATGAGAAAACGATGCTCTATGTGACAGAGAACCAGGGAGAAACAGGAACAACTCGTCTAGCAGTTGCAGATAGGTTAGAAAGTCATGAGACTTTTGTGCAGTGGAGAACTACTCAGCTAGAAGGAAGACCTTGAGGCGTTAGTAGATAAAGCAATACAGCTCAAGATCAAGCTTGGGGGAAAAGGGTTCAGCACCACTTAAGTAGATAACGGTTGCCCCCCTAATCTTGAAACTAAGAGAGTTAGTGGGACCCAAAATATACAAAGCATCCTGAAAAAGGGAAAGGGGAGGAACTGTCTAAAAAAATAAGGCAGAGGACATTGTTAATAGTGTATCAGGATTTAAAACCACAGTGGTCTTATTGCTCTGTTTAGTTTGATTTTATTCTGTTCTATTCTGTCTACTGATACTAGATTTGAGGGCACAGACAGCTATCCCAAAAATAGCAGGCTATGCTACGGTAACTATCCTTAATTTCCTATTAACTTAAACTGAAGCCCTGTATTACTTACCTTGTCTTACTATGACTGATCTTATTTGAATCTGGTTTGTTAGATCACTGTTTTGTCTTGACTGATTTTATTTGAATTTGGTATGCTTGACAGTATCAAGTCTAAGAGTAGAGGCAACTACTCTGACAAGATGCAATAGGATAACCATTCTGGTTTGATTATTAACTGCTTTTGAAGTCCTACAATGTCTCCAATGTTGTGCTTTTATTAATATTGCTATGTAGTGCTATGTTCAATTGTATTATGCCTGATGATATAGACAATTCTATTGAAAATAACAAGAGACATCTGCTATAGATCACCTAGTATTATGGTTTTATGTCTTTTTTGTTTCATGTTTTTCTAGGAATTTTCTTTGTTGTCTTGTTTTGACCTATTTTTCCCAATAATATAGAAAGGATAGGTATACATGTAGAGATTCATGTAGATGTAGAACTTCTAAACAGTTTACAAGAATAGATTATATAATGCATGATGTAATGAACGGATACTCTGAAGAAGAGACGCTAAGATACACAATGCTAATTCTGTAGTTATGATATAATATCTAACAATACTATTATTATCTGTTCAGAGTGATATTAGTCTATTTTCTTTTGTTTAATTTCAACATACATAAAGATATGAACAGCTATTTTGAAGAGAACAAGAGACATTATGGCAGCCATTGTTGACTTCCCTTACTGTCTGGTCTTAAAGACCTAAAATGCCTTCATCATCCTGTTCTGATCAGTTTAGTACTATATTGTTCAGTATGTATTCACTGTGTGTGAAGATATAGACAACTATTTTTAAGAAAATAAGAGACAATATGATAGACAGTGAAGATCTCCAGGGTCTTGTCTTGAAATCTGTTTTTCTTAAATTATTTTGTTATGATCTGTTTTGTTCTGTTTAATTTTACCCTCTTTAAAATAAATTTTTAAAAAAATAACAGGCAAATTTTTAAGTAGACTAGCCAAGAAAAAAAGACAGAACTCAAATTTTAAAAAATCAGGAATAAACAATTAAAATTATAACCTACTGGACAGAGAATGAGACTCTAAGGAAATTCTGTGAACATTTTTAAGCAAGCAAATTAGAAAATCTAAATGAAATGGAAAAATTCCTAGAGACACAGAAACTGCCATAACTAAGAAGAAACAGATAATTGGAATAGATAGGTACCAAGACATTAAGATAGTTTTCAAAAATGTTCAACAAAGACAGGCCCAGGAACAGATGACTTCCTTGATGAATTATACCAAATATTAAAGACGAAGTAATAGCAGCAATTGACAAAATCATTCAATAAACATAGAGTAGGCACCACTTCTCAACTCATTCTATATGGCCATTATACTATTAACAAAACCAAATAAAATACCAGGAAAGAAAAACTATACATCAATTTCCCTTATAAAATAGGTACAAACATTCACCAATACAATATAAGCCAACTAACTCCAGTAATATAAAAAAAGATTGTATACTATGTTAAGTATGATTTATCTCAAAGTATCTTCAACATTATAAATATCAGTCACTACAGTATATCTTATTAATACAATACTAGAAAAATCAGAGAACCACCTCAATAAGTGGAGAAAAGCATTTTGCAGAATCTAATATCTTTTCATGACAGAAGTACTCAATAAAGTATAACTGCACAGCTAAGATGATATTTACTAGTGACAGAGTGAAAGCTTGTCTCTTAGATCAGGGACTATTATGGTTTCCTCACACAATCATGGGAGCAGGCTTCTAGAATTTATGATTGATTCACGGTCCAATGCTGTGATTATGGATGTGAGTGCTACACCCACCCTGGGATGAGTAGTCTACATACAATGTAAGGGAGGTTACATTCTTATACTCCTCCCCTTTTTGCTCTTGTTGATTTTGCTGTTTTCTACAGCCATGACTGTTGCCCTCTGCCATGTGCCACTTTGCCTTGTAGCCAACCAATTATGGCCTGAAACCTGTACAAACTGTGGGCTAAATAAACCTTCCCTGTTGGGGATTTAGCTCAGTGGCATAAGTGCCTAGCTTGCAAGCGTGCAGTCCTTAGCTCGATCCCTGGTACTCACCCCCAAAAAACCTGACTTTTGAGGCCTGTTTCATCAAAAGTCAAAGTAAAACGTTGTGAAAGTAAAACATTCACAAGGCCATCAGTTCTCCGCAAAATAAACCTTCCCTTCCTTGATTCTGTCTCAGAAAGGAGAGAAAAGTACCCAACCCAGGGAAAAACCAAGCATGTTTGCTTTCATTGCTTATACTTAACTATCATATTGGAGGTGCTACTTCTGTAAATGGAAAACTGAATTCAGATTGGAAAATGTGTCAAGAGAATTATATTCATAGGTGACATGCTCTTGGACATACAAAATGCTAAGGGATATATGAAGAACTAAAATTAATGAACAACAACAAGGTTGAAGAGCAAAAGATGAATATACAAAACTCAGTTTTATTTATATGCATTAGTACTGATCCAAAACTCAAATTAAGAAAAATTTTGCTTATGATAGCCTTAAAAGGTAAAACTACTTAGGGATAAACTTAACACAAGAAGGAGATAAGCGAAGTACAGTAACATACAAACTTGTAATCCTAGCACTCAGAGACTGTGACAGGAGGAACATGCGTCTGTGGCTAGCCTAACCCTGTAGTCAGACCATCTCAAAAAAACCCTTATTGAATCAGTAAAAGGAGAATTTTACACTGAAGACTAGAAAACACTGTATTATTAAAAGAAAAATTTAAAACTAAGTCAGCAGAAAATATTTACATATTGAAAGATATTGTTTGATTGTTGTACTTTAACATCGGTTTACAGACTCAATGCAATCTGTATCAAAATCCCAGATTGCTTTTGTCACAAAAACTTTTGAACTAAGCCTAAAATTTTCATTAAAATTCAAAGGACCCAGAATATTAAAAATCAACTTGAAATGGAATAACAAAATCGTAGGTGTCACATTTTTTATTTTAAAGCATTAGGCTAAATTTAAGTGAATATGTTTTATTTTTTAAAAATTTATACCAGTTTATTTCTTCATCTTCATCATGCACTGTTGCTAACTGTAATGTGTACTAGCAGTGGTTGAGCATTGTGATTATGATTCAACTACAGAGTATTTAACCAAACACATAGAACCTTCAATATGGATAAATGTTTTCATCAAACTGGTCATTAACATTTTAAGACTGTGTAATATAATTTATGTGGCTTATTTTTTATTGTTTATTGGGACAATTTAGATATACATGATCATATTCATCACAGGGAATTTGTTGCTATATATGATATATCTTGATTGCTCCTTTTTTCTCCAATCCTGTCTTCTTTCTTCAACCCTTCACTATAAAAGAAAACTAAATACTTAGGGATCAATGTAACAAAGGAAGAAAAGATCTATACATTGAAATTACAGTATTCTGAAAGAGGATATCAAAGAGTCTAGAAAATAAAGATAGCCCTTGCTCAAGAGTGGAAAGAACAGTGAAATACCCTCAAAATTACTAAACAGATGTAATGCAATCCCAACCAGAATACCATTCGCATACCTAATGGAATAAGAGAAAACATTCCTATTCATTTGAAACCAGAAGAGTCCTAGAACAGCAAAAACAATTCTCAGCTACAAAGGCAAGGCAGCAAGTATCACAATCCCTGACTTCAAATTATACTAGAAAGCTACTGTGATTAAAAAAAATAACCAGCTTGGTACTGGAAAAAAAAGAGACCTGAAGATCAGTGGAGCAGATTAGAAGATCCAGAAAACAACTCCAACATGCTCAGCCACCTTGGCTTTGACAAAGAGATTCAATGATTTCACTTAAGTGAGTATTTTGATACATTAAACCTCTGACGATCTTTTTCTTTAGTTTGTACCAGAAAGAATTATTAGAGGCTTAGACTCCATTACAAATTTCTGAAGTCATGCTATATTCAAGTATGTCTTCCTATAGTTGTATTTTAATTAATGTGATTTGTAAAAATGTATCATGAGTTTAGAAAGTTAGATAATATTAAAACTGAGGACCTTGTACTTACTAGCAAGCACTTGTGCCAGAGCTATATTCCCGTCCTAATAATTGAAAATTTGTAAACAAACATGTCATCCATGATAACTATGTATGCAGTTGAGACTGAGGTTTGGATCTCTAGTAATTTTTCTAAACTGTTGTTCACCTCTTCAATTGCACTGAGGCATATGAAAGAATGAATTCTGAAGCTACAGTGTTCAAAACCTAGCTGTGCCATTTTACAAGGTGTGTGACTTTCGGCAAGTGATGTTAACTCTCCATGCCTCAATTTCTTCACCTCTAAAATGTGACTAGCAAAATTGCCAACTGCAGAGAGTTGTTTGAGAGATAGTGAGTTAATATATGTAAAATGCTTAAAATAATACCTGCCTTGTGAAGGCATACATTTTACTGTAATTTATATTTTATTTGCTATTGCTTTGTAAAAGTGACTAAATAACTGACTCAATACTCTGTCAATATGTAAGAATGCAAAAACAAAATATTTTGATTTTGTTATGAACAGTTTAGCTTAACTCTTACCTATAACCTGACTACTATATTAGAAATAAATTTCTCGGGGCTAGGGATTTAGCTCAGTGGCATAAATGCTTGCTTGGCAAACACAAGGTAATGAGTTCAATCTCTGGTACCAAAAAATAAATAAATAATTTTCTTTGCGCAAATATTCCATTTATGTAAAAAATGTATTATTTTCAGTTTATATTTTTACTTCATTCCTTATTGATATATATTGTAATTCTTTTAATTTACCTAAACATGACAGGGCTAGAGGTTTCATTCAGTGATAGAGCTTCTCCATAGCAAGTATAAGATCCTGAGTTTAATTCCCTATGCCAAAAAAAGGAAGAAACTAAATGCAAAAGATAATTCTAAATTGTTATTACTGTCATTAATATAACCTTTGCAAAAATTAATAGTAGAATAAAAATAAATTTAGTACCTATTGCATTCTCATATCTCCAAATTCTGTATTTAGGTTCAGATATATCGACGGCACAATATATGAAATAACAATTACCTGCTTATATATGGAGAAACATAATTATTTAAGTAGATTAATTTATTTATTTAACTAGTATTCAATGACTGACTGCTATATTTCTTCAAAAGTAGCTTTTATTAATACTTCCTATCATAATCTGAGATTACTGATATATAAGTTATTTAACATGAATTGTGAATCAAGTTACAACTAATATATTAATTCGGTAATTTAAAAATAATTAAGGAATGAAAATCCTGAATATAGGAAGATGAGTGATACTCTATCTAAAATATTAACTGTAAACAATAAATTGGTTAACTGTGTCTCTGTGATACCAGTGGCATCTACAGGCATCTGTAGCATAGCATTCACAACAGTGATATGCTTTGCTGGAATCCATACTATACTCACATTTCTTATCTTCAACATATATGAGTAGAGTCCTAATGCGTCCTTTCCTCACAGATTAAATTGCTATTACGTCAGTACCTTTTGTTTTCACTCAAAGTAAGTGGTCCAGGAATATACTTGACGAGAAAAATGGGTGAGTGTGGTAACAGGCAAACTCGTAAAATATAGTGTTTCTAGTTAAATAAATGCAGTCAAGACTTTACATTTTTATCTATAACCTTTCACTCACCTAATTTTTATCTGATATTATCTTGACCTGAGAAGCAGAAATCCTAGCACCATCTGAGATTTCTTGTCTTTATCTCTAAATTCCTTTTCATTTTCTCTTTGATTCTTAGAACTGGCTTCTAAAATGGGTCTAATAATATATGGCATTATTTCTAAACTTAATATAGCTTCACACTGTAAATGACAATATAAAACAAGATACCTTTTGGTTGAATTGTCTTATTTCTAAGGAGGAAAACAAAACCTACTTTAAAAAATAATGAACTTTGGACCATATGGTACAGAATAGCTTAAACTTTTGCATCTTTGTGAAGTTCTCACAGTCTTGAAAATAAAAAGATACAATTATTATGAACTGATTTAATTTTGAATGGGCATTTTATAACAACTTACCACTACTGGTTAGATAATATGCAGGACAAATGGGAGTTCTTTGAAGTTCACAGATAAGGAGTTTCAAGGCACAGATATCCTTTTTGCTGTGTGCTCACAGTTACTCTAGCTGATAAACTTTAATGGGATAACATTATCACATAACTTTAAAAAACAACAACGTTCCTTTTTCAAAAAGAATGTATACACGTTCTTAAAAGGCTCATTTGAAAACGTAAAATGTGTTTTGATGAAAAACAATATACTCATTTCTCAATCAAGACGCAGGGTGGCGCTGCAGGCTAAGATTGTGAAAAAGCCCTGAACTCGCTAATACTTTTGCGTCAGGAGAAGGAATCAAAAACACAGAGAAAAAGCTTTGAAAGCAGCGCGGATTGGTAGCAAGATATACGTTTAAGATTAAAAACAATTGGGTGGCAATTCCCTCAATCAAGGAAACAGAACTCGGTATCTCCAGGCTTTCGCTGTACTGAAAGGATTCTGGACTTCAACATGGAGAAGCTAAAGAGAATTCAACCAAAGAGGCAAGTGATGGCGTTAATTTTTATGATGGTCTTGTCGGAGGTTCACTCGGAATCTATTCGTTACTCGGTACAGGAGGAAACAGAGGGTGGCTACTTCATAGCGCATCTGACTAAAGATTTGGGCATGGGAACTGGTGAACTGGCAGCCCGGTCAGCCCAGGTGTTGTCCGACGATTACAAGCAGCATTTGTTGCTGGATCCTCAGACTGGAGATTTGCTTCTGAGGGAAACACTAGACCGAGAGGAGCTATGTGGCCCCGCTGAACCGTGTGTGCTGCATTTCCAAGTGTTTCTTGAAATGCCAGTGCAGTTTTTTCAAGGAGAATTGTGGATTCAGGATATTAATGACCATTCTCCAACGTTTCCTGATAGGGAAGTGCTCTTGAAAATACTTGAAAACAGCCAGCCAGGGACAGTATTTCCCCTACAATTAGCTGAAGATTTGGATGTGGGCAGCAATGGGCTTCAAAAATATACAATCAGCCCTAATTCTCATTTTCACGTTCACACTCGAAATCATAGTGAGGGCAAGAAATTCCCAGACTTGGTACAGGACAAGCCACTGGATCGGGAGGAGCAGGCTGAGTACAGGTTAACCCTCACGGCTCTGGACGGTGGGTCTCCACCGAGGTCAGGCAGTGTCATGGTTCGAATCCTGATCATGGACGTCAATGACAATGCTCCTGAGTTTGTGCACACCCCCTATGAGGTGCAGGTCCTGGAGAACTGCCCTTTAAATTCCCCAATCCTCAGTGTCTTAGCTAGAGATATGGATGCTGGAAACTTTGGGAGTGTTTCCTATGGCTTGTTCCAGCCATCAGATGAAATTAAGCAAACTTTCTCAATCAATAAAGCCACGGGAGAAATCCGACTGCAGAAGAAACTGGATTTTGAGAAAATTAAGTCTTATGATGTGGAAATTGAGGCCACAGATGGAGGAGGCCTTTCTGGGAAAGGCACAGTAGTGATAGAGGTGGTGGACGTGAATGACAATGCCCCTGAACTTAGTATAACTTCGCTGACCAGCTCCATTCCAGAAAATGCTCCAGAAACTGTCGTCTCTATCTTTCGAGTAGGAGACAGAGATTCTGGAGACAATGGAAAGATGATTTGCTCTATTCCTGACAATCTGCCCTTTGTTTTAAAACCGACATTTTTAAATTTCTATACCCTGGTGACAGACGGACCACTGGACAGAGAGACCAGGGCCCAGTACAACATCACCATCACCGTCACCGACCTGGGGACGCCCAGGCTCAAAACCCAGCACACCATCACCGTGCTGGTCTCCGACGTCAACGACAACGCCCCCACCTTCACCCAAAGCTCCTACACCCTCTCGGTGCCCGAGAACAACAGCCCCGCCCTGCACATCGGCAGCGTCAGCGCCACAGACTCAGACTCGGGCACCAACGCCCAGCTCACCTACTCGCTGCTGCCGCCGCCCCACGACCCGCTCCCGGGCCTCGCCTCGCTCGTGTCCATCAACGCCGACACCGGCCAGCTGTTCGCGCTGCGGGCGCTGGACTACGAGGCCCTGCGCGCCTTCGAGTTCCGCGTGCGCGCCACCGACCGCGGCGCGCCCCCGCTCAGCGGCCAGGCGCGCGTGCGCGTGCGCGTGCTGGACGCCAACGACAACGCGCCCTTCGTGCTGCACCCGCTGCAGAACGCGTCCGCGCCCTGCACCGAGCTGCTGCCCCGCGCCGCCCAGCCCGGATACCTGCTCACCAAGGTGGTGGCGGTGGACGCCGACGCGGGCCAGAACGCCTGGCTGTCCTTCCAGCTGCTGCAGGCCAGCGAGCCCGGGCTGTTCAGCGTGTGGGCGCACAGCGGCGAGGTGCGCACCGCCAGGCCGCCGGGCGAGCGCGACGCGCCCAGGCAGCGGCTGCTCGTGCTGGTCAGGGACAACGGCCAGCCGCCGCTGTCGGCCAGCGTCACGCTGCACGTGCTGCTGGTGGACGGCTTCTCGCAGCCGCACCTGCCTGGGCCCGAGGCGGCGGCCGAGCGCGCGCAGGCCGACCCGCTCACCGGCCCCCTGGTGGTGGCGCTGGCCTCGGTGTCGTCGCTCTTCCTGTGCTGGCTGCTGCTCTTCGTGGCGCTGAGGCTGTGCGGGAGGAGCGGGCGGGCCGCGCTGCCTGGCTGCCCTGCGCCCGAGGGCCCCTTTCCGGGCCAGCTGCTGGACGTCAGCGGGGCGGGCACGCTGGCCCACAGCTACCAGTATGAGGTGTGTCTCACTGGAGACTCTGGGACTGGTGAGTTCAAATTCCTGAAGCCTCTATTCCCCAACCTCGCGGATCTGGAGACTGGGGGAGAACCTAGGGACAACCCCACCTGCAGGAACAGCTCTGTATTCAGTTAATTACAGTATTTGTTAAGTAAATTTCATTAATTATGGCAAAGTTCCCATTATAATTTTTTCTCTTAAGAAATTGTGTTGTAATGTAAACATTGAAACTACTCTTTCAAATTTATTCATGTTCTTCAGAGCACTGAACTTGTTCCCTGCATTTTAGTATTTAGAATTTTTATTAGTGCTGGATATTAAGGTTTCTCTAGGTAGTTTACATTCTTTTGGTGAATAATCTTTCCACAACTATGAATTATTCAAGTAATATAAAATTTACAGCTTAGTACTTGAAAATTAGGCATCTTTGTGCTGCCTGTGCTACATAATGAATCCCAGACCAATGAATACTACATAGTAAGACTCTCACAAATTTTATTTTATTGCACTTAATGTCTTCTGAAATTTTTAAAATTGTTTTCATACTATTTGTTTACCATATAACCTTTTTCAAGGCTGTTTGAAATTCTCCATTTTATTTTATTGATTTTGAAGATTGAACTCAGGACTTCTTGAATGTTAAGCATACATTCGACTCTTGATCTATACTGCACCTGAAATATTTTATGGTTACAGGACATTACTGGTTGACTGTACTATCAAATGAAACCCGCTGAAGTAACAGAAGCATAAAACTGAGTATATTCCTCTCTCTTACACTGAAAGGAAGCATGCACCTCACTAAAATATTAGTACACTAAAATTGTGATGTATTTCTATTGTGTGCACCACACATATGCTAAAGATTATCTGTTATTTGCATTCTACATATCTGGCATATTGTATATCATAAAACAATATTAAATTTTAAAAATAATTCTTTTATAAATGATAACATGATAAGCTTGTATAGTTTGCGATCCCTTTTACTAAAACTGGTAGGGGTCTAAACTTAAAGCTCAATGGCTAATCATTTATGCATGTAGGCCCTGAGTTCAGTTAGGCACAAAACTAAACCAAAACAAAACCCTGTTATATCCCTGCTTTCTTTACCCCATTAGGGAAAATACTGATTATATGAAATAAATCTTAAATTCCACTAAAGAGAGAAATGTTAGGACATTGTGTATTTTTTTTTTGGTCCTTAGTTTTGCCCTGTAAATAGAAGGCTAACTGTAGTGTCTTCAGTTTTCAAGTTGGGTTGGGTTGGGTTGGGTTTTGTGGTGCTGGGATATGTATAGAATTCCAGAGCCTCATGTATGCTATCCATGTGTTTTAGTATTTTGCTACATCCTCAACCCCAAGTTTAGTTTATTGTGTGAATTTCCTTTGGTCTTCCTGAAGTTTTTCCCTGCCTTTCAAACAAGTTCAAAATTTCTTCCAAATATTGGCTGTCCTGTCTCATTATGATCATAAGTTAATGTTGGATTTCTTTTACCTGGTATGTCTTTGTGTGACCAGAGTTTATCCACAAAATAATGTTTGTTTGATATTTATTCTTTTATTTTGCTCTTTAGTATTTTGAGTTAATTTTTCAATCATGCCAAAGTTGCATTTATATGAAATATGTATTGTTTTGTACTTTAATAGTTTGGAACAGAAACAAACTTAACTGAATTATAATTGTTCTGTGTTGTGTTCAGCAAATCACATATGATGACCATGTGATTTCTAACTAGAAAATACATATGGATATATTACAGGACAACTTTATTGAGCTTTCCACAGAAAAGGAGCAGTTGAAGAGCTTGCTTTCTAATCTAATATGGTTACTTTTAAATCTGAAGTATTGTTCTACTTCAGTTTAAGTACTTGAATTTTCCCCTGAGTTATTTTTTTCCTAACTATATAATGAAATAAAAGGGAAATTATTAGCCAGCTGTTGTTCTCAAGATCTAATTTTGGCTTTTCCTCAGTTTAAACATTAAAGCAAGGAAAAGATAAAAGTGAAAACAAATACAAACAAATATGTGAAATTTGTGGAAAACAAAGAGTAAAGTTTGTGTTGCTATGTAAATATTATTGTTTGGGACCTGCCATTGGGAAAGCTATAGATAATATACTAAGTTCTCATTTGAAAATTCTGCAGGGCTGGGTGCTTATCAGAACTTCAAAGCACAGTGTGACCTGGCCCAGTACCTATTTGGAAAAAGGTGATTTCACTGGATAGGGCCCCTTAAAGCTAAGAGAGTAGAAGGTGAACTCTCCTTTGAAGAATATAATATCTTAATTCTGGGTAGCTTTTTACGTAAATATCTCTAACATTCAGTAAAAATAAAAGTAATAGGTTCACAAGGTGTGGTGATGCATGCCTATAGTCCCAGCACTAAGGAGGCTGAGGCAGGAAGATTGTTGCAAATTCAAAGCCAGTCAACAAAATGAGTTCAAGGACAGCTCAGACTGAATGGTAAGACCCTGTCTTAGAAGGACAAAAAGAAAGAAAAGAAAAAATAATAGGTTCATATACACAAACTGAACGATATGAGTAAAACTGAAAAATCATAATACCAATGACTTATAGATTACTCAGATACCACAATTAACTAACATACATGTTAAAATAAATATGACAATGATTTAAAAATAAGGAGCAGTAGATTAGATCATGGCATTGGGAATTGAAATTTTAAAATGGTAAATCTACAACTGAAAAATATAATATCTGACACAAAATGACATAAATGATTAATGTCATAAATGTAATGAAATATAAGACTAGCGAATAGAAGATAGATCAATCTAATAATCCAAGAGAAACACAAGATACAATAATACAAAATACAAAAAGAACATTAGTATCACAAAGAATAAATCCAAAAACTGTAGCACACATGTGCTTGTAATCTTAGAAGGATAAAAGAGAATAAAAGTTGTTATAAGCATATTTGAAGTTATAGTGATCGATAATTTCCTAAAATAGACAAATGTCTTTAAACCTTCAATATTCATCAGTAAGCCTAATCAGGGTAAATATTAAATAAAACCTACTATATCATAGGAAAATCTTCAAGACCAAGGCCAAAGATTAGAAATCTTAAAAGCAGCACCCTAAAATGATACTACTTTTCAAGAGCCTCTATATAAGAAAGAGCTAACCTAACAAAAACCATGAAATCCAAATACAAAGAGGTAATGTCTTTTAATTACTGAAAGAAAATTATTGCCAGACTAGAATTCTATTCAACAAACATACCCTTCAAAATGAATTTATCAGAAAAATAAAAACTAAGAGAATTAATCACTGTCATACCTTCACTAAAAGAAATATTCTTAATGGAATTAATTAGACAGGAAAACAACCCTAATAGGATCACAGAACTACCAGAAGAAACAAAAAGTAACTGAAAGGTAAATGAAAATTAATGGTGACAGAATATTGATTATACTAGGCAATAACAGCAGTTTGTTAATTTAAAATATATGTATGAAGTTTAAATCAATAATAGCTATAGCTTAAAAGAAAGAGTTTTAATGTTCAAAAGTTCCAAAATTCTAAGCTTTATGTCCTAAGACTAGAAAAATAAATTTTCATTGAATTATTTTACATTAAACATGCATGCTACGACACACATTGTGGTCCATGCCTGTAATCCCAGCACTCAGGAGGCTTAAGCAGGAGTATTGCTGTGATTTTGAGGCCAGCCTGGACTACATAATGAGATCAAGGCCAGTTTGCACTACATGATGAGACTCTATCTCAAAAAAAGTGCATGTTGTAATTTCTTGGGTGCCCACTAACATAATAACTACAAAAATAACTGAAGAGAACTTTTAAAATAACAAGTATTTTAATAATGCAAAAGAAAACCAAAACTTTAAGGACATACGGAAAAATAATTAGATGGTAGGTATAGATGAAAAGTATCAGCTATTACATTCATTACAAATAGATTAAGTAATCCAATTAAACAATCAAAATTGTAAGATTAGATTTAAGGAAAAGCAAAATACATGCTATCAAATAAGTATGTGCATGTAAGAGAGAGAGAGAGACAGACAGACAGACAGATGGAGAGAAAGAGATAACGAAAGATTGAAAGTTTAAAATAGAGTTGTATAATACAAACACTAGACAAAACAATTTCAAGGTGGTTATACTTACATAAGATAAAGGATACATTAAGAAAAGATACATTGCTAATGAAAACAGAGATGTTTCATAATAATAAAAAGTAGTATACCTGAAATCTTTGAGTTATTAATTCAATACTTCGCCATAAGAGAACTACTAAGCATAAAAAATTGAGTTGGCGAATACAAATGCAAGATAGACAAATGGCATTCATATTGTAAAGCTTAATACCCCTGTCCAGATTCCTGACAGAATAAGATAGAACACACACATGCACAAACATACCAAAGAATATTAAAGACCGAAAAACATGAACCTCTCATTCAATTAAGTTGGCAGGCATAGTATTCTAAAACATTCTTTTACATACATGTGGGTTATTATCAAGATTGTCCAAAACCTGGCTCATAAAGCAAAGTTCAAATGTAAAAGAATGAATTGAAATGCCTCAGGATATTCTTTGACCACAGCAGAATTAATGCAATATTAATATCTAATAGGACATTCCCTAATATTTCAAAGGTAAACAATAAAACCCATGAGTCAAAGAAATAACACAGATTTCCAAATATTTCCAAACTGGGTAAAAGTTAAGAACTAACAGATCACATCAGAACAAATGGAATTTTAGTGCATCCTAAATGTTCATATTAGAACCTTAAATTCACATAGAGATTCAAAATCAGTGAAGGAATTTTAAGAGAATACACAAAGTAAAGCAAATCAAGTACAAGAGATGCACATAGAAAATATAAGTAGAAATAAATTTCATGCCAAATGCATATTTTGTATTATAGGGAAAACCAGTAAACCAAAAGTTATTTCTTTGTAATAATTAATACAGTTAGAAACTCTTAGATAAGTCAAGAAAAAAGACAAAACACCAGTTGCCAATATTAGGAGTAAAAAAGGAGCATAACCACCAATCCTGCCAGCACTGAAATATAAACTTTTATAAATATGAACAATTTTATGCTAAGAAATTTAACAAATTATATAAAATATCCTCATTTTACAAAACCAAAGCAAGAAAAATATAAAATCTGATTAGGCCTATCTATTAAAAACTTTTTAAATGTTTTTAAAAAATCTTGCCTCTTTACAGTAGTAAATTCCAAATATTTGTATAAGTATTAACATTGATATATACAAACTCAGAACAGAAAAATATAATTATTTGCTAAATCATTTGGGTGCCAGAATAATCTGAACAGGACATCCAGATCTGAGTTAGATCTGATAAGAAAGGAACATAAAAGTCAAACTCATTTATAAACATACATAACATTTTTCTTTTTAAAAATATGCAAATATTTGGATATATGTATATAAAAGAAAAATTATTGAAGATGGAGTTTAATTTAGCAGTACATGGAAGTGTAATTGAAACTGAAATTTGATCAGTGATCACTATATCAACAGATATAGGAAAAATAACATGTTTACCTCAACAGGGACAGAAAAAGTCATTTAATCTAATTCATTTAATTTAATTTAATTCATTACATATTAATGGTAAAATTACATAAAAATGAAAATGTAAAAAACTTTTAGGTGTCTTTAAGAACTGTTAGTTAACATTATCAATGCCAAACTATTGAAAACTGTCTTTAAAAACTGATAGTAAACATTATTAATGCCAAACTATTGAAAACTCGCCTTTGGAGATCAAGTATGAGATTGCTATCTATTCAGGATTTTACTATTGAGCCTAACCAGGGGCGAGAAAAGTAAAAGAAAAGGCACAGTGTTTGGAAGGAAAGGAATAAACATTTGTTTAAAAAGATAAAATCATGAATAACTACACATCTCACAATTTCTTTGTGAAAATTGATCACCTGAATATAAAGTTTAATAGAAATACAAAGGGACAATAATAGACATTTTTGAAGAAAAAAATAAATCTGGATATATCACACCAAGAGCATGATCCACAAGAGAAAGAACCCATAAAAAGAATTTCACGAAGCTTCTGATCTATAAAAATACAGCCTAGAAAAATATTTGCAAAAGATGTATTTGATAAAGAAAACTCTTATCCAGTATACTAAATACAAAGAATAATTTTAAAAATCCCACATAAAAATAGATCAAAGACCTTAACAAATACCTTCTAAAGAAGAAGAAGCGACTGAAAACAAACATATCAAAAGCTGTTCCACATCAGATGTAATGAGGGAAAGCAAAATTAAATAAAAATATCACTATACAACTACTAAACAGCCAATCTGCAGCACCAAACACTGTGGGGAATATGGAGCAACAGGAACTCTCTTTCACTCCTGGTGGGACAGAAACATGGCACTGCCACTTTGAAAGAAAGTTTGACATTTCATATAAAATTAAACACACTTCCTATATGATTGAGAGTCAGGCTCCTCAGTACTTAGAAAAAGGAATTAAAACTGATTTCTATACAAAAAAATTTCACAGAGAATTAATAGCAGCTTTATCCATAACCATTGAAACTTGGAAATAGTCATAATGACCCTCAGTGGGTGAGTGAATGAACAAATTTTTATACAGACACATAGCGAGATATTCTTACTCATGCCAAGTTGAAACAGACTATCAATGCATGAAAAGCCACTGAGAAAATATAAATGCATTTTATTCTCAGAAAAAGGTTCAAAACATGAAAAGACTTCATATTGTATGATTCTTCATACAACATATTGTATGATTTCTGAATAAGGTAGAGGTTTGTACAGATTTTGGAATGGGGGAGGAGATATAAATAGAGCATAGAAAATTTTTAGTACAGTGAACACATTCTGATAGTATTTTAAATGTAGCTATGTCACAATAAATTTATTCAAACTGATAGAATGTACAGCACCAAGAGTGAATCCTAATTTAAACTATTAACTTAGTAATAAAACTGTGCTAATGTGTGTTCAACAATCATTCTTATGGTGTGGGAGATTGGTAATAAGTTTCGTACATGTGTGTACATGGGAAATTTCTGTACATTGTGATTATTTTTCTGTGAACCTAAGACTATTCTCTAAAATCATTATATTTTTAATGAAGGACATACCTCGCAGAAAATAAAATTCATGATAAAGTAAACCAGTGGGAACCATAGAATTAAGAAATTGTCATATTACAGATAAACAAAGATAAAAGTGTAATACTTGAGCAGGCCCATCATAATGAAGACACTTCAAAAATAACGTCATCTTCTCAATAGATGGTACACAGGCATTTGGGTAAAAATTTGACTAAACATACTAATTCGGAAAAAATTAATTCTAAGTTGAAAATGACTTTACATACGAAAACCAAACTATTTCATACAATGTTTTGACATTGATGCATGCAAAAATTTAAATTTGAATACAAAAAGTGCTAATCAAAATGGTCAAAATGGGAAAATTTTGATGAATCAGAAGAAAAGAAACTTCAGTATCATTGATCAAAAATACTATATTAGGGTTAAAATACAATGCATAGAGTGGAAAAAAGGATATATATGGGGAGAAGATAGACTTGAACAATACTTAACAAGATATCCATAAGTCAACAAGTATGTTAAAATGTGAATGATTCTATTCCCAGGGAAATATTATTAAAATTACAATATGATACCATCACATACTAAGTTGAGTGGTTAAAATTGAAATGACAACATCAAGTGCTGACAAGTATATGGAGCAACTGGAACGCTTGTACTTTATTAGTACAACAACTTTTGAAAAATTTTTCACAGTATCTGCTAAAGATAAAAATATGTGCACACCTTAATTTACAGCAACCCAAATTCTATTCAAAATAAATTCATCAAAAGGTATATACAAAGTGTTATGCAGTACTACTAATAAAAAAAGCTCAAAAGTAGAAAAGAATTAATGCTTATCAACTGAAGAGTGTATAAATGAATTGTACTATACTTATATATCTAATACAAAGCACTGATATTAAAATTAGAACAACATTCACAGATTAATTTTACAAACATAACACTGAATGAAAGAATTTGTCTACATAGGGTAGACAAGACTACTCTATATAATCCCATTTGTATAAAGGTTCAAGCCACAGCAAATGAGGGAAAAAGTATGACAACGGAATTCAGGGTTGCCCTTATCTTTTGAGGGGTGGATATTAATCAAGTAATGATAGATGATCTTCTTGAATTTTCCTGCCATTTTATTTTTAATCTAGATTTTGTGTCTAGGATTATACTAGATTTGTGTATGTATACAACTATTATGAGAATCTTTTTCTAGATGACTGCTATAATTTTAAATAAAAATAGTTGTCTAAATGTTTTCAAATATATACTCATTATCAGATATTGCTTGAACAGACAACAAAGTATATATTCAAAGATAGAGACTAACACATTAGTATATTTTTCTAATTTTTAATTTTAGAGATTAAAAAAATCAAAACAATAAAAGATTTCAAAATAATATGATAGGGAATTAACAATAGTCACTGTATTGCATAGTGTTATCTTCAAAATAGTTGCTCAGATTTTGTTTATTTTTAAGGTATTATTTAACAAAACATTAACTCGAGAAAAATTTATTTAGACTTACAATCACTAGGAATTGAAGAAAAATTGATAGTGCTTCTGTAAACTAATAGATTGATATAACGATAAGAATTCAGAATATGATAAATGCTGTGCAATTGTGCATATGGACACGGGGTGGCGCTGCAGGATAAGAGTGAAGAATTGCTAAACAAATACCCAGCTCGCCATTATGCTGGCAATCAGAATTCTGAATGCTCCCTGAAAGAAGGAAGCATTTTGGATGGCATCTAGGGAAGGGATCTTTAGGGAAGGCACAGTTTTAAGTGCAAGTCAGTCGGCCAGACTTATTACACAGTCAACTACCAAATCATCTGGGTGGATTGTACAGTGAGGTGGAGAAACTGCATCTTCTGGACCGGGTCTGAACAATGGAGACTGCCCCAGCAAGAACGCTGCACAAAAGGCAAGTTGCTTTTCTTGTTATGCTGTTGTTTGTGTGGGAGGCTGGCTCTGAGGCGATTAGGTATTCGATGCCAGAAGAGACAGAAAGTGGCTACCTGGTGGCCAACCTGGCAGAAGATCTGGAGCTCAGGGTGGGGGAGCTGGCCACTCGAGGCGCGCGAATCCATTACAGAGGAACCAGGCAGCTCTTGCAGCTTGATGTACAGACTGGCAATTTGCTTCTGTGTGAAAAGCTAGACCGGGAGGGGCTGTGCGGGGCGACAGAACCCTGTGTGGTGCATTTCCAACTGTTACTGGAAAACCCCGTGCAGTTTTTTCAAGTCGATCTGCAACTCACAGACATAAACGACCATTCTCCAGAGTTCTTAGAGAGAGAAACACTCCTTAAAATCCCAGAGAGTGTCCAGCCAGGGACCGTGTTTCCTCTGAAAATAGCCCAGGACTTTGACATAGGGAGCAACACTGTTCAGAACTACACGGTCAGCCCCAACTCCCATTTTCATGTGGTGACTCACAACCGCGGGGATGGCAGGAGATATCCAGAGCTGGTGCTGGATAAAGCTCTGGACAGGGAGGATCAGCCCGAGCTTAGTTTAATCCTCACAGCTCTGGATGATGGGGACCCGCCCAGGTCGGGGACCACGACAGTACGCGTTGAAGTCGTGGACATCAATGATAACGCCCCTGAATTTTCACAGTCGCTCTATGAAGCACAGGTTCCTGAGAACAGTGCGCTCAGTTCTGTTGTTGTCACTGTCTCTGCCCGAGATTTAGATGCAGGAACATATGGGAGTATTGTTTACACTCTATTCCAAGGCAGTGCTGTTACAGAACCCTTTGTAATAGACGAAAGAACAGGAGAAATTTATCTGAGACAAGAATTAGATTTTGAGATAACTAGATATTATACGGTCGAAATTTCAGCTACAGATGGTGGTGGCCTTTCAGGAAAATGCACTGTAGCAATAGAGGTGTTGGATGTGAATGACAATGATCCCGAATTGACCATGTTAAAGTTTAACAGCTCTATCCCAGAAAACTCCCCAGAGACAGTAGTTGCTGTTTTCAGTGTTTCTGATTCAGATTCTGGGGACAATGGAAAGATGATTTGCTCCATTCAGAACAATCTCCCTTTCCTTTTAAAACACACTTTCAAAAATTTTTACACCTTGGTGACCGAAAGCCCATTGGATAGAGAGACCAGGGCCCAGTACAACATCACCATCACCGTCACCGACCTGGGGACGCCCAGGCTCAAAACCCAGCACACCATCACCGTGCTGGTCTCCGACGTCAACGACAACGCCCCCACCTTCACCCAAAGCTCCTACACCCTCTCGGTGCCCGAGAACAACAGCCCCGCCCTGCACATCGGCAGCGTCAGCGCCACAGACTCAGACTCGGGCACCAACGCCCAGCTCACCTACTCGCTGCTGCCGCCGCCCCACGACCCGCTCCCGGGCCTCGCCTCGCTCGTGTCCATCAACGCCGACACCGGCCAGCTGTTCGCGCTGCGGGCGCTGGACTACGAGGCCCTGCGCGCCTTCGAGTTCCGCGTGCGCGCCACCGACCGCGGCGCGCCCCCGCTCAGCGGCCAGGCGCGCGTGCGCGTGCGCGTGCTGGACGCCAACGACAACGCGCCCTTCGTGCTGCACCCGCTGCAGAACGCGTCCGCGCCCTGCACCGAGCTGCTGCCCCGCGCCGCCCAGCCCGGATACCTGCTCACCAAGGTGGTGGCGGTGGACGCCGACGCGGGCCAGAACGCCTGGCTGTCCTTCCAGCTGCTGCAGGCCAGCGAGCCCGGGCTGTTCAGCGTGTGGGCGCACAGCGGCGAGGTGCGCACCGCCAGGCCGCCGGGCGAGCGCGACGCGCCCAGGCAGCGGCTGCTCGTGCTGGTCAGGGACAACGGCCAGCCGCCGCTGTCGGCCAGCGTCACGCTGCACGTGCTGCTGGTGGACGGCTTCTCGCAGCCGCACCTGCCTGGGCCCGAGGCGGCGGCCGAGCGCGCGCAGGCCGACCCGCTCACCGGCCCCCTGGTGGTGGCGCTGGCCTCGGTGTCGTCGCTCTTCCTGTTCTGGCTGCTGCTCTTCGTGGCGCTGAGGCTGTGCGGGAGGAGCGGGCGGGCCGCGCTGCCTGGCTGCCCTGCGCCCGAGGGCCCCTTTCCGGGCCAGCTGCTGGACGTCAGCGGGGCGGGCACGCTGGCCCACAGCTACCAGTATGAGGTGTGTCTCACTGGAGACTCTGGGACTGGTGAGTTCAAATTCCTGAAGCCTCTTTTCCCCAACCTCCCACCCCAGAGTGCTGGGGCAGAAACAGAAGGAAATATTGCTGTCCGGAACAGTTTTGGGTTCCCTTAGAGATCTGATTGTGATGCTGTGTTTTCTGCATCTGAGTGTTGAGGAGAAAAATTTCACCTTCAGATATAGCTTTGATTTTCTCTTTGCAATCGATGTGTGCGTTGAATTTTGACACAATTTACAAAAATTCTTTTTGCTTTTTTGAAGGTTGTCTGTAGCGCCTTAGATAGAACTTAGAGTATTTGCATTTATCACTGAACTGTTCTCGAGGCTCAGTCCTGCTTTGCTGTTTTCACACTGCCATCCCAAACCCATGCGTGCTGCAGGTTTTCCCAAAGGTTTTGATGTTCTCATTGGTATTTCTTGCGATAAGCCATCTTAATAATAACAACAAACGTTATTTTCTTTTTGTACCTAATCCTACCCATTTTGTTCCTTCATTTTCAAGTATTTGATGCTGAATTGAAAATACAAAAACGTTTTATGGCATTTTTTTCATTTTAATTATTTCTGCTTTGGTCCGTGAGGGCCACTTTCTGGGCCACCTGGTGGATGTGAGTGGCCAGATCTTTTCTCAGAATTATCATTATGAAGTTTACCTGGCAGAAAGCTCTGTGACTCGGGACTTCCAAGTTTTTCGACCAATACTCCTAAATTTGGGTGAAGGATGTGATGGGAACACTGACAAGATGGCAACTTTAGGTACCATTTGGAGTTCAATTAGGAATGCACTTTTGATGACATGATAAAATTGTGACTTTCATTAATTATCTATAAATTCCCAATCCTTTCATTCACATAAAGAGATAACATGCTCACAAGTGGCAACTAACGTCATATTTATTAACTATTTCAACCAATTGAACCATTTTCATCTTTAACATTGTATTAGGCATCTCACATAGCATGTGCATACAATGGCAGAAATACTGCTTATTTCTCAATGTAGGTTGGTTTTTGGTTTTTTGTTTGTTTATTTGTTTTTTCCTTTTGGTCAAATTTTGAAAATCACAGATACTTTGAGATTCCTGATATTTGAGCTTGTTCACTGATGTTTTGTTTTAATTAAGAGAATTTCCTTCAAACATTCTAATTACTAGCATGACTGTATTGTAAAAAATGGCTTTTCAGTTTTAAAAATAATTCTTTTATGCAAAAAAATTTGGGAGCTTTATAAATTGTTGGGTTTTGGGGAGTTGTTTGAAAAATTGGATTGCTTTCCTCAAATAAACCAGTATTTTATCTGATGATGTTTTCTAAATTAATTTTTTTTCAAAACTGGTCTCATTTACTCAGACATGATGGCACATGCCTCTAATCCCACACATGGGATGCTGAGCAGGAGGACTGCCACAAGTTCTAGGTCAGCCTCTGCTACACAGTGAGTTCAAGTCAACCTACCCTACATGACAAAACCCTGTCTCAGAAAAATATATCACTTAGCAGATGATTTTCTAAATCAAAAATGAAAAAAGCTGGTAGGCTTGTAATCACTTTTTTGTCATAACTGATTTTGTCATTAAATAATAAATATTTTTAAAGAATAATATAATCATATTAAAAAACAAAAGAAAAATTACATGATTATTTTAAAACTCAGAGTCAGCTCTATAAAGTAACATTCTAAAATATTCTTATATGGGGATGTTGTTCAGGGGTATAGTGTGAACTTTGCTTGTCAGAGGCCATGGGTTTAGTCCCAAGCACTGCATAAAAAGTAAAACAAATATTTCTGTGAATGCATAGAGGAATAAAGTAAAATAAATTAATAGATGGAAATAATTTATAAAATGGATGGACAACAAGCTGATAGTTTCTAGTTAAAAGTATCAGGCAGATTATTAAAAAATGTGAAAATATAGAACTTTCTTAAATTTTATAAGTAACACATTTAAAGCTGAAAACCAAGATTATGATGTTAATTAGGGATTGGGAATATAAAACAGTATTATTCAATCCATAGCATGGCAAAAAATATTCTGGTATGATGAATATTAATATATTATCATCATTTAGACTGAGGACTGAGACGTAGGACTGAGGGTAGCTGAGTGGTAGAATGCTTGTCTAGCATTCATGAAGCCCCAAGTTTGATCCCAAGCACTGCAAAAAAAAAGTGAATAAATGTTTTTAAACCTCCTTCGTCTTCATGGTATTTATATTCTTGTGATATATATGTACATACAAATAAAAATTAATATTTATAACACCATACATCTGAAAGCATAATTTCTATAATTATTTAAATAATTTCTATCTAAGAATTTTTAATCTAGCCCTGGGCATTCTCCTGTAATCCCAGCACTCTGGAATTATGAGGCAGGGACATCACAAGTTCAAGTCCAGCCTAGGCAACTTAATGACTTACAGTAGTAGTTAATTTCATCATGATCCAATTGTTATTCAGTAATAAGTTGTTTACTATTTGATTTTTTTCACATCTCTATTCTAATGATTGTCTTTTGTCCTTATTTTCCTGGAGTCAAGTAGATATTTACCACCTAATTTTGCATACTTTTGACTGGATTTTAAACTTTTGATACTATAGTTTTACCTCTGAAAAGTTCACTCTTATTCTCTAAATTTTTCTTTCTATAGAAGCCTTTTACTTTTTAATTTTTAGTGAGACAATTCATATGGTATTCACCTTTCAAAAAACTCAGTATTTTTGTGTATTGAAAAAGCTATGAATTATTATCACTCTAATTCTGGGACATGTTCACCACCCTTAAAAGAAGTCTGGTACCCATTAGCAGACACTCTTACCTGACCCACTCCTGCCTCTGGGAACCACTACTCAATTTTCTATCTCTTTTGATTCACCTGTTCTGGATATTGCATTTAAAATGATTTATATGATACACAGCCTTTGTATATGGATTGTTTTACTAAGTATGTTGTCTTAAAGGTTCCTTCATTTTATAGCATGTATCAGTATTTCATTCCTCTTTAGAGCTCAATAATATTCTATTGTATGAATATAACATCTTTGCCTGTCACTTGATGGGAATTTGGCCATCTTTGTACTTTTGTCACTATGTCTGGCAGATGTTATGAATATTCACATGCAAGTTTCTGTGTGGAAACATGTTTTTACATATTCCAAATATATACCTAGGATTAGAACTGCTGGGTCTGACACTGCAGAAGATCGGAGTTATTGTTAAACTGTTTTCTAAAATGACTGTACAATTTTACATTGCTATAAACAGTGTATGCAAATCTGTTTTATCTCTATCCTGTTATTTTCTTTTTAACTGCATACCAAAGGTATAAACAAGTATTTTATTGAGGTTTGATTTTAACCCCCAAATTACTAATACTGTCGGACAACTTGTCATATTCTTATTGGATATTTGAATATATTCTTTGGAGAAATGTTTTCTGAAATACTTTGCTGAAACATTTGTTTGAGAACTACAAGTCAGTGTCTATTAGTCTTTTCTCTTGGGTTCAGGTTACTCTTCAGATAGAAATTCAGTACAGCTGGAAGGTAGGATGGAAAATATGTAACACTGATACACCTTAAGCACTTTAAGGTCTCTTGGTTTAGGGAAGGTGGTAGTAGTCAATATTTAGGATTTTTACCCTCTTCTCATTAAGGCCCAGGCCTGTTCTCAGTTGTGGTGATGTCACTCAGTCCGGCCTTTTCTATTTAACCTCTACAGATACTACACCTCTCATTTTATGCCATTATGAGAAAAGGGAAGATACCTTGATTCAGTAACTGACAAAGGAATTCTCACATATTGCTTATTGACTTAGATATTGTCTTAGATATTGCTTATTCTCATTGCTGAGTCATACTGCTGAGACAACTTAAGGGATGAAAAGCTTATTGAAACAGTTTGTAGAGTTCAGGCTGGCTTTGCAGCAGGATAGCATGGCAAAAATGCATGACAGAGAAGAAAAAGCTCATGCCATGAGGGCAGGAAGCCGAGAGAGATATCAAGGGAGGAGAAGAGATACACCCTTCCAGGCAATGGCCTAGCTGATTTTAAATCTGTGCTATTATATAAATGAGCTTTAAGGAGTCAACCAAGATAAACTTGTGTCCCCAGTTTTCTTAAATTCTCATGTCCCTGAGAAGAACAATGTAGCTGGCTATAAAATTCTTCCTTTAGTCAACTTCCTTTTCCTCAAAGATTGGTTGACATCAAACTTTACATTAGCCCTTTTATCGTAGTTTACTCACAGATCTAAATTTGACTCAACTTTAAAATTAGGTAATATTCTTCAGAACTCGTGATTGCAATGTGTCATGAATTTTTCCTATTTGCTATAGTGTCATCTTAGTACAAGAACAATATTGGCTAAGGGAAAATTACTGAGTCAAAATTTCTTTCCTTCAGAATCTTGTAAATATTTCCATTGTTGAAATATTTCTCAGGGGAAGTCTGGAGTCTGTATTCTTTGCCTGTGGGAAATTTGCTTTTTATCCTTGAGGTACATTATATTTATTAGTTTAGGTCTTGATTACAGTAATTTTCCATTACTTTTTCTTGGAACTCAGTGTTCCCTTTTAATCTGATGTATGCAGATATTTTTATGTATGTTATTCATTGATTCATTCATTTTAAGTCTAATTTTAAAATCTCTGATACTGTCAATATTTTTAGTTTGAGTCCCTTGCTGTTTATTTTGTTTCTGCTTCTTCTTATTCATGTGTATGTTTCTTTAACATACATCAACTGCTCTTAAAAATGCATTTTTGAATATTCTAAAACCCTAGATTCTATGTTTATTCCTTCGAAATTGATTTTCAAACTGGAAATGGTGGTGCATATCTGAAATTCTAGCATTAAGGAGCCTGAAGTAGAAAAATCACAAGTTAGAGGCCAGGCTGGGCTATGTAGTGAATTCAAGACCAACTTAAACTACACTGTGAAACCCCATCTCAAAAAAAGGACTTTCATTTTTATCACCTAGGATACTGAAAACAGTATCAACAGGGAACCAAATTTGTGGCTTAAATTCCTTCCCCTCAATTCATGTATATTCAAGATACATATAGACAATAATCCATCTGTACCTAAAATTTTCTCTTTTCTTTCATTTTTTTCTGATCTGCGTAATATTTCTAAATTCCTGGAGTTGGAGGAAGACAGTGTCTTTATGTTTCTTTATGTTTGAACTGTTCACATTATGATTCTGATCTTAGTCCTCTAAGATCTTTTACTATGAGGAGAATCTTCCTACTATGAGGAGAAGCTTCTACTATGCTACAACTTTGGTTGCCCCAAGCCTTGATTTATATTTTTTAAGCCCATATAGATTTATATCAAGTCAAATATGAATATTTTTCAAATGTCTTGAAAGCATAAGCAGTTCTTTTTTCTGGTGTGCTGCTTACTGCTTGATTGCAGGCTTCCTTAAGAAATTGTCTTATTTCTACTATATTATCAGGTCTTTAATATTTTTGAGATTTATTAAAGTTTTGTCCATTATTTTTTCCACAAGAGTGTCATCTCAATTATCTGCATCATCATTTTCACAAATGAGAAGCTCGGTATAATTTCTCTCTAATTTGAAGACTCAGCTTTGCCATCTTTTCAATTATATATTAAGGATCCTATTTTATTTTACTTGATTGAATCTAGTTTTTCTTTCATTTGATATTCTGCTTACCCAAATTCCTGGTCTTCCTTCTGCACCAAGTAGTAATTTTCACAGGGAACACTCTTTATCTGATTAGTTTAGGAAAGTATATATTGAAATAAATACACATGAACAAGTGTTGAATTAATGAATGAATGAATTTTAGTCTTTATCATCTGTCTTAATAAACATAACATTATTCACAGTATTTACTACTTGCTTTGTTCGCCTAACAATGTATCATTTAGTATATACAAGCTAACTTTCACCTTTAAAATGTAAGGTGTGATATTAAGCCCTTTATTTATTCACAGATGAATTTTTAAACTAATTTTTACTTACTGTGTTATACAATAGTAGATAAAAAGGAAAGTATGTGATTCAGCTTCAGACCAAATATTGACAGTATGAGATTTTAAAATTAGACTTAAAATTTAAATATACGTTATACGTAGGAGATGTAACAGCACGCAACAAGCTTATTAAATGTTTTTATTCTTAAGTTTCTCAGTTGTGCATCTGAAATTTTTTTATCCTTTCGTTTTCTGAAATATGTGTTAGCTTAAAAAATAGCGCCTTAGGGCCGGGGGTTTAGCTCAGTGGTGTAAGTGCCTGCCTGGCAAGCATGAGGTCATGAGTTCAATCACCGGTAGCAAAAAAAAAAAGAAAGAAAATAGTGCCTTACCGGCTTGTTTTACATTTTATACATTTTCTTTTACAAACCCCGAAAAGCTCTTCTTCCTTATAGCTTGAAAGTATAATATTTTAGTGTACATAAATTACAGTTGATAACAAGAAGCAGAGATTTTCTGTGTATGCATAATCGATGACATTTTGTATAGGGACTTACATACTTATAAAATTGCTTAAAGAACAGGACAAGCAGCAATGACAGGATCAGCCCTGCCTCCTGTTTCAGAAGGCAAGCTACCATGGCCTCAGAGCTCAGGAAGCCGATGCCACAGAAACCACCAAAACTGTTGCTTTCATAGTGTTCTCTCCCAACTCCTACACGGGTGACTGGAATCAACCTTCACAAATCCTGAGGGGTGACGATCTGTCACTGAGCGGCCTCCAGTTCTCAGCAAAGCTCATGGCTAGACAGAAGATGCTGACTTTGCTGCAGGCTTTCACTTCTATTTTGCCTTGTTGATCAACAATACTGCACAGTAGTAAAGTGACCTTTATGTTTCTTCTAAGTCTCAGGTGAAGGAGCATCACTTCAAATCTAATTTACAGCAAGATTAATAATGCCAAGGAGCCTGGAAAATGAAGTTTTAAGCTTTCTAGACCCACAATTTTTAAAAACTTCATAAAAGTAGGAATGGATGACATAGGACAGTGACATACTTGGAAATATCATTGGTTTTAAGGACTTTGTCTCAGTAATTGCATTTGTTTATTTGCTGTTTTTGAATCTTAACTTTTAGGGCATATGCAGCTATTTATAGCAGCTGAATCACATGGCTTCACTCCATTCAGTGAGTAACCTATCACCCTAACTCTAACATAAGTCTAGAATTTCCAAAAATAAACATAGTCAAATCCAAACAGAGATAGATGATCTCTCAGAGAAAATAGAAAGTTTGAAAACAGAATAATATTTGGGAAGAAACCTTGTATTTATATTATCAGATGAAAAATTACTGCATCCAAGAAATAAGTATAAAAAGAGAGCTTTTGGAAAATATAAACATAATAAAGAAATTAAAATCTCAATGAAATGCCTAGAAATTAAAATAAGTTAGAGAAAATATTGCAAAAGATCTTTTAAAAATTGTAAACAAGAGTGAAAAAGAAAGGAAAGGCTGTATCAGAAGCCCAGCACCTGAATTTTAGGCATAAAAAGAGAAAGAGAGAGACAGAGAGACAGAGGGACAGAAATAGAGACAGAGAAATAGAGTGAGATATCAGTAAAGTAATTTAAGAGCTAAGTAAATTAGTTAGAACTAGAGTAAATTAATTTTCTAGATGAAATGGCTCAATAATATTATTGTATAATGGGTGAAATACAAGACCAAACCAAAACCCATCACTGTTTAATTTTTAATTGCCTGGGATAATGACAAAATACTACAATAAATAAAAATACAAGTTATGCATGGAGGATAAAAGTAAGATTAAAAAAACAATTTTTTAGCAAATACTTTGGTTTAGACAGATCTTTGCTTAACAAACACTTCACAATTATAAAAGAAAATTGTTTCCACCTAGAACACTATACTCAGTAAAACTTCCAATCAAATATCGTAAATAAAGATGTATTAGTACATTTAAGTTCACCACAAAATTTAACTCTTCTACATTATTTTTGGAAAACTACAAAAAGACACCAAAATGAGAAAGTAATTCAAGAGAAAAAGAAAGAAAAAACAGAAAAGATGTAAAAGAGGACAAAACTGAAATAAATCTCCAGACAATATTTAAGTTATTAAAGGACAAAAATGTAATCCAAAATATTAAGAAATCAGTTGATAATACCTAAAATTAATTAATCATAATATATTACAACGCAGATTAACTGAAACACGTATGGCACTTGCCTCTAATCCTAGCTCTTGGAATACTGAGAAGGAAAATCACTGAAAATTCAAAACCAGCCTGGGCTACATAGAGTCCAAAGCCACCCTAAACTACAAATGAGACCATATCTCAAAAAATAAGAAAAATGATTAGTGTAGAAGACATAAAAATACAAGTTTAAAAATGGTTGCCTCTGGGAAGGAAATCAGCACAGTGAGATGGATAAAGACAGAGAGCCATTGTATTTCATTATAAATCCCGTAGTGCTATTCAATTTTGAACCAAGGTCATATATTATTACAATGAATGTATCTTAGATATCAATAAAGTAGCTTTTATAAATCTTCCCACAAATAGAAAGGAAACTAAAATAACATTGATATTAAGAATAGGATACAACTAAAATATCAAAATATACAAGGAAGTAGAATGCTAAGAATCAGGAAAATGAGCATTTTAAAAATAGAGGGGCCAGGGATATAGATCAGTGGTGCAGCATCTGCCTGGCAAGCTCAAGGTCCTGGGTTTGATTCCCTGTACCCAAAAATAAAATAATAAAAAATAGAATGCAAATTACTTAAAAAGAATGAAATGGACTATCCATTTGTCTCAGTCTCCAAACCCAAGAAAAAGGCATTTCTTTCCATGGAACAGTTGATTAGTAGTGATTTGAAGAGACATCTGGTGAAAGCACAGGTCTGCCCAGGAAGATGTCTTTCCTGAAGGAGGAAACAGCTTGTGACCCAGAAGAAGCTGTCTGCAAGAGTGTCCCCAAGGAAAAGAGAAAAAATTTATTCTGCGAAAGAGCCAGTCAGCAGCGGGCCTGAAGAGGCTGCTGCCAGCAAGGGCAGCGCCAAGAAAAAAAAGAAAAAGCTCCAAAAACATCCTAGGAAGATTAGAATGGACAATCCCTGGGGTGCACTCGTGGGGACATTTCCCATTCCATGGCCTAAACCCCAGTCAATAAAAATGAAGCACACACCAAAGAGAACAAACCTGGAATAGATTAATATCCAAAGGCAAAATGGAAAGGATAGTCATAGGTCTGCCACCAGTGAAGCCACCAAATCAACCCATTTAAAAGGCAAATTATAATAAATGCTGTAGACACAAATAGCAATATACTTCGAAAGCTGTTACATGAAAATATATGCACAGCATCTTAAACCATCCTTTGAAGCCACAATGATAGTTCAGTACTGAAACCAAAGAAGTTATAACACAGTCCAGCATGGGCCAGTAAAATCCTAAAACCATCTTGACACATCAAATCCATCTCTGCGTTAGAACATTAATGCAACATTAATACATTACTCAATTGTATTCATATCAAAGACTAGAATTAAAAAGCCAAATAAATGAATAATTTAAACAAGTGTAAAAGTTATTTTAAACATGAAAGAAGATATTCTTCATTAAAAAGTATTTTCCTTAAATTGAGATCAACCATCAAAAAGATACAATAAGAGAAACATTTCTACAAAGCCAATGTTGACCTACTTTCAGAGTACCCATTATATACTGGAGATCCTGGCCATTGACATTTTATAACAACAATAATTTTTGTAATACTTTAGGCAGGTGATGCATGAAAGTTACATGGCAGGAAACTGGAAGATACATGTAAAGAGTGAAAATGTAGAAAATAAAATTATTCCCTAATTTACAACAAAGCTGAAAAGGAGAACGCTATTCTGTCTTAGGAACTGTATTATTGCTGAACAACTAACAAATAAATGATAGGTCCTTAACTAATATTTGACTTTTCATGTGGACATCACTTTCATATTCTTTACTAAAAATTTTTGACATGGGAGATTTTCATCATGTCTTAGGATGTTTTCCAATTGAAAACAATTAATATTGAAAGATTAATTTGTTCACTTGTCATACAACAAATGTAAAAAATTCTTAACTTTCCTTTTTTATTAATATATATTCATAATACATAATAGTTACATTCACCTTGAGGGATATGTTATACACACTTCACCTTGATCGCTTTTATCCTTTCATCCCCCACTTCCTCAGGTTCCCTTTCCATCTCCACAGTGTAATTCCATGTTTCCTACCATTTATCGTTTATTTTGTTCTTTAAATTATTCATATATTGGGTTTGTCACTTGGGTAGGGAACCAAAGTTTAATGCCTCTAGATTTAAGAATACAACAAATTTCTTTTTCTACAAATTCAGATTATCAGAGGAGGAAACGAAAGTGAGCTGTTACTTACTAGCATTACTGTGATTATTTGAGGGAAAAGATGGAATGAGACAGCAAAGATACGGGGTTAAGTCACTCCTGCAGCCAAACACCTTTTGTCCGCCATCTTTTTGGTTTATTTTGAGAACGGTTATAACAATTACAAACCGCAAGGTGGCGCTGCTGGCTAAAGAGAGAAAAAATAATGCCTTCACAAAGGACGTTTCTGATTGCAGCGTCAAAAGGAAGTCTGACTGGCAAGCAAGAGAAATCGTGGTAATCTTAGTTGTGGAAAGTGCGGGTCTCTCCTCATGAGAATCGCTATTATTTAGCTCAGTTTTAAGGATTTATTTGCTGCCACTTCCACGGACTGCTTGAGGCTTAGTGGGATTGTTTTTGCAAAACTGACCAAAGGATGGAAGCCAGATTGGAGCGTGCCGCACGGTACAGGCAAGTGCTATTTCTTTGTGTCATTCTGGGGCTATCTTGGGCTGTCACGGAATCGCTTCAGTATTTTGTGGAGGAGGAAACTGAGAGAGGCACTTTTGTGGCCAATCTAGCAAAAGACTTGGGGTTGGGGGTGGGAGAACTGTCAGACCGGGGATCTAGAATTGTTTTCGACCAAAATACAGGATTTTTACTGCTTAATTCGCTGACTGGTGATTTGCTTCTAAATGAGAACTTGGACCGAGAGGAGCTGTGCGGTCCCATAGAGCCCTGTGTAGTGCCTTTCCAGTTATTATTGGAAAAGCCATTTCAGATTATCCGTGCTGAGCTACAGGTCAGAGATATCAATGATCATTCTCCAGTATTCCTAGACAGAGAGATTCTGTTGAAAATATCAGAAAGTACCACTCCAGGGGCGACATTTCTCCTAGAAAGGGCACAGGATTCAGACACTGGAACCAATAGTCTGACTAACTACACCATCAGTCGCAATGCCTACTTCCACATTAACGTGCATGACGGCGCGCAGGGAGATATCTTTCCGGAATTGGTACTGGATCAGATGCTGGATCGTGAGGAGATGCCTGAACTCAGCTTAACCCTCACAGCCTTGGATGGTGGCTCTCCGCCCAGATCAGGGACCACACTGGTACGCATCCTGGTGGGAGATATAAATGACAACGCCCCTGAATTTGTTCAGTCCTTTTACAAAGCCAAGATACCCGAGAACAGCCCCGTGGGTTCCCTGGTTATCGCCGTGTCAGCTAGAGATTTAGATACTGGGAGCAATGCAGAAATGGTGTATGCATTTTTTTATGCCACTGAAAGAATTCTCAAAATGTTTCAAATCAATTCAACCTCTGGCAATCTTTATCTTAAAGCCGATTTGGATTACGAGGTCATTCAAACTTACACATTAACTATTCAGGCCAAGGATGGTGGAGGACTGTCTGGAAAGTGTACCGTGGTTGTTGAGGTAACAGATATAAATGATAATCCACCGGAAATTCTCATGTCATCGTTAAATAGTCCCATTGCAGAAAACACACCTGAAACAGTCGTAGCTGTTTTTAGGATTAGAGACAGAGATTCGGGAAACAATGGGAAAATGGTGTGTTCCATTCAGGATGACATTCCCTTCCTCCTGAAGCCATCTGTGGAAAATTTCTATACTCTAGTAACAGAGAAACCTTTGGATCGAGAGTGGATCACAGAATACAACATCACCATCACCGTCACCGACCTGGGGACGCCCAGGCTGAAAACCCAGCACACCATCACCGTGCTGGTCTCCGACGTCAACGACAACGCCCCCACCTTCACCCAAAGCTCCTACACCCTCTCGGTGCCCGAGAACAACAGCCCCGCCCTGCACATCGGCAGCGTCAGCGCCACAGACTCAGACTCGGGCACCAACGCCCAGCTCACCTACTCGCTGCTGCCGCCGCCCCACGACCCGCTCCCGGGCCTCGCCTCGCTCGTGTCCATCAACGCCGACACCGGCCAGCTGTTCGCGCTGCGGGCGCTGGACTACGAGGCCCTGCGCGCCTTCGAGTTCCGCGTGCGCGCCACCGACCGCGGCGCGTCCCCGCTCAGCGGCCAGGCGCGCGTGCGCGTGCGCGTGCTGGACGCCAACGACAACGCGCCCTTCGTGCTGCACCCGCTGCAGAACGCGTCCGCGCCCTGCACCGAGCTGCTGCCCCGCGCCGCCCAGCCCGGATACCTGCTCACCAAGGTGGTGGCGGTGGACGCCGACGCGGGCCAGAACGCCTGGCTGTCCTTCCAGCTGCTGCAGGCCAGCGAGCCCGGGCTGTTCAGCGTGTGGGCGCACAGCGGCGAGGTGCGCACCGCCAGGCCGCCGGGCGAGCGCGACGCGCCCAGGCAGCGGCTGCTCGTGCTGGTCAGGGACAACGGCCAGCCGCCGCTGTCGGCCAGCGTCACGCTGCACGTGCTGCTGGTGGACGGCTTCTCGCAGCCGCACCTGCCCGGGCCCGAGGCGGCGGCCGAGCGCGCGCAGGCCGACCCGCTCACCGGCCCCCTGGTGGTGGCGCTGGCCTCGGTGTCGTCGCTCTTCCTGTGCTGGCTGCTGCTCTTCGTGGCGCTGAGGCTGTGCGGGAGGAGCGGGCGGGCCGCGCTGCCTGGCTGCCCTGCGCCCGAGGGCCCCTTTCCGGGCCAGCTGCTGGACGTCAGCGGGGCGGGCACTCTGGCCCACAGCTACCAGTATGAGGTGTGTCTCACTGGAGGAACTGGGACCAGCGATTTCAAGTTCCTAAAACCTATTGTCCCCAACCTTCTACCCCAGAGCACAGGGAGAAATGTGGAAGAAAATTCCGCTTTACAGAGTAGTTTGGGTTTCTGACAGAGAAGGAAAATATAATCTGTCTGTAATATTCTTAGGAACCTATATTAAGTTCATGTAGAGATGAGTTTTATTTTTTAAAAGCAGTTCTAAAGTCAAAGACTAAATTTCCCTGCACCAAAGAGAATACAGTTGTTTTTTAAATCTCCCTGAGGATTGAAACCAAGGCCTCTGGGAATGCAAAGCAAGTGTTACACCCCTCACCTGCATTCCAGGCTATTCTGTTTCAGACAGTATCTAATAGGTACAGAGTGTCCTGGGAGTTAGAATCTTCATTTCAGCCTCTGCAGAATCTGGGGTTGCAGGCATTTACCACCTTGCCCTGTCATGATCCACTATGATTCTGAAGAGCCCTCCACAAATTATGAAATGTGTGTTATGTTTTATTTTACACAAATTTATTTAAAGTGAGGTCCACAAATAACAAGTTTTGAGATTTTAAAAATTGTTTTCCATCCTGTTCAATCTTTACTGTTACTCTCCCTTTCTGCTTAGAATTTTGTACAAGTATATGTATCCTAAGTTTAATCAGCATAGATTGACAGTATCTTCTTAAACTTTTTAGAAAAATAGAAATCACTATGTACCATGCACACTCTTAATCTCAAAAGGAACCTATTAGTGGTACTTCAGAAAAGAGCAAATAGATGTTCATAGAGACTTATAAAGGTCACAAACTTAGAGGGTGACAGAGCTAACCATATTCCCTAATTTTGTCTGATTTTGCATCTGTGGACTTGCAACAATGCTACATTGTTTTTGTCATTATCAATGGCCTAACAAAGGAGAAGAAAAGTTTCTGTTATGTTCAAAATTCCTGTTCATTTCCTTTTGTATTTATAATTAATGTTCCTATTGTTCTATAGTTTTATTTTCACATAAACCAACAATGCTCCTGGGGGTTTTTTTGGTACTAGAGATTGAACTCACAACCTAGTACTTGCCAGGCAGGCACTTGTGCCACTGAGCTAAATCCCCGCCCCAAGAATCCTGCTTCAATAAGTTAATTGTTCAATTATTAAAGTCCTGATCTAACCAAATATGAAATTTTTAATAGTGAAAGATCAGCCTGTACTTTTGCCTTTTCTCCTGAACATATGACTTTCATTTAACAGAAGAGATTAATGGTTGTGAATAGGAATGTCACACAATTGTGGCTGTTTTATTAGTTCATTATTTACCCTGGCTGGTTTTTCTTTAGCCATTCACTGTTACATTGGTACCATAATTTTATGCTTTAGTAAGGTTTACTTTTAATTTCCTTCTCAGTATGCTGCAGTGCAGAATCAGGAAAATTTAAGAAATGGTATACTTTAAAATATGTAATAGAGAAATATGCATTGAAGGTTAGAAATTCTAGGGAACTTAAGAAGAAGCTTTGTTTATTTTGATAGTCTGCAACTGCTTGTTCTTTAGATATCACCTGTGGTTGAGGTTGTAGTAGTGCAGTGGTGGAGTGCTAGCCAAGCATGCCTGAGATCCTGGGTCCCATCCTGAGCATTAAAAATGTAATTCAATATTTCTGCATGGTTGTATTCTGCAAACATCATACACTAGAACCAATAACTCCAAAAAAGTATTATTACTGTATATAACTAGTTAAACATAGCCTAAGGACAGAAAAAAACTCACAAGAGTAACTTTTTCATAGTCTAAAGTTAAAATTATCCAATTTCCCCAATAAACACATGGCATGAAAAAGAGAAAGGAACATTTACACAGTGAAAGGACTTGAGATCTACCAAAAGTCCAATGTTTGGGGAATCTTATTTGGATCATGATTCATACAACAATAATTCTGAAAGTATTTGAGGAATTTGAATATAAATGATATTAATAACCTTAATTACACAATTTCTTAGCCATGATAATGGCATTGTAGTTTTATGATTCTCAGAAAGTCATTAACAGAAATGCATAATAAAGCATTTGTGGGTGAAATTTGCTTTTCCTAAGATGTGAGAATATTAGAGGAATAGAATAAAGAATTATGGAAAAATCATAATTATTGTTGAAACCAGTGATGAGTATATGAACGTTCACATATTATTTTTAATGAGGTTTAAGAGTTTTAGAAAATTGATCCTGTGAGTTCATCTTTTTTTAAAAAAATCATATCCTCCAAAAATACACAATCACCACTGATGTCACATGTTTGTACCTCCACTAGTTTCCTGCATCATTTGACATGATATCTTTAGAGATAGTCCTGCTCATCCATTCTTCTACTGCATGAATATTCAGGTGTTTGCTCCATTTATAGCAAGAGATTCATGAAGACTTAGTTGTTTGGTGACATGTACTTGCCATGTATAGTTTTTTATGAGGTTAATCATTCTTTAAATTAGTTTTCTCTCCTGTTAGGTGGGGAATTCACAACAGCACTGTGTGGTATGTGCTATTATTCTCTCAAAGAAGACAAAGAAGTTAAATAATTTGTACAAAGTTCATGGCTATCAATTATTTCTGCAATTAATTGTAATAAAGAGATATAATTCTGAAAGACATCTGCATTACGTATATATTTTTTCAAATTCAAATATACACATGTCAAATTTCCTGTCTATAATGATTTCCAGCCAAATCTTACCTAAATGTGCCCCAAACTCAATAGCATGACGGAAAGTCTCCACTAATACCATTCCTCTTGTTTGGCCTTCAGACAACTGTCTTTCCAGTAAGGAACAGCCAGCATACAGGTGACGTTATAACCTTAATTATCCAGGTGATACATACAGTACAGGTACTGGTAGGAATACTGCATCCATTTTCTTCCACTAATTGTAAGATCCTGTGAGGACGCGTGGTGGCGCTGCAGGATAAGAAGGGACAAACTGGAACTGCAGGTTCTCCATTAACTAGAAAATTTTACCAGCACAGCCTGGGAAACTCGGATGCTGAAACTGAGACGGGGACTCAGACAAAAAGGAGGTCTGTGTTCTCTGAAGAAGGATTTGAAAAGTACTGGCATATTTCTCAGGTATCTTGTGGAATAACTACAGTTTTAGATACTGGAGACTTTACAGTTGAGAAGGAAAGCAGAAGGAAAGAAAGCTGTACCGCAGCGCAAGGACAATGGAAACCGGCCGGAAGCTCTTTGGCACACAAAGGCAAGTCCTGTTTTCCTTTTTCCTACTGGGTTTAGTTTTGGTGGGCGCGGTGGAACTCAAACGCTACTCTGTGGTGGAGGAAATGGAGGGCAACACCTTTTTAACCAATTTAGCAAAGGACTTGGGTCTGAGCCAGGGGGACCTCTCCAGAAGGGGGATTAGGGTCATTTCCAAAGGGAACAAACTGCGCTTGCAGCTCCATCAGGAGACCGGGGAATTGTTCGTAAATGAGAAACTGGACCGAGAGGAACTGTGTGGACACGCAGAGCCCTGTATGCTGTATTTCCAAGTGTTGCTGGAGAGTCCCTTAGAGTTTTTCCAAGCTGAGCTACAAGTAATAGACATAAATGACCACTCTCCTCAATTCCTGGACAGAGAAATGTTGCTTACAATATCAGAGAGCAGCGCTCCTGGGACTACATTTCCACTGAAGAAAGCTCAGGACATGGATGTAGGACCAAATAATATCGAGAACTATGTTCTTAGTCCCAACTCTTATTTTCAGGTCCTCACTCGCAAAGGGAGTGACGGTGGGAAATATCCTGAACTGGTGCAGGACAAAGCTCTGGATCGAGAGGAGGAAGCAGAGCTCAGGTTAACCCTAATAGCACAGGATGGTGGCTCTCCACCCCGGTCTGGCACTGCTCAGGTTCACATAGAAGTGGTGGACACAAATGATAATGCTCCTGAATTTGAGCAGCCTCTCTACAGGGTACAGATCCCTGAGGACAGCCCCATCGGCTTCCTGGTTGTCATGGTCTCTGCTATAGATATAGACATAGGAATCAATGCAGAGATTTCCTATTCACTCTTCCAGGCTTCAGAGGACATCAGTAAAACTTTTGAGATCAATCCTATGACAGGAGAAATTCGACTGATGGACCAACTTGACTTTGAAAGAATTCAGTCCTATGAAGTCAATGTGGAAGCTAAAGACACTGGAAGCTTTGCTGGAAAATGCACTGTCCTGATCCAAGTCCTGGATGTGAACGACCATGCCCCTGAGCTTACTATGTCTGCGCTTACCACGTCCATCCCAGAAAACTCACATGAGATAGTGGTTGCAGTTTTCAGTGTTTCAGATCTTGACTCCGGAGAAAACGGGAAAATAAACTGCTTCATTCAGGACGAGCATCTACCTTTCTTGCTGAAATCTCCAGTAGAAAATTTTTACACACTACTAACAGAGAGCCCGCTGGACAGAGAGACCACAGCGGAGTACAACATCACCATCACCGTCACCGACCTGGGGACGCCCAGGCTGAAAACCCAGCACACCATCACCGTGCTGGTCTCCGACGTCAACGACAACGCCCCCACCTTCACCCAAAGCTCCTACACCCTCTCGGTGCCCGAGAACAACAGCCCCGCCCTGCACATCGGCAGCGTCAGCGCCACAGACTCAGACTCGGGCACCAACGCCCAGCTCACCTACTCGCTGCTGCCGCCGCCCCACGACCCGCTCCCGGGCCTCGCCTCGCTCGTGTCCATCAACGCCGACACCGGCCAGCTGTTCGCGCTGCGGGCGCTGGACTACGAGGCCCTGCGCGCCTTCGAGTTCCGCGTGCGCGCCACCGACCGCGGCGCGCCCCCGCTCAGCGGCCAGGCGCGCGTGCGCGTGCGCGTGCTGGACGCCAACGACAACGCGCCCTTCGTGCTGCACCCGCTGCAGAACGCGTCCGCGCCCTGCACCGAGCTGCTGCCCCGCGCCGCCCAGCCCGGATACCTGCTCACCAAGGTGGTGGCGGTGGACGCCGACGCGGGCCAGAACGCCTGGCTGTCCTTCCAGCTGCTGCAGGCCAGCGAGCCCGGGCTGTTCAGCGTGTGGGCGCACAGCGGCGAGGTGCGCACCGCCAGGCCGCCGGGCGAGCGCGACGCGCCCAGGCAGCGGCTGCTCGTGCTGGTCAGGGACAACGGCCAGCCGCCGCTGTCGGCCAGCGTCACGCTGCACGTGCTGCTGGTGGACGGCTTCTCGCAGCCTCACCTGCCCGGGCCCGAGGCGGCGGCCGAGCGCGCGCAGGCCGACCCGCTCACCGGCCCCCTGGTGGTGGCGCTGGCCTCGGTGTCGTCGCTCTTCCTGTGCTGGCTGCTGCTCTTCGTGGCGCTGAGGCTGTGCGGGAGGAGCGGGCGGGCCGCGCTGCCTGGCTGCCCTGCGCCCGAGGGCCCCTTTCCGGGCCAACTGCTGGACGTCAGCGGGGCGGGCACGCTGGCCCACAGCTACCAGTATGAGGTGTGTCTCACTGGAGACTCTGGGACTGGTGAGTTCAAATTCTTGAAGCCATTTTCCCCCAACCTCCCACCCCAGAGTGCTGGGGAAGAAACAGAAGGAAACGTTGCTGTCCGGAACAGTTTTGGCTTCCAGTAGTGGACTGATTGTGATGCTGTGTTTTCTGCCGTTTATTCCTAAATGACTCAGCTATAGAAATTAAGTGTTAGGGAGAAACATTTCACCTTTAGATATACCTTTGATTTTTCTCTTGTAATGGATTTATGCGTTGAATTTTTACCTTTCAGTTTATAAAATTCAATTCTAATTTTGTAGTGTAATGCTAGGGATAGAACCTGTGGCTTAGTATATTGGTGCTTTATAATTGAACTGTCCCTGGCTCAAGTCTTCTTTAGTGCACTTATTTACATGTTATCGTCCCAAATCAGCGTCCTGGGGACCCTGGCTCACTGGAGGTGTGTCTCACTGGAGACTCTGCGACAGATGAGTTCAAATTCCTGAAGCCAGTTATTCCCAACCTTTAACCCCACTCCCCTGGCAAAAATGTAGAAGAAAATTCTACCTTCCCAAATAGTTTTGTATTTAATAATTGACGGAAACCCTCTTTTAAAATATTTACTTAATATTTCCTGATGATTAAGTAAATTGTTTATGCTATTTGCTACTAACTAGGCACTGTTCAATCTTCTGTCATTAATTCCAATTTATGCTTTAGTATATAAGTGGTTTTTTTCCTTATACCTATTCTCAGTGAATTATTTCTTATAGAATTCTACTAAATTAAAAACTTTATCTTCAAAGTTGATATTGGTTTTTCTAAATTTCAACTTAGGAATATCTTTATTGAGCTTGTATTCATCACCTCTATATTTTTTTCATGTTAGTTTTTTCCCCTAAACTTCTTCATTTATTAAAATAGTCTGGTGCATGTATGTTTACTATTTTATATATTTTATTATACTTTCTAAATTGGTCTTTTATCATTCTTGATTTTAATTATAACACTTCTAAAGTTTTATTTTTTTAAAGTTCTATTTTCCATTAATATCTCTTCTAAAAATTATAGAACATTTCTGTTCTGTGATATGATAAATATCTAATCAGCTTTATCTAAAAGTAAGGAAATTTAATTTGAATAGTTGAGTATGTGTAAATATGTTTAACTTTGGGAACCTAAAGACACAATCCATTTTATGGACATAGAAATATCTAATAATATCTTAATTCTGTGTGAGAAATTTAGAGTCCTGTTAAATTGTTAATACAAACAATGCAATTCCAATGCAGTCAAGAAACAATAGAAGTTACCTAGTAAAGGTATAGTGTAGCTTTCATATTTAATAGGATCGGTTTTTTGCCGTTGTTTGATTCTGGTTTGTATTATAGAAGTATCTAGCTTTTTCCTAGTACATCTCTGAATTTAGTTACATCCCTTACTATGGAAAAATTACATCTTTCTAGATATAGGTTTTGAATAAAATATTCTGTGAAGCAGATACTAAAATGATTTTCTTAATTTCAAAAGTGGTAGGTATGTGTTAATTTGATCCATCCTTTGCCTTCCTTTATTTGATGCAATGAAATTAGATCCTACTAAATATCAATTAATAGAGCCCTTACAAGAAATTTTGGGCTCTTTTTTTCCATGCAAATTGTTTTAATGTTAAAATTAAAAAGGCAAAGTAAATAGATATTCAATATTCAATAGTCTGAATATATCCTGTAATTTCCAAATGGTAGGGATTGATAGGCATTTAATATTGTTTCATACTCACTAAGAAGCCCTACTCACTAAGATTTCTTGACTCATACCTCAATATAAGCACTAGTGAGGGACTAATTTTCCAACCAAAGATAACTAAGATACTATTCCTGTCCTTTGGTGGCTCACATGTGGAAGAAGGGCCACACTGGTATGAAACAGGAAACAATACTATTTACAGATCAATCATATTTACATTCATATATTGTTACAGCAGCAGAGAGGAGAAACAGCCTAAATGCTTGGTTCTTACTACACAGTGAGAATTCTGTTTAGGGAGTGTGGTGAGATTTTTTAATTTTTTGAAGAATGACATGAAACTAGTTTCTTTTTGGATTCCTATGCCCAAGTTTTCTGGAAACGTGAAATTTGTTACTATAGTGTTCCCATAGGCATTCACAATTTTTCTGTTGATTGCATGGGAATTAGTCAAAAATGAAAAGCCTATTAAAAAGCTAAATCTAGCAGTGAAGTAAAGTTACTGCAGCAATGCTTTTAAAAATACTTAAATTTTAACTTCCCCATGAAACAATGAAGAATCCAAGAATGCGAATGAATCTCTATATTAGCATTATTTTTAACAAAAGAAAGAAAATTTGAAATAAACTACTGCCAAAAAAATTCTTAAATACTCACAAGTTGGTACCATCATTTTATTCTGATGGAAACCACGCGATGGCGCTGCAGGTTAAGGAAACCGAGAAAGGTGAACCCAAGCGGTCACCCGAGTTACTAACAGGAAGATCCGTGGGAAAAAACGCTTTAGCAGCCCACGCTTTGAACGGGAACAGGGGAAAACGTAGCTACCTGCTACTATATGGTTTTGGTCTGAAGTGTGCGACTAGTTATGCAGAGCACCTGGTTGTGATACATACTGATGAAAAAAAGCAACTATGGAGGCCAGAGGATTGCACTTTCTCAGACAAAGGCAAGTCCTACTTCTTTTCTTACTCTGGGATGTGTCCTGGGCAGATGCTGGGTTTGGACACTATGTGGTGACTGAGGAAACAGAAAGAGGATCCTTTGTGGTCAATCTGCCAAAGGATCTGGGGCTAGGGGTGGAGGAGCTGGCTGCAAGGAGAACAAGGGTGGTTTTTGATGACAACAAACAATACTTGTTCCTGGATTTTCATACTGGAGATTTGCTCACAAATGAGAAACTGGACCGAGAGAAGCTGTGTGGCCCTGCAGAGCCTTGTATGCTGTATTTCCAGATTTTAATGGATAACCCCTTTCAGATTTACCAAGCTGAGTTGAGAGTTAGGGATATAAATGACCACTCACCAGCATTTCAGGACAAAGAGGTGATTTTAAAAATACCAGAAAATACAGCTGAAGGAGCAGTATTTCGACTACCAAGGGCACAGGATTCAGATGCAGGGCTTAATGGTATCCAGAACTATACCATCAACCTCAATTTTTTTTTCCATATCAAAATTAATGACAATGATGAAGGCATGGTATATCCAGTGCTGGTGCTGGACAAAGCTCTGGACTGGGAGGACCAGCAAGAGTTCAGTTTAACACTTACAGCAATAGATGGAGGGTCTCCACCCAGGACTGGGACTGCCACTGTACGGATAGTGGTTTTAGACATCAATGATAACGCCCCACAGTTTCCCCAGGAGCTTTATGAGGCCCAGGTTCCAGAAAACAGCCCAGTAGGGTTCCTTATTGTTAAAATCTTTGCAGAAGATGTTGACACAGGTGTCAATGCAGAAGTTTCCTATTCATTTTTTGATGCTTCTGAAGATATTCGGACAACTTTTGAAATCAATTCTCTTTCTGGGGCAATCACTCTCAACGGGTTACTTGATTATGAGTCAGTAAAGTCTTACAAGATAAACGTACAGGCAGTTGATGGTGGGGGCTTGTCTGCAAGTTGTACAGTTGTGGTTCAGGTCTTAGATATCAATGATAACTCCCCGGAATTGATCATATCATCACTTTCCAACTACATTGCGGAGAATTCTCCTGCGACTGAACTGGCAGTTTTTAGAATTAGAGACAGAGACTCTGGAGAAAACGGAAAGATGATTTGCTACATACAAAAAAATGTGCCTTTCCTTCTAAAACGCTCTATGGAAAATTTTTACATTCTCATGACAGAAGGAGAATTGGATAGAGAAAGTAGAGATGAATACAACCTAACCATCACAGTCACCGACCTGGGGACCCCCAGGCTGAAAACCCAGCACACCATCACCGTGCTGGTCTCCGACGTCAACGACAACGCCCCCACCTTCACCCAAAGCTCCTACACCCTCTCGGTGCCCGAGAACAACAGCCCCGCCCTGCACATCGGCAGCGTCAGCGCCACAGACTCAGACTCGGGCACCAACGCCCAGCTCACCTACTCGCTGCTGCCGCCGCCCCACGACCCGCTCCCGGGCCTCGCCTCGCTCGTGTCCATCAACGCCGACACCGGCCAGCTGTTCGCGCTGCGGGCGCTGGACTACGAGGCCCTGCGCGCCTTCGAGTTCCGCGTGCGCGCCACCGACCGCGGCGCGCCCCCGCTCAGCGGCCAGGCGCGCGTGCGCGTGCGCGTGCTGGACGCCAACGACAACGCGCCCTTCGTGCTGCACCCGCTGCAGAACGCGTCCGCGCCCTGCACCGAGCTGCTGCCCCGCGCCGCCCAGCCCGGATACCTGCTCACCAAGGTGGTGGCGGTGGACGCCGACGCGGGCCAGAACGCCTGGCTGTCCTTCCAGCTGCTGCAGGCCAGCGAGCCCGGGCTGTTCAGCGTGTGGGCGCACAGCGGCGAGGTGCGCACCGCCAGGCCGCCGGGCGAGCGCGACGCGCCCAGGCAGCGGCTGCTCGTGCTGGTCAGGGACAACGGCCAGCCGCCGCTGTCGGCCAGCGTCACGCTGCACGTGCTGCTGGTGGACGGCTTCTCGCAGCCCCACCTGCCCGGGCCCGAGGCGGCGGCCGAGCGCGCGCAGGCCGACCCGCTCACCGGCCCCCTGGTGGTGGCGCTGGCCTCGGTGTCGTCGCTCTTCCTGTGCTGGCTGCTGCTCTTCGTGGCGCTGAGACTGTGCGGGAGGAGCGGGCGGGCCGCGCTGCCTGGCTGCCCTGCGCCCAAGGGCCCCTTTCCGGGCCAGCTGCTGGACGTCAGCGGGGCGGGCACCCTGGCCCACAGCTACCAGTATGAGGTGTGTCTCACTGGAGGAACTGGGACCAGCGATTTCAAGTTCTTTAAACCAATTTACCCAAATATTCCCACACAGCATTCTGTAAATAATAGTGAAAATAGTCCTACCTTGTGAAATAACTTTGGAGTCTATGGCCATACCATCCAGAAGGCACCCAGTCTTGCCTGAGATATCTTTGGATTTAATTTTCAGTAAAAATTTTGTTTCAATTTCCATACACGTTTAAAGTGTTAGACTACCGTATCAGTTAGTGTAGTTTTGTACTAGTTGTTATGCAATACTACTTGTATTTTCAATTTTAATTGTCATCAATTATTCACTGGTTACCAGTGTGATTTCATTCATTTGCAATAGAAACTAGTTTTAAATGAATTGCCATATACATTTAAATGAGTTAAAGATTTAATCCTTTCCAAATGCAAAAAACCTTGTTGCTGTTTCTAATTCTAAAGAAGGAAGATTTCATTTTTCTCCTGTTTATTTTGTTGGTGCTTGAGATTGAATCCATGCTATACAAAATAAGAAGCACTCACTATGCTTGAGTTACAAGCCAGTCGCTGTTCTGATATGTTTTTCCTAATCCTAACTACTCGTCTTTTGTACTTCTCTCATAAGAAGTCACCTCTACACTTTAAATTTTATTCTAAAGTTTTATTTAGTCATGCTAAATATCATGCTATCTACTTCTAAATACAGTATTGAAAGAAATACTCTGTTGCTGTGCTCACTGTAAAATGAAGCAAATCATTTTATGATTGATATTGGACCTACATAATCTCTTTGTGTTGCTTCCTTAAAATATATTACACTTAGTCATATTTTCTTATGCTTATATATAAAATGGACCGTGTCTTATAATTTCAGTCAAACCTGCATGAAACCTTTAGTCATAACCTGCATGAAAATGAATATACCTTTTAAAACATTTTGAAAGTTTGTGTATGAAAATATTGGACTGATGAAACAGTATTTACATTTAACTTTAGTTTGGAAATTTGTTTTAAGATTATTTTCAAATTTCAAAATCAAAGTAAATTAAAAATTATAAAGAAAAACAATAATGTTTTCAATCCCCTGCCAACCCTGTATAGTGGCTACTTCTACAATTGATTGCAGTACTTATAATACTACTTTATCTTGATATCTGGTTTTATATTTTAATAATTTCTTGCTAGAATACAAAATGTTTATTTTCCAAATACTAAACACAATCACTGTATATTCTCGTATTCTAATAGAATTTTTTAAGTTGAATAGTAGTTTATATTTCTAAGCTGTCTGCTAAATATACAATACTATAGAATCATTAACTTTTTCTTGAAAAATACCTTTCCTAGACCTGATAATTGTTGTGTTGTATTTACATCATTTTCTATTAGTTGATGTTGATTTTTCACACCATCTCTCTTGAATATCATTTTTTCCCTAAAATATATTGAACTGTATCAAATAACTATCCATTATGTTTATTCCTTGCAGATTTTCACCCAAGTTTCTACTTCATTTATACCTTTTGCTTTATAAGCTGTCATCCTGGGAGATTTTTCCTTTAATATTTTTCTGTATTGGTCCCCTATTGATTTATCTTTTAACCATTATAATTATTTTCTCATAACTGAGAATAGACAGTTTGAAGGAAGAAATGTTTATTTTGTCTCATAGTTTCAGGGTTTCAATCTATGACTATTGCAACTGACTTGTGGCAATGGAACAACATTATGGTAGAGGAAAGGTGATTGCCTTAGGGCAGCCGAGAAGCAGAGAGTGTGGGAAAGAATGAGAGGAAGAGGCAGGTAACCATACATAGTAAAAAAAAAAAAAAACAGTTCACTCCTCCATGACATACTCACTTTAGCTAGGACTCACCTCCTGTTTCTATCACTAAGCACTTTCAAAGTATGATTTTATCACTAAATGGGGTTACAAGTCCCCATAATCTAATCACTTGCCCTAACCCTGTCAGCAACATATCCTTCAAAGTAATGAACCTCTTAGAGGATTATGTTGGATCCTAATGATAATAGCTAATATAGGATACAGTATATTCTTCACTCCTTACTTGACTCTGATATTTGATTAACATACATTTCACTATACCTTACAAAAATGGATGCAGAAGAGGTAAAAAATACTTTGAGGCCTTGCATTGTGATCTTTTCCCTTTCATTTTATTGTAGTTTTACTGGATATAAAATTCCATGTTGAAAATAATTTTACTTCTGATTTTTAAAACACCGTTCCTAAAAAAAAGGTTTTAGGGCTGGGGATTTAGCTCAGTGGCATAAGTGCCTGCCTGGCAAGCACGAGGTCATGAGTTCCATCCCCAGTACCGCAAAAAAACCACCATTCCTTTTATTTACTGCACAGTTCAGAAGACTAAGTCCACTCTTAATTCCCATCTATTTTTATGTGATTTGGTTTTTTTCTGTCTTTGTAGAAACAATGGAAATCTTTTCCCTTGATTCTGAAAATAACTTATTAGTAACTCATTAATCTAGACATATGAGCATTCCTTAATTCTCATATTCTGGAGTTTAGACGTAATGTTTAGACAGTTTTGAGAAGTTTTCTTGTTAAGTTTCACTATAATTTGTCCCCTAATTTCTACATTCGAACTTTAACCAGAATCTGAATTATACATGGGGATCTCCTGAGTTGACTGTATAAGACTTCAAACTTGTTTTCCTTTTTTATTTTTCTCTTTACCTCCTGTTCCACATTTTTGACAACTTATTTAATCATTCAGTCTTTAAACTTTTATTTTTGATTTATTTATTTTTAAAAGTTCTTTTTTATCCTCTGAGTGTTTTTTATAGTATGTTGTGATAGATTTATAAACATATTATCTTCTCTCATTATAAGTACTTATATTCTTAAAATATATTATGTAAAAATGCATCATACTGCCATGACCTGTACAGCCAAATGAGATTAAGAAAAAACTAGACACACTAAAAGAAAATCTAGGCCCAGATGAGACCTAATCTCTCTGATGGAGAGACAGTAACAACCCAGTACAGTCTGGGTCTTGATTTGTACACAGTACACTCATGACAGGATCAAAAATGCAAGGTCTCAGTGTTTCACTGACAACACTGACAATGAAACATTCCCAGAGCTATCTGTGCTGTAGTTAACAGGGAGGAACCACAAGGTCAGACACCTGCTGGACTGGCCTTGCTCTAGTCCCAAGGAGTTCACTGACTTCCTGCACAGCTGAGGCTGAGATGCTCCTCACATCGTAATGTGTGTGTATGTGTGTGTGTGTGTGTGTGTGTGTGTGTATGATCACAGAGATGATAACAACTTGGTCAGAGTAATATATAACTTGCAAGGTGTAATTAACTCATGACCTGTTATCATACTAAACAATACGTAGAGAGTATAGTCACTATTAAAATGAAATGGACAAATACATATGACTTAAAACAATGGGTAGCATGTAGTAATTATGAAATTAGGTATTCTTAATTTTATTTCTTTGGGACATCAAGTCATATCAAAGACACTTATATATGTTTATTCTTATTCCTTTTTTAAAAAAGGTAGCATTTGAACCTATTTCAAGTTATAGGGAACTCTTCAATTGTCTTTTGATTTTTAGCTATATTTTCATACTTAATAATGGTGCCATATCAATATGCTGACAGTCAACTTTTTGTGAGTATAAACATTCTGTTATTGGTAGGGCTTCATTGTAACGAAACCACGTTAGCTTAGGGTAACTATCTTGAAAGACAACGACATCAGTATGTTTAAGTTTTTCTTTGGGCTTTCTATAGTCTTGAGTTTAAAAATCTAGAGTACCTACTGTATGGGTGTGGGCCTCAGATATATATCTTTTGTCCTACAGTCTGTGAGAATTGCATAGGAAAAGACCAGAAATTTCACCAATCAAAATGCAAAGTTTGATTTATTTTTCCTATGTTTACTTTCATACCTGACACTTGCATTCAGCTCTGCCAGTGTCTTCAGGACCACCAAAAGTCTCATTCAGTTTCTCCAGAGTGTAAATTGTCCGTTTTCTGATCCTGAAATACTTTCTTGTTTCTGTGGGCTGGAGAAAGGAACAGCGAATTCAAGTCTCCTACATACATACTTTCAATGAATAATTTTTCCATTTCTTAATTAATTTCAGTCTCCTTGTGCATCTGGTTCTTCCAATCTCTAAGCTAAATATACAGTAATTTACAGGACAAACCCACTAGTTTCTTGTATCTTCAAAGAAGGAACTTTTCCATTTCTTGAAACTTCTGAGTCAGAGTAACATCTGCTTTATGTCATAAACATATGTGCTAACTTGTTCACTCAGCCCTTGAAAGTTCCTTTTTTTCTTTTTTGTCATTATCTGGGTACTTTAAATAAAAGAGATTAACTGTGTGCATATATCTACTTTTCTCTTTCTACTTTTTTGCTGATTATTTCAACTGTGTATCGAGCTTATGTTTTAACAAATGTAAGTTGAGTTTAACATTTTAAGTGCAAAGTTGCCATTTATTCTTACTGTGATTTTGAAGTTTCCTATAATGAACATCATTGATCATCTCCTAGCATCTATTCTATTATTATGTAGCACTTTGGCTATGACCAAAACCATTCCAAGTTTCAAAGATACTCCTACAGAAGGTTAAATAAAGGTTAAAGATAGATTTTCTGATTCTGGTTCTAAAAGCTCCACTTATAATGGTATACCTCTTGAAACAATAATTGTTTCTGTAGCAGAAACATGATGTTTGTCTAGTCAGAATAAAATGTTGTTCCCTTTGGAAAAGATAATCATTCTCACTTTTGGCACCTGAAAAACGAAGGCACCTAACCATAGTTATTGATGGAATGAATCTTGAAAACTTGAGAGAAACAAGTTCCAGTAGTAAGAGCTTTAAATGAAGCTAACCAGTTTCATAGCAGAGTATAGTGGTACATGCATGCCTGTAATCCCAGCACAAGGGAGGCTGAGGCTGGAGGATTGCCATGAGTTCAAGCTTTGCCTGAACTACATAGCCAGACCTTGTCAAAAATAGAGTATATTTCCATTTATGTACTTACTAAATATTTCTTATAAATTATGAGAAACTTGAATCAAATTATGGATTTGCATAATGTGTTCTACACCAGTATCTCACTTCATTTTCTACCAGCTCACAATTCACTGCTGTTAAGGAAATCTCCATAATGTCTTCGTGTGCTTTTTACAACTTTCTCTAATCTGTACTGTCTCACAGTTAACCCAGTTTCACACTCCCTGACAGATCTTCTGAAGTGAACTATGGACATTTCTTTTTCTCTTACCACCAAGTAGTGAAAGGATTTTGTTCATATTGACAGTCAGCTACATCCTCATTTCAGGTTTATAGGCTTCTCAGAAAGGTTACAAACTCCTAGCAACCAGCAATCACATCTTGTATTTATATATTCCTAACCGAACACAGTAATTGTGTAGAGAGTGGAGAAGGACATTTAATAAGTGCTTAAAACAAATATAACATTGTCATAGGCTATAGAAAACATAAAACAATGATTACAAAGGATCAAATATATTTCTAATCACTTAAATATTTGTCTCTGGAGCACACGAATGTGAACAAAAATTTAGTAAGCTTTCAAAAGAGACTGTGAAAATCTGTGGAGACACATGGTGGCGCTGCAGGATAATCCTCGGGAAATACAGTGTAGGAAGCTGGGAAACTGTGCACACAGAGAATTGGGGAAGGCAGAAAGATAAAGTCCTCACAAAACCTAGAAGCCATTCTACAGGGTTAAAAATCCTTAGGCTTCCAAAGATTTAGTGGACTACTCAAAAAACACAATTCCTAGAAGTGCATCGTGGAGCTGAGGCCATTCTGCAGGAAGTCCTCAGTAAAGGAGCTATGGAGAATCCAGCGAAAGGCACACTGCAAACAAGGCAAGTCCTGCTTCTCTTTGCTTTGTTGGGAATATCTCGGGGGGACCCTGAGCCTGGGAGTTTTTCGGTGGAGGAAGAAATGCCCAGCGGGACCTTTGTGGGCAATTTGGCAAAAGATCTAGGGCTGGAGGTGGGTGAACTGTCCCTGCGGGGGGCTCAGGTGGTCTCTAATGATAACAGACAGCCTTTGAAGCTGGACATAAATACCGGGGATTTGCTCTTAATGGAAACACTAGACCATGAAGAGCTCTGCGGCTCCACGGAGCCCTGCGTATTGCATTTCCAGGTGTTAATGAAAAACCCTTTGCAGTTTTTACAAATTGAACTTCAGGTCAAGGATATAAACGACCACTCTCCCATCTTCTTGGAGAAAGAAATACTCCTAAAAATCCCAGAGAATAGTCCTGTTGGTGCTGTGTTCTTAGTAGAGAGTGCAAAAGATTTAGATGTAGGAAACAATGCCATAAAAACCTACATAATAAGTAACAACTCTCATTTCCACACTAAAATGAGAGTCAATCCAGACAACCAGAAATATCCGGAGTTAATTCTGGACAAGGCACTAGATTATGAAGAGCAGCCACAGTTCAGTTTCATCCTTACTGCACTGGATGGTGGGTCCCCACCCAGGTCCGGGACTGCCGTGGTTCAAGTGGTTGTTGTAGATACTAACGATAATGCTCCAGAGTTTGAACAACCATTTTATGAGGTAAAGATTCCAGAGAACAGCATCCTTGGTTCAGTGCTTGTCACTGTCTCAGCAGGGGATTTAGACTCTGGAATAAATGGGGAAATCACATACACGTTTTCTCATGTATCAGAAGATATTCAAAAAACATTCAAAGTCGATCAAAAGTCTGGAGAAGTTAGTTTAACGGCATCCTTGGATTTTGAGACAATTGAATCATACTCCATAATCATTCAGGCTACAGATGGGGGAGAGCTTTTTGGAAAATCCACACTCAGAGTTCAGGTGATGGATGTGAACGACAATGCCCCGGAAATTGCCATATCTTCAATTACCAATTCAGTACCAGAAAATTCACCTGAGACTGTAGTTTTGGTTTTCAGTATCCGAGATAGAGACTCTGGGGACAATGGGAGAATGGTTTGTTCTGTCCCAGAAGATCTACCATTCGTGCTGAGAACTTCAGTTAAGAATTATTACACCCTAGAAACGGAGCAAACATTGGACAGAGAGACCACAGCGGAGTACAACATCACCATCACAGTCACCGACCTGGGGACGCCCAGGCTGAAAACCCAGCACACCATCACCGTGCTGGTCTCCGACGTCAACGACAACGCCCCCACCTTCACCCAAAGCTCCTACACCCTCTCGGTGCCCGAGAACAACAGCCCCGCCCTGCACATCGGCAGCGTCAGCGCCACAGACTCAGACTCGGGCACCAACGCCCAGCTCACCTACTCGCTGCTGCCGCCGCCCCACGACCCGCTCCCGGGCCTCGCCTCGCTCGTGTCCATCAACGCCGACACCGGCCAGCTGTTCGCGCTGCGGGCGCTGGACTACGAGGCCCTGCGCGCCTTCGAGTTCCGCGTGCGCGCCACCGACCGCGGCGCGCCCCCGCTCAGCGGCCAGGCGCGCGTGCGCGTGCGCGTGCTGGACGCCAACGACAACGCGCCCTTCGTGCTGCACCCGCTGCAGAACGCGTCCGCGCCCTGCACCGAGCTGCTGCCCCGCACCGCCCAGCCCGGTTACCTGCTCACCAAGGTGGTGGCGGTGGACGCCGACGCGGGCCAGAACGCCTGGCTGTCCTTCCAGCTGCTGCAGGCCAGCGAGCCCGGGCTGTTCAGCGTGTGGGCGCACAGCGGCGAGGTGCGCACCGCCAGGCCGCCGGGCGAGCGCGACGCGCCCAGGCAGCGGCTGCTCGTGCTGGTCAGGGACAACGGCCAGCCGCCGCTGTCGGCCAGCGTCACGCTGCACGTGCTGCTGGTGGACGGCTTCTCGCAGCCGCACCTGCCTGGGCCCGAGGCGGCGGCCGAGCGCGCGCAGGCCGACCCGCTCACCGGCCCCCTGGTGGTGGCGCTGGCCTCGGTGTCGTCGCTCTTCCTGTGCTGGCTGCTGCTCTTCGTGGCGCTGAGGCTGTGCGGGAGGAGCGGGCGGGCCGCGCTGCCTGGCTGCCCTGCGCCCGAGGGCCCCTTTCCGGGCCAGCTGCTGGACGTCAGCGGGGCGGGCACTCTGGCCCACAGCTACCAGTATGAGGTGTGTCTCACTGGAGACTCTGGCACAGATGAGTTCAAATTCCTGAGACCATTTTTCCCCAGCCTCCCACCCCAGAGTGCTGGGGAAGAAACAGAAGGAAAACCTGCTGTCCGGAACAGTTTAGGGTTCTCCTAGAGGTCTCATTTTGATGCTGTGTTTTCTGCATGTGGATGTCGTGGAGAAAAATTTCACCTCTAGGTATAGCTTTGATTTTCCTTTTGTAATGGATTTTCCCACTGAATTTTGTTTTTCATAACTTATGAAACTCTAATTCTACTTTTTATAAGTTGTGCTGCAAATGTAACTTCGGGCCCACGGTATTTGTACTATGCTACACCATGGAACTGTACCCCAAGCTCAAGTCTCCCCAGCTTTTGGTGTTACATAATTGTTTATCTTTATTTGTAGTTAAGTCATTTTATTCTGCCACTCAGGAGTGTTTGCTTTTTTAGAAATTCTTGAGAAAATAAAAGTTATCTTTGCTCATGTTTGTCTCTCCTATTGAAGTTGCACTCACATTTATGCTTATGGTAAAATAAATCATTGAAAATAGTTTAAATCTTAAAGCTCTTCTTCATTTGTCTATAAGTTTTCCTTGTGGCTTAATAGTGATTGTGATTTTCAACTATTGTGTTAGTTTTAATTAACATTTAAAATGTGATAATTGAAAATACTCTTGAAATCATATACTATATACTGTAAAGATAAAATATTGGTTAGAAAGAGCCAAAAAAAAAAAAAAACTATGGGCATATCACACAGTACAAGGACCTAGGTTTCATCTCTATAGTTGGGAAAAATGAGAAGAAAAAGAGGGGGGAAACGAAAAGGAGAGATAAAAGAGGGGAAGGAGAAAGAAGAAGACAAGTTTCTTCCTCACTTGTGCTGTAAAATGATTCTGAAGGCTGCTGATATCATGGCCACTCAGAATTTTGGAGTAGGACAGTGTCATTTTCTACGTGTCTTACAAATGTTACAAATATTATAAAAATGGAATGAGACCAAGTCAAACAAAAGCACCCAAGTAATAATTGTATAGTATAAAGCAGGATTGTGTCCGAATGTGTGTGTTTTTGTCAGTGTTTTAGCATGAAATATACACCATAAGCAGTAATTTTAAAACTTTTAAACCATCATAGTAAAATTGCTATATATGTTTATGCAACATACAAACATAATAGAAATGTTTAGTAAATAATGCTTAGTTTTTTGTGATGCATCACACACATGACTGCTCATATTATTTCACTGGGTTTTTTTTTCTTTTTTGTCTTTTTCATTTTTATCGGTACCAGGGATCGAATTCACAACCGCCTGCTTGCAAGGCAGGTGCTTATGTCACTGAGCTAAATCCCCAGCGTTTTAATCTTTAAATGTGGTCCTAGTCCAGTCAATTGACCTCATGACCTATTAATGAGTAGCAATACAAATTTTAATAAATGCTTTTCCTGGAGATACAAAAGCGTGATATATTTGGAGCACTAAATAACAAAAGATACACCTTTGGTATCTAACTTGAAAGAGATATTCAGTCCATCCTAGGAAGTTTTGTCTTACCTTGCATGAGGATCGACCAACCATTTTTGCTAATAACCTGGTTCCATGCAGGCATCCGTGTTTGGGGTGGGGAGGGGGGCATCGGTGTTTATGAGAGGAAGTTTCCCAAAGAAATTTCATCAAAAAGTCTAAGGTCTAGAAGGAAAAGTATAGATGAACAAATAAATAATCACAGAGCTAGAGTGTATGGGAGAGTGTTCTGACAGACAATTGGCATAAAAAAGAATAAGTGAAAAAGAATAAAGTGTGATTACTTCTAATTCTATAGTCTAGATTCAATGCCAAAAACTGACTCTTGAAGATAGATTTAAAGTTTATTTTAATATTTTAGAGGGGATGTTAGCCAACTGATAATTCTTGAAAGTACAACTCTAATATATTCAAGACAACCCAATATTTATATCTCTTGAAAGCCATTATTTCATGATCAGTCTGGTGAGCTGTGTGGACCAATTTGGAATCTTGGCATCCAAGTGAAATAAGAAAATAAGTCAGCTATGCCATGTGGACTAATTAAATTCTAAATTTTATTTTTGGTAATGAATAAAGGAGCAATATTTTGTCCTTTATGTGAAAGCTTTTTTACATAGGGAACAAAAACAGATATTAGTAAATCAGTCAAGTATTATGATTATTATCTGTCCTTATACATTTGGCAAGGAAGATATTAAGAATTACTAGCTTAAACAGACATAAAATCTTACAGTGTTCTAGAAAAATATATAGACTACAAAGGTAAAAAGTAAAAATGGGAGCCAGTGTGGTAGCACATTCCTGTAATCCCAGCATTTGGGAGGCTGAGGCGAGAGGATCATTGTGAGTTCAAGTCCAGCCCGGGCTACAAAGTGAGCCCAAGGCCAGTCTGAACTGCATAGAGAGACCCTGTTCCAAAAAAAGATTATAAAAAAGTAAAAATGACCAATTTATACACACTAGACTAGCTAAGATCAAGAAGAGAAGACAGCAAAGGCTGACAAGGATATGATAGTACTGGTGATTACACATTGCTGCTGGTGATTTAATACGTTATAGAACTTTGGAAAACGGCTTGGCAACTCTTCAAAATGTTATACACGTAGATACTCTGGGACTCAGAAAGTATGTAGCCAAAACGAAATAAGAATATAGGTCTATACAAAGCAACTTATCCAAAAATGCTCATACAGGTATTATTCATAACCCAAATTGGGAACAATTCAATGGTCCATCAACAAATGGGTAAAGGGATTATTTTAAATAATAAGCATTGATTTTAAAACTTTTAAACCACGATAGTAAAATTGATATATATATATATATATATATATATTATGCAACATAAACATGATAGAAATGTTTTGTTTTATTATTTTAAAGAGATTATTGTTCAGCAACAAAGTGGAATGAAGAACAACAGAATTGAACCTGAAAACATGCAAAATGAGAAGCCAATCATAAAATATCACATTGTATGATTCTGTTTATATGTAATGGTCAAACTAGGCAAATCTATCGAGATGGAAAGCACATCCGTGGTTGCCTAAGACTCAGGAAAGTTTTCTTTTCTATATTAATCTTTACCTGAGCATAATTATGACACATTTTGATTACTGCTTTGTCAAATGTTTTAACCTGCAATCTCCATAAAGACAAATATTATCTCTATCTTGGGTCATGTCCTTACATATGTATTTTTAATACCAAAAGAAAGGGTCTAGCACTCCTATACCTGATGTATTTAATAAACTTTATGCATTCTTAATCTGGTATATATTAACTGAAAAAATGAATGATGTAACTACAACTGACTGGATTCTACAAATATTTCTTTGTAACACTTATGAAATAGTCTAGATAAAATATTATTTATTCAGTTCAGTATATTTTAATGGATCTTTCTGTGTCAAGCATTCAAAGCAATGATAATTCAATGCATAATACAGACATTATTTGGATTCTGATTCAAACAAACCAACAATATTTTGGAGAGAACTTGGGAAAACCAAATACAGAGGAAAATTATATAAAAATGCTGCTAAGTTTGTTGATTGTGATAGTGCTGCTGTAGTTATATTTTTAAAAGCCTTACCTATTACAAATAATTAGGTATTCCAAAGACAAAATATGATAGGGCTTTGCTTTTGATTTATCAATTTCTTTTTCAAAGAGGAAAAACTCATAGAGACACATGGTGGCGCTACAGGATAAGAAGAAAATTGTACATAGCTAGCAACGTGGGCTCCATTACTGGAACACAGAATGTCAAACCCACTCCGAAAAGAGGCATTAATGGAGCTGCTGCAAGGCTACATTCTTTGCAGGGCTCTCCCATAAAAAAATCAGAGCTTCACCTTCTAAACATAGGGCTGAACTTACATTTTTCACACACATATACATGAAAAAGGCTGTCTGAAAGAACCATGCAGATGAGAGGAGTGGTCACTCCACAGAAAAGGCAAGTGCTGGTTTTCTTTGTTTTGCTAGGATTGTTTCAGGCGGGTACTGAATCTTTGCGCTATTCGGTAGCAGAAGAAAGAGAAATTGGCTTTTTTGTGGCTAATTTGGCAAGGGACCTGGGGCTGGGATTAGAGGAGCTGTCCTCACGGGAGGCCCAGGTAGTGTGTGATGATAGTAAAAAGCATTTGTACCTTGATTTGCCTACGGGAGATTTACTCTTAAATGAGAAACTGGACAGAGAAGAGCTGTGCGGCTCCAGCGAGCCCTGTGTACTGCATTTTCAAGTGGTACTGGAAAACCCTTTACAGTTTTTTCAGGCTGAGTTGCATGTGAGAGATATAAATGATAACTCCCCTACATTCCTGGACAATGAAATACTTATTAAAATATCAGAAAGTACAACTATTGGAACAACATTCTTAATGGAAAGTGCTCAAGATTTGGATGTAGGAAACAACAGTCTTCAAAACTATTCAATTAGCCCTACTTCTCATTTCTATATTAAAATTCGAGATGGTGATGATGGAAAGATATATCCAGAGTTAGTTCTACATAGAGTGCTAGATCATGAGATGGAATCTGAGCTTAGACTAACACTCACAGCACTGGATGGTGGATCTCCACCCAGGTCTGGGACAACACTAGTTCTCATCAAGGTCTTGGACATCAATGACAACTCCCCTGAGTTTTCTCAGGATCTCTATGAGGTACAGGTCTTAGAGGATATGCCTATTGGCTCCTGGATTATCACCATATGTGCCAAAGATTTAGATACAGGAAATTATGGGAAATTATCGTACACATTTTTTCATGCATCAGAAGATATTCGTAAAACCTTTGAAATCAATTCACTATCTGGAGAAGTTAATCTGAAATCAAAACTGGATTTTGAAACCATTCAATCTTATTCTATAAATATTCAGGCAACAGACGGTGGGGGTCTTTCAGAAAAATGTACTCTTCTAATTAAAGTGCTAGATATAAATGACAACACACCGGAAGTGATCATGTCTTCATTTACAAACATGATTCCAGAGAATGCCTCAGAGACCCTTGTAGCCCTTTTTACGGTGCGAGATCCTGATGCTGGCGACAATGGGAGGATGGTTTGTTCTATTCCAGATGACCTCCCCTTTATCCTGAAACCAACCTTCAAAAACTTTTTCACTCTGGTTTCTGAAAGAGCCCTGGATAGAGAGGAAAGAGCCCAGTACAACATCACCATCACCGTCACCGACCTGGGGACGCCCAGGCTGAAAACCCAGCACACCATCACCGTGCTGGTCTCCGACGTCAACGACAACGCCCCCACCTTCACCCAAAGCTCCTACACCCTCTCGGTGCCCGAGAACAACAGCCCCGCCCTGCACATCGGCAGCGTCAGCGCCACAGACTCAGACTCGGGCACCAACGCCCAGCTCACCTACTCGCTGCTGCCGCCGCCCCACGACCCGCTCCCGGGCCTCGCCTCGCTCGTGTCCATCAACGCCGACACCGGCCAGCTGTTCGCGCTGCGGGCGCTGGACTACGAGGCCCTGCGCGCCTTCGAGTTCCGCGTGCGCGCCACCGACCGCGGCGCGCCCCCGCTCAGCGGCCAGGCGCGCGTGCGCGTGCGCGTGCTGGACGCCAACGACAACGCGCCCTTCGTGCTGCACCCGCTGCAGAACGCGTCCGCGCCCTGCACCGAGCTGCTGCCCCGCGCCGCCCAGCCCGGATACCTGCTCACCAAGGTGGTGGCGGTGGACGCCGACGCGGGCCAGAACGCCTGGCTGTCCTTCCAGCTGCTGCAGGCCAGCGAGCCCGGGCTGTTCAGCGTGTGGGCGCACAGCGGCGAGGTGCGCACCGCCAGGCCGCCGGGCGAGCGCGACGCGCCCAGGCAGCGGCTGCTCGTGCTGGTCAGGGACAACGGCCAGCCGCCGCTGTCGGCCAGCGTCACGCTGCACGTGCTGCTGGTGGACGGCTTCTCGCAGCCGCACCTGCCTGGGCCCGAGGCGGCGGCCGAGCGCGCGCAGGCCGACCCGCTCACCGGCCCCCTGGTGGTGGCGCTGGCCTCGGTGTCGTCGCTCTTCCTGTGCTGGCTGCTGCTCTTCGTGGCGCTGAGGCTGTGCGGGAGGAGCGGGCGGGCCGCGCTGCCTGGCTGCCCTGCGCCCGAGGGCCCCTTTCCGGGCCAGCTGCTGGACGTCAGCGGGGCGGGCACGCTGGCCCACAGCTACCAGTATGAGGTGTGTCTCACTGGAGACTCTGGGACTGGTGAGTTCAAATTCTTGAGACCATTTTTCCCCAGCCTCCCACCCCAGAGGGCTGAGGAAGAAACAGAAGGAAATGTTGCTGTCAGGAATAGTTTTGGGTTCCAGTAGTGGACTGATTGTGATTCAATGTTTCTATTTATCCCTCACTTAATGGGATGTAGAATTTGATTGTCATGAGGAAAATTTTGCATGTCAGATATAGCTTTGATGTTGTTTTTGTTCAAAATTTCTAAGGCAGTTATCGCCAATGTTCAAATCCATTACCCCAGTAAAAATCTGGGGCAAAAGGAGAAATTGGCAATCGTTTTGGATTCAAGATTCTATAGAGCAATTTCCTTTAGGCTTAAAAACTTTTGTTAATCTTGACACACATGTGGATACTCTAATCTGTAATCAATTTTAGTTTGTAGTATAGATGCATGCTTTATTATTTCTTGTGCTTTTCTTACTGTTGCTTTAAATTTTTTATTAATAGTTGTATTAGAAAAATATAATCTGTGCTTTTCTTTCATTTCTTTTGTTAAAAATACTATGTGAATTGAGTAATTCATTATAATAATGGCATTTTTATACAAAACAATAATCTTAATCACTTGGAGACACAAACTAAACTATTGAAAACAAATGTCACAATGTATAATTTATTTCTGTGCACCGTCAAATCTGACAAAACAAATATAAAAATCTTAAATCTAGGTGGAAACTTCTTGAGCTGTTGTATTTTCTGTAAAAAAATTGTACATTAAAAGACTAAAAAGATGCTATCCCTCTATATTCAGAGCTTTTATACACTGTTTTTCATGACTCAATTTTAGAGAAAGTTAAATGACCATATTGGATGCAATTAATTTCTTAACCAATTTTCACATAACTGTTGTTACTTTTGTGGAAGAGGATCCTCAAATATAGTGGTTTTTGACACTGCTAATTTTTCCTTCAAATACAACACATTTGCTAGTTTTTGTGTTATTTTATGCTGTTTACTAAAATAGGAAATAGTTCAGAATCTTTTCCTGAGCAAAACAAACTTCTATTGGAAGCGTACAAGGTAAAAACTTTTGAAAATTGAAATGTAGATTTTAAACTGTTAAAAAATAGATTACAATTCAGTGTTAGAATGCTTGCCTATGAGGTACAAGGTCCTGGGTTTAAAAACCCTTCCATCCCTGCCACAAGTCAATGGAGGTGAGGGAGGTGCTTGGAATTCATTAAAGACACTCTAGGTTCAATTTTTAGCACCAACAAATGGAAGGCAAAAGAGAGGATGTGACCACCGATATTTTGTGTCCTTGCTTAGATAACCATAAAGGAGTAGATTTGCATGATTTACATATGCTTCACTGTGTTCAAATCACCATGTGTCAAATCTATAAGCAGGCAATTCAGTGGAAGATTATAGGTAGAGACGTTGATAACTAGAGTACTGAACTACAAATGATACAAATTCAAATTGATAAATATTACTAGCTCAAAATTTTAAAAGGCATACACTAGCAGATAACAAGGAAAAGCTAAGTGCAATATTTTTACTGAGAGGTAATAACATTTTGACTATTCAAATAACTATTATGAGTTAACCAAAACCCCTAAAAGGTGTCATGAAAAGGAATTTATTAAAAGGGAGAGGGAATTTTAAAAGGAGAAACACGAAGTCATAAAAGTACTGAAATGATGTTTAACCCACAGTTTATATCCATATAATACAGGTAAAAATCTTGGATATCAAGGAAATTACATGAACGGTCTGCTTAGAGTTTTCCGATCATATTTAGTGAAATTTAACATGTACATACTCTGTAAACTACACACCTTGTAAAATGATCTGTATAAGTATGTTTATCTTGGAAAGGCAAAGAATGTATATACATATATGTATCTGTCAGTGAAACAGTCCACAGTACAATATGGAAAATACTTGTGAAGGATTATTATGCAGTGATTAAAACAAATGAACCACATGGGTAAATCCCAAATGTTTAAAAGAAAAAAGACTAAAACTTATAGCACAGTGAAATAGATATATCCATACAGTGCACAATATTTCAAATTTGTAGACTATACACATATATTATATATATATATAAATTCACATATTAGAGGAAGACAAGGGAAAACATTATATGTATGTGTGTGGGTGGGTATGTAAGAAAGCTATATATGTGTAGGGGATATGAGGGATATGTATATATTCACAGGGGGAAAATTATTACAGAGAACAGTGGAAGCAAATATCAATATAAATGATAGAAGATGCATCTTTCAACATTGTTCACATTGGTTACATCACTATAGAATTGATTTGACATTGATCAATTGATTTTAAATATATATATTATTTCTATGCTTTCAAGATCAACTTCCCAGACTGAGGATTTAGCTCGTAAGTGCCTGCCTGGCGAGCAGGAAATCATGAGTTCAAGTCCAGTACTCCCACACACACAAAAAAACCAACTGCCCTACACTATGCAAGCTTAATTTACTTGCAAATTTGAGGTGTAACAGCCTCACTAAGACTTTTAATTTTTAACAAGGCTGGAATAAATTTTATAAACGCATACTTTCACTGAAATGATTAGGTTAAGACAGTAGTGTATAATCAGGTCAATGTTAATGTGAAAAGGGAACCACAAAAGATAAAAAGCATAGAATCTAACTTTTCCAGGAAACATTTGGAATCCTAGGAAACCTGAATCTCCGTTTCAATGGTTTTACATATGAGAAGGTAAAGCAAAACCTAACAGAAGAGAGATTTACAAAACACTCTTCTATTAATAAGCATGGATTCCTAATAGCAACACCTACAATTTATGAGAAAGCCTTGAGCTTGGTTTTAGCCTTAAATTGAATTGTGATTGTAGTGATTCCACATCTTTACAGAATCAAATGCATATCTTCTGTGAAAGGAATTTTATTCACCATAAGTTTCAAATTACCCTATAGCTTCAAATTTGTATGTTCTTTAATAAAGTGTAGTTGTAGTTAAAAATGACTGCACACACAAGGAAACATGCCACCATGAGTGACAGCCATCAGAATAAAAATCAAATACAACAATAAACTTGCATTCATTTCAAATATTGCAATTATTTGGTCTGTAATATGCTAACCACTTTAACTGATATGAAGTTAAGCTTGAAGATGTTAAGAAAACAACTATAAAATGGCAAATAAAAAAGAACAAAATAGAACTTACAGAAATGAAAAAATGTTCTAATCAAAATTTAAAACGAAAGATTTAATAAATATTAGACACAACAATAAAAGAATCACTAAGCTAAAAGATAAGGTAGAATATAATTATCCAACATGGGGCTCTGCAAGTTAATAAGACAAAAAATCGATTACTTGAAAAAAAGTTTTAACATATATTCAACCATAACCTCAGAGAGAGATAAAAATACAAGATTAAACCAGTATTTGAAAAAACAATAGCTGAGAAATTCCCAGAACTGATGGCAACATTAACAAATGGACACAAGAGACTTAAATAAGCGTAACAGGGTAAATGTAAAAGATATCCACACATAGAAATCTGGGCAGCAACATTTAAGAAAATCAGATAAAGAGAAATCTTTTTTCAAAATCCATAAGGAAAAGACACGTAACCCTCAAAAACATGCCAGACTGATAGTTATGCTCCATTTCTTAACACTAGTAATAGAAAATAAAACTTCAAAGTGTTGATGACAGAATCAAATCAACTTGATTTCAGTTTACTTTTAAATTAAGTTCATAGGAAGTAAAGACATTTTTATCTCATTCTCAAAAATAGCTTCTCTTGGGGCTGGGGATTTAGCTCAGTGGCATAAGCGACTGCCTTGCAAGCAGGCAGTCGTGAGTTCGATCCCTGGTACCAATAAAAACGAAAAAGACAAAAAAAAATAGCTTCTCTTTACCCATCTCTTGACATAATCTTGGGGCCACAGGTTTTGCCTATTTCTGTTACTAACCTTCTTCATTTCTAGTGACATTTATTTTTTTCCCTTATGACATTCATTTCTCTAGACATCTATAGGCACAGTCATGAGCACCCCACAGACAGTAGTCTCTGACAGCTTGCCTCTCCCCTGCCCCATGGAACCCAGGGTTTTTCATGTTAGACAAATGCTTTACCACTGGACTACCCACAATCCAAGTTGCCTTATTTCTGAAATTACATAACACCCTTCTCTTAATTTATGGTTTCTTTTGCTTTTTTTTTTTTGTACTGAGGATTGAACTCACAACTGTGTGCTTGCAGGGCAGGCGCTTATGCTGCTGAGCTAAATCCCCAGCCTTTCTTATCTTTCTTGAAGGGCCTCAAACATTATTTACACCAATAAAACTCAAACATCTTGGCAGTTGGAACCACTTTCCTCATTTACATAACTACTTATATGGATGCTCCATGGACACGTCAAATGAGAGTAAATTCTATATTAAAAATTTCCTCAAACTGTAAGTAACATGTATTCCTATTCCTTTCCCTTCTCCTTGTATTCTATCAGTCAACAGCACCAACACCCATTCAGTTCCCTAAGCTTGAAAACAAAGTACGTTTTATACTGTTATACCTTCCTGTCCCACTCTTTCTCATCTAATTTATCACTGTACTCTGTACCTCATCATTCTAGTGAAACCCTGCTGCTCTCTCTCTCTGGATTGAAGCCAACATCATCTTCCCTGTATTACTGCAATCAGGCTAGCCAGTCTCCAATCTTTAATCCTATTCTTTTGAAAGCATCCACTGTGAAACTAGATGGCCCTTTAAAAATATAAAACCATGATCATGTCACTTTTCTACTACAACCTTTTAGTAATTTTGTACTTCCATTAGTATACTTAGCATAACTTATAAAATATTTGCTTATCTTTCTAATTTGAACTCTCACCATTTCTGCCCCTCTTGTCCTGTGCCTGAGCCAAATAGGTATTATTCTAGTTCTTCCAAAACACTTCTCTTTTTTTGGATTTGTATATCATGTTTCGATTTGCCTAGAAATTTTTATCACATTCAATTGTGTGTTACTCCTACTCATTTTATGTGAAATTTAGATTAGACTTACACTGAAAAAGTCATTTTGTACTTCCAAACTTGAGGCAGGCAACCTCATCTTTGCTGTAATGGTAGCATGAATTTTTTTCTACCATGGATTGTGCCTATTTTAAATGTGTCCATTTTTCTGTCTATTACATAGCAGGAATTCTGTCTAGATGGTTATGATATTATCCCTAACAGTTAACACTATGTATGCCACAAATTATATGCACAATAAATACTTGCTGGACAATTAAAAGAAGAAAAAGCATTTAGTATTGTGTCTCTGGAAATGGTGAGATTGCAAAATGAAGAAGTACAGTTTTACAACTAACCTGAAGTCTTCTTTGTTCAACTTTTTATGTTGTTGGAAACTTGACATACTTTATTTACTAGTGAGCATTTATTTTTAGCTGCTATCAGATGTCTCTTATGGACTAACACTGAATGAATGCTTTTATTTATTTAGCCTGAAATTTCCAACCTCTTGAAAACAAATATTTGCACATACAGGGCTAAAGTGCATATCTTCATTAATACTGCCTTTTATAAGAGTATTTGATGATAGCTAAGGAAGACCTCTAGGTTTCCATTTCTAAATTTCCTGAGAAGTTCTGGCTTACTAGTCAATTATATACAAAATTTCTCTTAAAAGTGTTTCATATATTGTCTTTAGGGAGAGATCATTACTTATTTGAGGTAAGGACTATATCTTAAATATATGCACTACAGCTCTAGCACATTATGGTTTATTGTGTTAATAGTTAAATAGAAATAGCATCATGAATCACAAAGAATGCAACACATAAAGGAAAACAGGAATTCAAGAGAAAATATAATTTAAAGTATTCAACAAACATCTAAGATAAATTAGTATTTTGTCTCAATCTTCATTGTGGGAAAACCTAAAACTCTGCAGAGTCGCATGGTGGCGCTGCAGGATAAGATGAAGAAAGGAGTAACCGCAGATACTCTGGTTCCGCTTAATCAGTGAACTAGGAGCGCTGGAGAAAACGGAAGAGGCTTTTGAGAGAAAGATAGGACATCACCACCTCCAAACAGAATTAGAAATCTATAGATAATACAAAGGCACAGGTGCGAAGAGCAGCTCACAGAGCCTCTACAGATTGAATTAACCTTTTCACAGAAAGACTTTTGCATAAGGAGAGTCATGGAGCCCGGAGAGAGAAGCTCTCAGCAGATAAGGCAAGTGCTGCTTCTCTTTGTTTTCCTGGGCGGGACTTCTGTGTATTCAGAGACATGGAGCTATTCTGTGGCAGAAGAAGCCGAGATCGGTTTCTGTATAGCCAATATAATAAAAGATATGGGTTCCCGTGTGAGTGTGGAAGACCTGGCTGCACGGGGAGCCAGAGTCATCTTTGACGACTATAAATCCTATTTGCGGTTGGATCTGCAAACCGGCAACCTGCTCTTAAATGAGCAACTGGACCGGGAGGCACTTTGTGGAACCACTGAACCCTGTATATTGCATTTCCACGTGTTACTTGAAAATCCTTTGCAATTTTTTCGGGCTGAGCTTTCTGTCAAAGATATAAATGATCACATTCCCACGTTCCTAGAGAAACATATGTTCCTAAAAATCTCAGAAGGTACTTCTCCAGGAACTTCTTTTCAAATGGATGAGGCACAGGACTTAGATGTAGGAGCGAATTCTGTCCAAAACTATACAGTAAGCTCCAATCCTCATTTCCATGTTAGGTTACAAGACAGCGGAAAGGATAGAAAATTCCCAGAGCTGGTCCTGGACCAAACTCTGGATCGAGAAAAGGAGCCGGAGTTTAATATAACTCTAACAGCTTTAGATGGCGGGTCCCCTTCCAAGTCTGGGACTGCACTGATTCAAGTTGTGGTAGTGGATATCAACGACAATGCTCCTGAGTTTGAGAGACCAGTCTATGAGGTTGAGGTACCAGAGAGCAGTCCTGTGAACTCCTTGGTAATCAAGGTGTCTGCTACAGACTTAGATGCAGGGATATATGGAGAACTATCTTACTCATTTTCTCATATCTCTAGAGATGTACAGAAAACTTTTGAAATCCATCCAAATTCTGGAGAAGTCCGTTTGAAATCGCTGCTAGATTTTGAGACGATTAAGTCCTATACTATAAATATTCAAGCCATTGATGGTGGGAGTCTTTGCGGAAAATCAGTCATTATAGTTCACGTTGTAGATGTGAATGATAACCCACCAGAAATAGCCATGACATCGCTATTCAGTCCCATACCTGAAAACTCCTCACCTGAGATGGTGGTCGCTGTTTTCAGCGTAAGAGACCAAGACTCTGGAAATAATGGTAGAATGATCTGCACAATTCAAGACGACCTGCCTTTTCTCTTGAAGCCTACATTTGAGAATTTCTACACCCTAATAACTGAGCACTCACTGGACAGAGAGACCACAGCCCAGTACAACATCACCATCACCGTCACCGACCTGGGGACGCCCAGGCTCAAAACCCAGCACACCATCACCGTGCTGGTCTCCGACGTCAACGACAACGCCCCCACCTTCACCCAAAGCTCCTACACCCTCTCGGTGCCCGAGAACAACAGCCCCGCCCTGCACATCGGCAGCGTCAGCGCCACAGACTCAGACTCGGGCACCAACGCCCAGCTCACCTACTCGCTGCTGCCGCCGCCCCACGACCCGCTCCCGGGCCTCGCCTCGCTCGTGTCCATCAACGCCGACACCGGCCAGCTGTTCGCGCTGCGGGCGCTGGACTACGAGGCCCTGCGCGCCTTCGAGTTCCGCGTGCGCGCCACCGACCGCGGCGCGCCCCCGCTCAGCGGCCAGGCGCGCGTGCGCGTGCGCGTGCTGGACGCCAACGACAACGCGCCCTTCGTGCTGCACCCGCTGCAGAACGCGTCCGCGCCCTGCACCGAGCTGCTGCCCCGCGCCGCCCAGCCCGGATACCTGCTCACCAAGGTGGTGGCGGTGGACGCCGACGCGGGCCAGAACGCCTGGCTGTCCTTCCAGCTGCTGCAGGCCAGCGAGCCCGGGCTGTTCAGCGTGTGGGCGCACAGCGGCGAGGTGCGCACCGCCAGGCCGCCGGGCGAGCGCGACGCGCCCAGGCAGCGGCTGCTCGTGCTGGTCAGGGACAACGGCCAGCCGCCGCTGTCGGCCAGCGTCACGCTGCACGTGCTGCTGGTGGACGGCTTCTCGCAGCCGCACCTGCCTGGGCCCGAGGCGGCGGCCGAGCGCGCGCAGGCCGACCCGCTCACCGGCCCCCTGGTGGTGGCGCTGGCCTCGGTGTCGTCGCTCTTCCTGTGCTGGCTGCTGCTCTTCGTGGCGCTGAGGCTGTGCGGGAGGAGCGGGCGGGCCGCGCTGCCTGGCTGCCCTGCGCCCGAGGGCCCCTTTCCGGGCCAGCTGCTGGACGTCAGCGGGGCGGGCACGCTGGCCCACAGCTACCAGTATGAGGTGTGTCTCACTGGGGGTACTGAGACCAACGATTTCAAGTTTCTAAAGTCTGTTACTGGAAAACATCAGAAGGCTGGAAATGACTTGGAGGAAAATTCTATGTTTGTAAATGCTTCAGGATACAATTAGCAATTGTTCGTTTATTAGGGATAGAAGTTAGCTATTTTAAAATATATTAGGTCTACATTCAGGGTTCCTCCTCCCCTTTTTGGTTCATAAGGAAACTTATTTTTTGCATGTATTATCCTAGTTAAACGAGTTAAAAAATTACCTTAGGAGTACCCCTCTGATTTCTCTTTTACAAGCATTTGTGAAGAAAGTGAACCCATGACTTAAGTACTGATAAGTCACAAATAGGCATTCAATGTATTGATGACCCCGTTGCATTGTCTGTTTGTTGTTCAAAACCTTTTAAAAATTACCCTATCTTCTGTTTGATATTATGTTTTCCTGTTTAGAATATTTAAATGAAGAAATATCTGCAAATATGTATGGTTTTGTTTTACAGTATTAAATGGGAACAACCATTGATCTCTTCCAAAGATAAAGTGTTTTACATTCTTTAAATCGACCTTCACTATTTATAGCATATATGAACATTATTATAAGATTAGATTTACCTAAAAATTATAAATAAAAATCCTTTTGTGATACATCCCACAACATTTTTGAATACTCTTTTCAGCTGAGTTGTACTGTTACAGCTATGTTTATTTTATATGACCCATCTCCCTCCATGATTTCAGGCAACAGGGCAAAAGGTAGACATTATTTGCTTGGTATTTGTCTCTGTCTCTGTCTCTGTCTCTCTATTTTAGTAGTAGGGGTTGAAATCATGACATCCACACTGAATTACATCCCCAGCCTTTTTTAGACACAGGATCTTAACTTGCTAAACTGCCCAGGCAAAAATCAAACTTGGAGTTCTCTTGCCTCAGACAAGACTGCTGGGATTACAGGCTTTTACCATCCCAGCCTGCTGGTTATAAATACTTCTATTCCAAACTGGGCCAATCTGATACTCAGGTTTTTTAATAGCTTTAGACACCTGATATAACATAGTCTCTCTGTTACAAACTTTACAAGAAAGTAATTTCACATTTGGTTAGCCAAATGTGGTTAGCCAAATACATGGAGAGAAGTACAGAAAATCTATCTATTGAGATCATGAAAGTGCCAATTGAGTAACCTTACTTAGGTTTTCTTATTATACAAGTTTCAGTCCCTCCTAAGTCTACTTTCTTTCTTAGGTTTTTGAGGATGAACATACACTTTATAAATGTACTTCCTCTAAGATAGCTATGTGAGAACTTTTTTCTCATTAAAAATTATGTTTAGCTGGGCTTGGGATACAGCTCAGCACCACAGCCTGACATGTACAACGTCCTCAGTTTGATTCCAGGTGCAAAAAAATTATGTTTAGCTATTTTGTATGAATTGGTTGGACCTCACTATTGATTTGAGATATTAATTGTGGCTCTTTATATTAATTAACACTTATTATCAAAGGGACATTGTATTAGTAGTGTGGAAGGGATAAATACAAGGTTTTGTTAAAATAGCTAATTTTGAGAACTGGGAAATTTTTTCAGTGGTACAGTTTTCAAAGTATTTAACAGAAATACTTAGAAAATTCTGCTATGTAAGAAATTTGAAATATAATAATAATAATAATAGCATTAATGTAAAATAACACTGACAATGGAAAATGTTTCTAGCTTCCCTTATTCATAATCATAACTTTGTTGTTGTATTGTTTCCTTTTACAATACATGTCTTTGGTTAGAAGGGGCCATGTATTTTGCTACTTAATGGAAATACATTTTAGATCACTCTGAGTTGTTTCAAATTGCTACTCAAAAGGTCATAAACTTCGGGACTTAGAAACACAACTTGTTTATAAAGAACTATAACTGCAGCTGGAAAAGAATCCTAACAAAAATTTCAAATTAATTGTGATTTATCCATTGATCCCTTTGATAAATATTTGCTGAGTACCTACTATGTATCAGGGATTGTTTTAGAGATTTGGAATGCAGCACTGATAAAAACCAAGTCCTAGTACTTATAAGTGATGTAGAACATAAATGATTAAATACATACACTTAGGCTATGTCAGATGATATGTGCTAGGAAGACAAAAGTTTAAGTGGCCTCATATACATTTCCTTATATTTGGAAACTTTCATAAAGTTATACCTCTTTAACCTTATGTGAAGAGGATATCATTAATTGGAATGAACTTGTGACCTTTTCTTGATGTAATTCAACACATGTGGTACATACACTGCCTAGCATTTAAATATAGAGGAATTCATCCTTTTGTCACAGAATTTTAAATAATTACATAGATTTATGTTGTTAATTTTACAAAATTACTGATCACTATTATTTCTTCTTTCACTGCTTAATGTCCCTCAGATACTTCTCAACTATAGAATGTAGGGGCCGTGTCTATGTTGTTTGCTGATATATTTCAGAACCTGACACATAGAAATCAGTAATACTTCTCTGAGAATGAGCAATTATGGTTGTATGATATAGTGTTTAATCATCTCCCTCCTTCCAAACAATTTCCAAACTTCTAATAACGTTTATACAAATAGTATTCATGTAGCAATTCATTTCGAAGCAAAACCAACGCATGGTGGCGCTGCAGGCTAAGGCTTTAACAGAGACCCTGTAAATGCCAGCTCTCCTGCGGAAGAGAAAAGCCTGAAAGCAGAGGTCTGACCACTAAGTCTTTGGATATTCCTATTTAGTTCCTCTCTGGACAGATTATCAACTGACAGATACATACTCGTCTCAGGCGCATTGCTTGCTGATGTACTGCTGAGCCCGTTCCCGCATAGACATTTGCAAAAGTAAACATGAAGGCCGGAGGGGGACGCAAAGAAAGGCAAGTTCTGATTCTCTTTCTCTTACTGGGAGTGGCTCTAGCAGGCTGGGATGCCGGTCGCTATTTTGTGCTGGAGGAAACAGAAAGCAGCTCTTTTGTGGCTGATCTCATCAAGGATCTAGGGCTGGGAGTAGAGGAGCTGGCTCAGCGGGGAGCCCGGGTGGCCTCTGAGGATAATGAACCACGCCTGCATCTCGATCAACAGACCGGGAAATTGTTATTAAATGAGAAGCTGGACCGGGAGGAGCTGTGCGGTCCTGCGGATCCCTGTGTAATGCATTTCCAAGTGCTACTGAAAAAGCCACTGGAAGTATTCCGAGCTGAGTTACTTGTAGGAGATATAAATGATCATTCTCCAGAGTTTCCTGAAAAAGAGATGACTCTGAAAATCTCAGAGAATAGCCCTCCTGGAACTGTGTTTCTTTTGAAAAAAGCTCAGGATTTGGACGTGGGCATCAACAATATTCAAAACTACAATATTAGCCCCAACTTTCATTTCCATGTTTCCATCCGCAATCAGGGAGATGACAGGAAGCACCCAGAGCTGGTGCTGGACAAAGAACTGGACCGCGAGGAGCAGAGTGAGTTCAGATTAACCCTGACAGCGCTGGATGGCGGCTCTCCTCCGCGATCTGGCACTGCCAAAATCCGTGTCTTGGTCATGGACGTCAATGACAACGCCCCAGCATTTGCACAGACACTCTATGAGGTACAGGTACCAGAGAACACACCTTTAGGGACTCTCATTGTTAAAGTTTCTGCTAGGGATTTAGATATTGGAACAAATGCAGAGATATCATACTCCCTTTATAGTTCCCAAGAGATAGGTAAAACGTTTGAACTAAGCAGCAGTTCAGGAGAAGTTCGACTAATTAAATTACTAGATTTTGAGACAATACCGTCATATGAACTAGATATAGAGGCATCCGACGGCGGGGGGCTTTCTGGAAAATGTTCTGTTTCTATTAAAGTATTGGATGTTAACGATAATTCCCCAGAAATAACTATTTCATCACTTATCAGTTCTATTCCTGAAAATTCCCCAGAGACAGAGGTGGCTCTGTTTAAGACCCGAGACCGAGACTCTGGGGAAAATGGAAAAATGGTTTGTTCCATCCAGGATGATATTCCCTTTGCGCTGAAACCTTCTGTAGAGAATTTCTACAGGCTCGTAACAGAAGGAGCTCTCGACAGAGAGACCACAGCCCAGTACAACATCACCATCACAGTCACCGACCTGGGGACGCCCAGGCTGAAAACCCAGCACACCATCACCGTGCTGGTCTCCGACGTCAACGACAACGCCCCCACCTTCACCCAAAGCTCCTACACCCTCTCGGTGCCCGAGAACAACAGCCCCGCCCTGCACATCGGCAGCGTCAGCGCCACAGACTCAGACTCGGGCACCAACGCCCAGCTCACCTACTCGCTGCTGCCGCCGCCCCACGACCCGCTCCCGGGCCTCGCCTCGCTCGTGTCCATCAACGCCGACACCGGCCAGCTGTTCGCGCTGCGGGCGCTGGACTACGAGGCCCTGCGCGCCTTCGAGTTCCGCGTGCGCGCCACCGACCGCGGCGCGCCCCCGCTCAGCGGCCAGGCGCGCGTGCGCGTGCGCGTGCTGGACGCCAACGACAACGCGCCCTTCGTGCTGCACCCGCTGCAGAACGCGTCCGCGCCCTGCACCGAGCTGCTGCCCCGCGCCGCCCAGCCCGGATACCTGCTCACCAAGGTGGTGGCGGTGGACGCCGACGCGGGCCAGAACGCCTGGCTGTCCTTCCAGCTGCTGCAGGCCAGCGAGCCCGGGCTGTTCAGCGTGTGGGCGCACAGCGGCGAGGTGCGCACCGCCAGGCCGCCGGGCGAGCGCGACGCGCCCAGGCAGCGGCTGCTCGTGCTGGTCAGGGACAACGGCCAGCCGCCGCTGTCGGCCAGCGTCACGCTGCACGTGCTGCTGGTGGACGGCTTCTCGCAGCCGCACCTGCCTGGGCCCGAGGCGGCGGCCGAGCGCGCGCAGGCCGACCCGCTCACCGGCCCCCTGGTGGTGGCGCTGGCCTCGGTGTCGTCGCTCTTTCTGTGCTGGCTGCTGCTCTTCGTGGCGCTGAGGCTGTGCGGGAGGAGCGGGCGGGCCGCGCTGCCTGGCTGCCCTGCGCCCGAGGGCCCCTTTCCGGGCCAGCTGCTGGACGTCAGCAGGGCGGGCACGCTGGCCCACAGCTACCAGTATGAGGTGTGTCTCACTGGAGACTCTCAAGATAATGAGTTCCAATTCTTGAAGCCGGCCTTCCCCAATATTTTGGGCAAGGATTCTGGGAGAAAATCAGATGGTAACCCAAATTTTCAGAATAATTTAGGTATGTGAATCTTCTTACTTGCTATACTAATTTTGTCTGCTTTACTCCTCCATTTCATTTTTATCTTTGTAGTCACCTCGCATTTTATTTTTTACTTTGTTTTCTCTTGGTAATGTTTTATTTGTTTGCTGTAGATCATTTCTATTAGTAAATGTTTCTATCAGGAACTTTCATGTTTCTGATTAAATTTTTAGTATTAATTCCTGAAGAAAGAATGTCAACCCCTTCTAATAAACATAATTTTGAAGTCCTTCCCACTGTATGAAACTGTGTCAAATGTAAGGTTGCTCTTTTGTTACACTTTATTTTTAAATGTTGGATTTTTTTGTTTATTCAGTTGTAATAGTTGACTAACCCTGTTTCTGTCTGAGATGTAGTCAGTTGATTAAAATCCAGTTTCTTTCAAGTTCCCTTGGAATTCTTTTATTTTTGTGTTTCAGTAAGCAGTAACATGAATAGTTTAAAACTATTTCCACATCACATTTGTAAACATTAGGCTTTTACTCTAAAATACATGTTACCCCATGGAAATGTATTTGCAGGAAATATTACTTCTTTGTTTCTTTTTTTTTTTTTACCAGAAATCTAACTCAGGACCTTGCACTCGCCAGGCAGGCTCTGTGCCACTCAGCTAGATCCCTGACCTCAACTATTATTACTGATCTACATTAATGTAGAAGAGATTTCTGAGCTCCTCCTCATGTCTAACTGAAGTTGTAATGCTGATAAACTGCTTGACAGGTGCTTTACTGATGCATAGATTGACCATATTTAAGAAATTCCTATAAGGCCAATTAATACTGTAACTCCTATATGACCAAGTGATGCATTTCTTACAATTATCCCTTGCTCTTGAAGGGAAATTCCCAGTGAGTTCAATATTCTGGAATTACAAGAGCTTCTGATTTTACAGCATGCTAATATTTACTTACTTTTGAATGCTTAACTTTTTATTTGATAAATAATCAAAGAATACATTGTAGAATTATTCCTGCTGCTCCTGACTGTTAACTAAGTGAAATTTATAAAATGATATATTGATAAAGAAGTTGAATGATTTGGAGAAGTTATTTTGGATAATAATGCCTGCACCCAAAGAGGTACACATTCTAATTTCTGGAATTTTGCAATATATTCTGTTAAATTGCAAACAGAAATTAAGCTAAATAGAGTTGCCAGTCAGCTAAATTTAACATAGGAAGACTATCGTGGATAATGTGAGTGTCCTGGTTCAAGAAGTTGAAAGAATTCAAAGGCACAACCTGAATCTTTCCTAAGTGAAATTCTGCCAAAGAACAGCAGGTTCCACCTGTGTCTATGTTCCAACTTGCCTTCCCTGTTGACCATACAGGTGATACATTTATCTAGCCAGCTTCCACAATTGAGTAAATTGCTTCCTTGCAGTAAATCTTTTTGTCTCCGTTTCTCTGATTGAACCCTGACTGATGCAGAGTTTGGCAGCTGATGTGCTACTGTAACAATACCTAAAAATAAGAAAGTAGATTTTGAATGGAGAAGTACACAGAGGCTGGAAGAATTTAGAAAAGCCCAATGTAGAAACCTTGATTTCTTTAAACAGACTATTAGTGAAAATGTGTTCACAACTGCTAGAGAGGATTCAGCAGGAACTAAGGATGGTGGTAGATAATCATAAATACTTATAGAGTAAGTAGATCATTTAAAGAAGACTTTGGGAAGAAATGTAGTTGTTAAAGCTAATGCTATAAGGCTCAGAAATGTGTAAAATGGTAAACAGAGAAAAAGAAATACAATCATTTAGTGGCCCAAAACTTAGGTGCAGTTATGTGAAAAGAAAGGATTACTATTCTTAAGCTATCTAGGGAGAGACTTAGGTCTTTTATCCCAAACAAGCATTCAATGAGAGTTCACATTGGTTGTAATTAATCTAAATTTACTAGGATAAAGGCCTGACTCTAATACTCCATTTTCAGAGCTTGAATCCTCTGGGGAATACAACCAAAAACAATCAGAATATTGTCCCAATTGCTAGATCAGTAGCCTGAAAATTACTGCAAAAGTCTTACCACAGATTATGGGCGCTTTCTGTGTCATGTTCTTTCAATTTTATGTAAGCAAGTCAAGAACTAGGGATGTTTAAATGATTGGTATTGTGCAAATTGATAGCTGCAGAAACACCTAACATTGTTTGGACGTTAAATTTGATTTGAAATAAAAAGACATACCAAATCTCTTGATTAAGTTCTGTCTGTTTCTTACTGGAATATTTTTTACTCTGGCAATAGTTAAAAAGATAACGTTTTCTAAGATGTCAATCATCCCTAATTTGGACAGACACACAGAATCAAGGTTAAAGATAGTCTTGAGTACTATTTATTGAAGGAGCTTTTTAAGTTTAACTAGCCTCTCCCCAAATACTAATCCTCAAATTGTTACCATTGTTTCAACTTTCAGAATCATGTTTGAGAACCATAGCTCTCCTGCATATTTAAGTATTTTAAACACATACTTTTGTAAATTCATGCTTCATGCCAAGAAAATGTGGTAACCAGAAAGATCTCTGTTAGTCTAAATTATCTTAGTTATAACAGAAATTCAATTCAAGATGTAATGGTTTATGCCAGTGGCCCCCAAGCCTCATGAATTATGGACTTGCCAAATCTAGCATTTGTGGTTGGTTCATTGTCTAGCATTCCAATTGGTGACATGAGTGCTATACCTGCCTAGAAGTGGAGTCAGCATACAAAGTAATGGCAGGAAGAAAATGTGTCTCTTTCTTGCTGGTTTCTACCTTGCTGTTTGAGGCTTCTGTCTACTGTGGCAGCTCCATGCCACCTTGCCTTGGAGCCAACTGAGTATGGGCTGAAACCTCCAATAACTGTAAGAAATAAACCTTTCTTTTCATGTTGGGCATCAGGTATTTTGTCTCAGCAACAGAGTGAAAAGTAACTAAAACTCAAGGTAAACACAGGTGGTGGGCACAACTCAAGCGTTTAACAAGTAATTTAAGAAATTGTATTTACAATTCAACACTGATTGAAAAGTAAGGGCTTAAAAATAGTTAGAAATAAGGACTTCAAAAAACATTGTTTCATCCCATCTGTTCTTTTTTTCTAACTCTGCCTGGTGGTTTCATTCTCTCTTACCTAAATCCTGTTTTCCCCACATGGGGAAAAATAGCTTTCCTTAATCAAAAACCTTAAAATATTTTCTTTTCATTACTGGAAGTTGAACTTAACAGAGAAGCAGTATGATAGAAAAATATGGTAAATGTTTAATATTTTTAATTTTTAGAGTAAAAATACATTATTAATTTTCTAAAAATCCTTGCCCCCTCTTCAAAAACACATGTATGATTTTTCTTGCCACTTTCCAAAGCAGTCCTAGAAGTTGTTTTTTTATGACAGTCTTTAGTTCCACTGTCCTGATGCTTCAGTGTCCTAAACTGTTTCAAAACATTCTCTTTCATGGTCATTTTTACTTAGAGGAAGGGTCAGAAGTTGCACAATGCCAAACTGGGGGAATAATGTAGATGAAGATACACCGTAATATTTTTATAACCCTGCCTTTTCATTGGATGACCACTCAGCAGCATTGTTCACTATATTTTTTATCATTCCTCATGAAGAGTCTCCCATCCAAGTACTAACCAGGCCTAAGAAGTAATAAAACCCAAAATGTGTAAATTTTGTTGTAAAAAAGAGAGGGGAGAAAAGTGCATTAAAGGATACAACTGCAAGTGTGTTTAGGGGTGTTAAAGAGCTGACCATATTAATGTTTTTGGTTGGATCATTGAACACAACTGTTTGCAGTCTCTCTGAATGTTCACTTTGTATGCTTTGATACTGTGACTTGAGCAACTATCTCTAAGACGATAATGTATAATCTATTAACTGGTGATTTCTTACTGGTTTTTTTTTTGTAGTTCTGTATTACTTGTACCCTTACACCACTTTGTTTTGTTTTGTTTTTTCTCTTTTTCATTTTAAATAAAATTTTTTAAAAAAGGATTCTCACAGAAGATTTCCAGAACTGCTTGAAAAAAAGACAAGAGTAATGGAATGCTCTTGAAGCAAGGGGGAGTATTTTGAAGGGATTCATGGCTAGGTTCATAATAATTTGAAACTAAATGCTGGCTGAGTGGCTCATGCCTGAAATGCCAGAATTTGGGAGACTGAAGTAGGAAGGGAAGGTTAATTTATCTTACAGTTCTTGGAGGTTTCAGTCAATACTAAGCTGACTCCAAGGCAGCATGGAGTGGCAGGGGGCAGTGAGGACAGCGAATCACGGCAGCTGCAAACAGCAAGGAGTGAAAGAGCTGAGGAGAGAAAGACATGCCTTCTTCCCATCCTTATACCATATGTTGGCTCGCCTGGGTGGGTGCAGCACTCACACCACCAATCCCAGTGCCAGACAACAAACCAATCCCAAATGCTAGACTCAGCTATGTCAATGATTACATGAGGCTTGGTGGGGCCTTCAGAACACAAACCATAACATTCAACCCTTGACCCTGCCATGACTCATATACATCCTTTGTTACAAAAGCTATTTAATCCATCTCCAAGAGTTGCCACAGTCCTAAGAGTTTCAGCATTGCTAAAAAGTTCAAGTCCCAAGTCTCATCCAAGATGGAAGGCAAACTCTTAGGTGCATAGCCCTCTACAAATGAAAACAAAGTTAAGCACTTCCAACATGTAAAGGCACAGATAAACATTACCATTCCAAAAGTTACAAACAGGGGAATACAAAGCATTGGAACAAAAGCAAGTCCAAAGCATTGGAACAAAAGCAAGTCCAATTTTAATCCAGCAGGACAAACACCAATCCTGGAGTTTCACACTAAGCATCTGAAGCAATCTGGAAATCTTGGAAATCTTAGAAATCTTAGTGGGTTTGTGGAAATTTGGAGCCAGGTTGTAGGTATGTGTGCATGTGCCAATATGTTTAATAATATAACTACACCAAGTTTTTTTCACAAGTACTACTAGGGTAGGAGACACATGACCTCCCCAGAATATACAAAGGAAAACAAATGTCTACAGATGTCAGTATTCACCAGATCTAGTGATTTGAAGGTAAGGAAATCAGTTTTCCTTCATAGTTCTTCTAGTTTGTGTGTGTATGAGTGTGTATGTGTGTGTATAATTACAAAATTCATAGAACTTATATTTTACCATCAGGAAAACCATATTAGCTCAATTATTCTGAACAACTTGGTATTTTTCTATGAAATGCTGCTGTGTAACAATTGTGACTAAACATTGATGATGAATTTCAGAAGACTGGAGCTTACAAAGGGAAGTGTTGCATAGAGGACAAAGCAGACTGTCTGGAGTGCTGGTCATTGCTGGTGCTTCCTTGTATAATGAGAAATATTAACAGTGATGCCTTAACACCTATTTTAACTACATAATCACTCAAAGAACATTCATTTTGTCCAGCACACTTGCCATTACCATATATTTTAGCAGATTTTTTTCTATACCTAGATGTTATTTTAGGAATATGTCAAAGGAAGAGAGGGATAACCAAGTAACCTAAATACCAGGATTAGCTATTTCTATGATCTTGACAGTTGTGACAGTACTTTTATCATGTACTTTCTGATCACTTTGGCTGTAAAAACAGGGTGAAGCCTAGAGGTTGTTAGACAGTGGTAGAACATTTGCCTAACATACACAAGGCCCAAAATCCAATCTCTAGCACTATCGAAAAATTTTGCAAGTTCTAGCAGTGCCAGAAGTTAGTATCCTATGTAAAGTTTCCATTATGTGTGTTAATAGATTATATGTGTAAATAACATTTCTTCTAGGCAATTATCACTTGCACCAAATCCTCAGCGAAACACCCTATCATTAGGAAGTATTCATAGCCAATTTCAAGATAATAATTCAAATATCAAATAATAGAATTATATTACTATGACTTTGAGTTTGACATATCTCTTACTTTTTCTGAACAGCATAAGTATTTGAATTGATCCTAAAGAACTTCTCATTTACTGAGATAATTTTAAATAGGCTATACTACTTCTAATCTTGCCTTACAAATATTTTATCAGTAAAGTATAAAACTTAAAGAAATCCCTAAGAGATTAGTACTTTTTTCTTACACTGATCTTAATTTCCTTGAAAAGAGTATTATATCCAATTATTGGCAAAATAAAAAAAATCAAGAAAAAATGTCCTATAATATGTGAATTGTAATGACTCAAATGGTTTTAGAACTCCACAGCTGATCACATGTTTGTATATTTGTGTATGTATCCTATTATACTCATGTATGTGTGTTTGGGAGTAGTGAAGTAGGTGGTGAAAATGTACTACATGCAGAAACGTATAACAGGGTAAATTTTTGCATACATTTTTTTACAATTAAAATATCGGATTAGTTCAGTGTGTGAATGTATGTTTTTAAAAAGGCGGCCTTAGCAATAGTGTATATAAGAAGTCATATTTGCAAACCAAGTGAGTTTTCTGTTCTTGAATTTAATAAGCACCAACATTATTGGATCTAGAATTTTTGTTGTTCTTTGGTGTTGAAGAAGCACCATAGGAAAGGGAACTGTGAGGAAATGTGGTCATTTTTTCTTATTGAGAATAGGAAAGAATAAATTGGCAGTATTTAACATGGCTTGGATTAGGGTGAGATAATTGAAGCCAATATATATGAGGGCAGCATGATTCCTGTTATTTAAAAATTTGATGTTTGCTTCTTCGTAGACTTTTGCATTAAATTTCATTTTTAAAGAATATTAGATTGCATAGATATTGGATTGAATAGATTTATCATTAGTATAAAGTTTTTTGAGTGATTCCTTAAAATTTACACCTGAGACACTTGCCTCAATCTTGTCCTGGTTATTGGTTATTATCTTCTTGCAAGCTTACATGAGTATAAGTGTGGTAGCAATGGGAGTCACTACTGGAATTTAAGCAGTGAAATATGAAACAAGCCCAATCATATTCTGAATACAGGACAGCAATAGCAATGGTAGAAGAAGATGATGTCAACCAGATCCAGAGCTGAAATCCTGCAGACTGGGAATGAAACTGTGATTGTATGACCATGATTTACAAAGTTCATATATTTTTCTTTCATTTGACATGAATCAATGTGAAAAAATAGCTATTACATAGATTCAATTGGGGTTTTTCTTGAGAATTTTTACATCTAACTCATCATTATTGAATCATACATATCTATTTCATAGATATATATGAGTTTTCTTTTAATGG